TTCCTTCCCCACCGAAGTTTTCTGGTTGCCACTTTCAATGTAATTACCAGTATACTTAATTAATTACGAATATGGGTTTAGGTCTCTATTATGCACCAGATTGATGAGAAGAATACCGTGCATTCTTACCTAGGGAAAAAATTTCCCCTATATCACCGAGGGGTTTTAGCTACTCCGTAATACTTACTAAAGTTGAATGCAGATGATTTACCCATGCGATAATATGAGTATGAGAATATAACGGTGAAACTAGAAATAGTTCTCTAAACAAAATTACTACCAGTTTCTATCTTGCCTTACTCCACATCCTAAATACCACACTGCCTCCTCAAGAAATTTAATTATCACGAATAACGAAATCCACCCTCCAAGCCCCTCATATACCGATAATTCAAGATGGGAAAGTCAATCCTCCTCATTAACGGTCCCAACCTCAACCTCCTGGGTACTCGCGAGCCTCATATCTACGGCTCAACTACTCTCGCAGACGTCGAAGCCTCAAGCAAAGCCCACGCTGCTTCATTAGGAGCTACTTTGGAAACCTTCCAGTCCAATCACGAAGGCGCAATCGTTGATCGCATTCAAGCTGCTCGGAATAACGTTGACGGAATCGTTATCAACCCTGGTGCATACACGCATACTTCGGTGGCTATCCGGGACGCCTTGGTGGGAGTGGATATTCCTTTCATCGAGCTACATGTGAGTAACGTCCATGCAAGGGAGCCATGGAGGCATCATAGCTATCTCAGCGATAAAGCAGCCGGAATAATTGTTGGGTTGGGAGTATATGGCTATAAGGTTGCGGTGGAACATGTGGCTGTCAATTTCAAGGCGAGGGAGGAGAAGGCTGCACTTTGAGTGTCAGTTACAGATGCTTCATAAGGAAAATAGTTAAATAAATAAATAAATCTCAGCTTGATGAGTGTTGATGTATAGCATAATGTGTAGATGTTTCATTGCAAGGGTTGCTCGGTGTGAACATCGGTTAGGTCGTCCATTCATGTCTGTCACTATGCACCAATGACAAATTATATACGCCTTAATATATACAATCGAAGAATTAGAAGTGAGGTAAAAAAGCTATGCATAAACTCTTCATAGCCCTTTGCTGGGTAGCTATCGCACTACAAGGACCAGCCCATGAGATGGTGCTTTGAATCAAATGCCACCAGCGGGGCATATCTAACAAATGAGCAAGCCAGAATACCCAAGGTCTCTGAGCTTAACCTGAGGTCCACCTGGTATTATCCACCATCAAGTTTGTGGCTCAATTACCGGTTGAGACTCCTGTGGTAGCACCCCCCGGAGGGTCGGGTATTGGTATTTGCTGTGTCTGGGCCAGAAGGAAAGGCTCGACTTGACTCGAATATGAATATAGTTCCGGAATCCCCGCGTCTGGAACAAATCCTAAGTTTTGCATGAACTCTGGCTGATTATCCGCGCTGCAGTCCACATGTCAGCGATTTTGCAATCATAACGAGTATCAGGGCTACTCACTTTTCGGTACCATCCAACGATGCTAATTCATCAAACAATGCATCGAGATCAGGAGCAATCCGCGGTCGGTGGAGAGACCCGTATCCGTCAATTTCAAGAAAGGAGCCAATGTTATTATTCTGTTCACTGTATGGAGTGTGATATTGTAAAGGCTGAAATGAATTCAAGTCTGGTAACGAAGCCGCTCCGTTTATCGGCCTTGTGGATGAAGATATTGAGGCGTGTTGCCTATGCGAAATAGGCTCCCTCGGTTGAGAGGCTTGCTGTAACGTTTCTGTTACACCCCGGTTAATATTCACCGATGAGGCAGGGGTTGGTAAAGACAATGCTGCATTATCCTCAGTATTTGATGCCGGTCGCATCCAAGAATTCGAAAGAAGTGCATCAGCCGCACTAATGTCTAGGTGCGTACTGTCTATTGCCCCAGCTCTCCTTGTTGCATTTCCCGGGATTGGTATTTCGGAGAGGTGGAAAGAATTCTGATCAGCCGAGGTTGGATTTGTCAGGCTTCGTGGTCGCTGGGTTGCGGACATTGATGACACACTTGGTGTCATTGTTGTTATACGTACATCCGACATGTTCTTCTCTTGAACAAGCCACACAGTCGCGAGATGGGAGACAAATGATCGCAATTTCTGCTTTAGGCCAGAATCAAGATCAAACAATAGAGGTGAATTACGTGTTTCGATCTCCTGGGGCGCGCTAAGCGAGAGAACCGTACCAAAGGTAGGAAAAGTTGCAGAGAGACTGTAAGTCTCCATGTACGTTTGAAGTAATAATAGTAGTCTTTTTGAGCTTTCTGTCGCGCGCCCCTTGTGTATCGCCTCTTGTACGTTGGCGTCGCTTTTCTGGATTGCGAATTGCAAACTCAGGGTAGCAACGACACCTTCATACATCATCTCGAGTGCAAAGATGTGAGGTGAAGCTGGCTTCGCTGAGTTCGCTTGCAAATCAACACGATAACTCTTGGGAAGAGCCGAGATCCAAATTTGTAGTTGGCGTTCCAGCACCTCCAACTGTGAGGCAGAGCTAGTCATAGATTGCTTGAAGCAGCACAAATCGTTCAAAATGCATATCAATGAGATAAGTCGGTTAAAAGTACTCAATGCATGGAGCGGTCCGCGATGGAAATTGCCTCGTGATGACTCAACCGGACGAAGGCCAGTTTGATCTTCCCAAGGATGCCATTCTTCCAGACCATCCTCATTAATTGGGCCAATCGTCATCAGGTCACTCTTGCGCAATGACGGGATTTGGTCAGTTTGCATCGCAACTATAGTCTCAAGTACAAAGCAGCCAAAAAACACATGCTTTGCTCGCCCAGAGCTCTTTAACCGATCTCCATTAATCGATTGGGTGCTGGGAGGGCGATCCAGCCTCAGACACTGTGAAATGCGAACGGCCTGTCCTACAAGCACCCATGCAGCTGCCCACTCTTGTTGACCAAGTTTAATAAGTGACAAGATCAGCAATGCTTGGACATGGCCAATATCATAGGCACCTTCTTCTCCAGGAATTAAACTTTTGGCTGTTGTGTACAGCTGTCTAGGATTTGGCCGGTCGTTAGAAGCTTGCGGCAGTTGACGGGTCGCGGTAATCGAAGCCTCCTGGATAGATGCAAGGGCCAGAACTGCCCATAGTGCCGCGTGATTGCCAGAGCCAGCAGACGTAGCCGAAACGGGGATGTCATCCTCGGAGTGACGAAATGCAGTCCGAAGGATATCATGTTTTTCGAGTATTGGAAACCAACACTGTGTATATGTAAAGTATATGTCAATCAATGCCCAAGCATTAGAGGGGAGGCGAGGTGGGTATTTCGAAGTACTCCCAGAGGAATGGAGGATGGAGTGAGGCAGCGATGGTGGATGAGTGACTAATATTCTTGGATCTTCCGCCGCGTCATTCGGGGAGGGTGTTTGAGTGCCGGAGTCTCGGGTATTGCGTGTCAGATGGCTTTTAGCGGTTGATCCAACTGTAGGTGTTTTGACGGGCGATGGCCCTGCGGCCAACGAAGTCTCCCTTCCATCTCCTAGCCCTTCAGGCATATACCACTCGAGGGTATCGGAAGAGAGCACACTACTACCTTCAGCATCCTGAGGAGAATCACTATCTCCAGGTGCTCGTAGCTCTTTATCTTGCTCGTCCTCCGGCTGCTCTAACAAGGTCAACATCCGCTCGACATCTCTAAGCACAGCACTATTCTTCCACGAGAAGAGAAGTGTGTCGGATCCCTCAGCCTCTTTGCCCATAGTAGACAAATGACTTGGCATATTGGCTGCCTTCAACAACGCACGAACCACATCCTCACTACCCTTTATTTTGCAGAACACAAGACCCCATAGCAATTCGAGTGTGCGAATATACCCGGTTGGTAAGCCCCTCTTTTTGGGATTGGCCTTGTAGGTGCAGGGCCTGGATAGCGAAGCGCAGGTTGAACACACTGGTTGGACCCCATCGCATTTATCCTTTTTCGACCGACAGCTGTCGCAGGCGCGCGACACCCGCTGTCTCTTGGGATTAGAGGCATGCTCATCTGCAGCATTATTCGGTCTATTATCGTCGTCGGCGTCAATCAGTCGTCGTTTAGCTTTGCTGCTCCCGGAGGCTTGGCGCATGTCGCTGCTCATGATCGTCTAAATAGCAGTGCACTAGATTGTTCTGGACGCATGTCCATCGTCAGATGTTGCAACCGAGATGTATCATTTGCCGGCAGAGGACTTTGCAGAAATTGAACCTCAATTCACCCCACCACACAGGGCAATTGGAACACAAGGAATATGAGCTAGTCCGTGCTGTCAAACGACACTAGATCGCTTAGTCCAACTAGAAATGGAATCTGTGCGTAACCAATCCGAATTTGGTGGTGATAGCAAAAAATCGAGATATTGACAGAATGAAAAAGCGGAGAAAGGAAAAACGAGTGTAATGCCGGTGGAAGTTGGGGAAAGCGGTCCTATTGCTTACCCGCGGTTTAGTGTCAATACAGAATACGGAGCAAGCAATGACTACCCCGAATCAAAGTAGACGGATTGAAAACACTGGGGACCACTGCACTAGTAATCTAACTTTCTCCACTTCGACTTTCGAGTCATGATCGCGAAGTGAACTTAGCGAGTAGGACCCAGTAAGCGCCCATCTCACTTTGTCCAGCGGTGAAAAAAATCTTTTACTAATGCATATGAAAGAATGTCCAAGCGGCAAGTCAATGCCTACATGAGAGAAACCCATGTTATCATACCGAATTGTAAATAAGACTCGGTAATGATTCGTATCTCAGTACTGTTTTTCGGAAATGTCGCCCGAGTGGGTTAATCCCCGCGGGGTAATTGCCACCTACTGCAAGTGGTAGAATGGGTTCTAGACGATACGGTATTTTTAAACCCTATCGCGGTAATTTTGACGGCTGAGCATTTGTCCGCAAACTCCAACGGATCCAAATCTCCGAGGCCCTAAGGCTCCCCCAAGCCAACTTTGTCGCTTCCCCACGATTAGGTCCCCTTAGCTCTTCCTCCACCTCCACAACCACCACCGTACATCGATTGATTTTTCTTGGTCGGGAGGCAGTCGCCCAACGCCGCGTTAAACCCTGACAGACTCACTCATGCCGTCGTCACCAAGTTATTCTGGCTTGCTACAGTGAATCTTCCCTACCGAGTACTGGGTTTTTACGTTTTCGCCATCAGACGTGCATCTATTCCCTATTCAATGTCTCCATCTCGTTACCTACGCCGCGCATAAACCAGGAATGCCCTTATTCGTCGAAGACATAGACCCTCCTTCTTTAGTGTGTCAATATGTCTATACTCGTGAGGCCACCAAAACGTAAATTATCCGAAATCGAAGGGCTTGAGGATAGGAATGGACTATCAGACAGTGGTCGCTACCGACCTGCTACCCCCAATACACACCTGGTATCGGAACTGAATTCTGGAAAAGATGTTGGACACCCGATCATTTCTGCCTACCCTCTGGTAGAGCCGGCAGAGACTACTAGAGAGTCGTCGTCGCGTGAGCTTAACTCCAGCAGGGCGTCACCTGTATCCTTCGAGGGTCCCTTCCAGGTACAGAGGAGATTCGCTCCAAATGTTTCCATAGTGCTAGTTGGAATTCGCGGCACGGGTAAATCTAGTCTTGCGGTCATCCTGGCAGCAACTTCCGGAAGACGATTAATTGATGCGGATCGCTATTTCCAGCAAATAACAGGACGCTCACGTTCCGCTTTCAAGAAGGAACATGGAATTACCGAGTATCGTCAACAGGAAGCTAGAGTCATGGAATCAATGCTATCGGAACATAAAGAAGGGTGGGTCATCGCTTGCGGGCCAGGCTCCATGGAGCGCAGTGGGCAAATGCTCCTCAGGGAATATGCAAAGACGCATCCTGTCATCCATATCATTCGAGATCCAGAAAGTATTCAAGCATATCTACAAGCTTTGGATACAGATAAAATTCGCCGCTTTCTCGAGCTTTCTGGTCCTATCTATCGCGCGTGTTCAAACCTTGAGTTCTTCAATGTCTCGGAAACCGGCCATGGAGATCTGACATCAGGGGAAAACGGTCAGCATCATTCACAGCTTGAGCTTGAAGTAGATCAGCGCTCTCAAACATTCACGCCCTTTCTGACCCTTAAACGGTTGCAACGTGATTTTGTTCGTTTCATTGCTTTCGCCACAGGAGATGCTACCGATCTGAGTAATCAGCATGCATCGTTCCCACTCTCCACGCAACCCGTCCAAACGCGGACCTTTACTTACGCTGTATCTGTACCTATATCCACTCTCTTTACAAGGAATCTCAATATTGAAGATCTGGAATCAACTGCAGATGCCTTCGAGCTAAAGGTCGATGTGACAGAGGGCCCTTCCTCTCGTTTAGGGCTCGAGTCTACCCTTGCGGATAGGATTAGTCAAACTATGGCTACCATTCGGCGAAACATTGTTGTCCCTCTGATATACCATGTTGAAAGTGATGTAGGCCTGGTTGGCTCAGCATCACCGCATAACGAGCCGTTACACCGTTCGAGTACCGCGTATTTAAATTTGATGCACCATGGCTTACGATTGGCTCCTGATTTCATAACGGTTGACCTGTCTTATGATGACGGTGTTTTATCGCAAATCATCACTTCAAAAGGGTCAAGCAAGGTTATTGGGCATTTCGCTTCTGTCCAATATGTTGAGCAAGGCTGGGAAGCTCCTGTCTACCTAGAGCTGTACGAACGCGCCAAAAGACTCGGATGCGATATAGTTCGATTGACACAGCCGGCATTGTCAATGGACGATAACCACGCTGTCCAACGCTTCCGTCATCGTATCAAAGCTCTCCCTGGCCCACAATTGCCTCTTATAGCCTACAATTCAGGCTCGCTGGGTCGCCTGTCTTGCTGTTTTAACCCGATCTTGACCCCCGTAATTAATGAGGCACTGCTCTCTGAGACCCAAGCGAAGAACCTGCCTTGCATCACGTTACGTGAGGCACAGGAAGCACTCTATGCCTCCTTCGCTCTGGACCCGATGCAGTTTTTCGTTTTCGGTGCCAATGTAACCTACAGTTTGTCTCCAGCTATGCACAATGCGGCGTATAAGACATGTGGGATGCCGCACGTATACAGTCTTCACCAGTCACCATCTCTGCGAGGCCTGAACGAGTTGGTAGCAAACCCCAACTTCGGTGGAACAAGTGTCAGTCTGCCTTACAAGACAGAAGCTATCCCACTCCTTCATTCAATGTCCCCTCATGCCCGAGCAATCGGGGCCGTTAATACGCTGATACCAATCCGGGATTTAGAGGATTCCGCTCTTGTTTCCGAAGGCTCCTCCTTGTATTTGGAGAAAAGTCGGGCAGGGCCGATAAAAGGCTTACATGGAGACAACACTGATTGGATTGGCATCTGCAATTGCCTTCGACGGGGGCTTTCGCCTGCCAACGCGATTCGCCCGTCATCTACTGGCCTGGTTATTGGTTCAGGCGGTATGGCTCGAGCTGCCGTGTACTCTATGATCCACTTGGGTGTGCAGAACATATTCGTATGGAACCGTACTTTTGCCAATGCCGAGAAGTTAGCATACCATTACAATCGACAAAATCTCCCTACGCATAGCAACAACGCGCCAACGACTCACTCGACCGTCCATGTTCTACGCTCACTACAAGAGAGTTGGCCTACTAACTATAACCCACCAACCGTGATATGTTCATGCATACCAGCGCACAGCATCGGGGGTCAGCCGGCCCCCAACTTTAGGATACCCTCTCAGTGGCTTGGAAGCCCTACCGGTGGTGTTGTGGTCGAGGTAAGCGATTTACTTATTCGAGTCCCTCGTCTATATATATTTGCAAGGTTTGCCTGGATAGCCTGCTGACCGTCATTTAGCTGGCTTATAAGCCGCTCGATACCCCATTGGTAAAACAAATGCGAGCTCTTTCTCACCGCGGCTGGGTTGCGTTGGACGGCCTTGATGTCCTTCCAGAGCAAGGGTTCGCCCAATTCGAGCTTTTCACGGGGCGTCGCGCCCCTCGGCGCCTAATGCGGACTATTGTACTCCAAGAATATAAGGCGGAGGAAGGACAAGATGACCAGAATGCAATTCAAAGCAGGCTTGAAAGCTTGGATGGACAGCCTACCTGAGACCATCCTGGTTAAACCCAGTCCCGATGTCAGATTACTGGGGCTGTGGGGGACAAGACAGTGCTGCACGCCTAAGTTACAAAGCGGCCATGTTGCCGGTTACACTCCGTCGTCAGCCGCCTCCGTTTGCGGCTAGTTTCCATTGTTCCTGAAGAACAGAGTCGGATACTGATCGGGGTTCTTGCGACAACCTTGAAAAGAGCAAGCTCTTCTCTAAATACAGCTGCGCAAAAGTACGTCCTATGAAAAGGGCGTAAGGCTTTCCACCCAGCAACATCTACCGCTACCCGGTGTGGAGCGAGGGATGTCATGCTCCAGTATTCTAGTCCTGGACTCGTGCTTGGGAGGCCTAAGACATCCTTGTGAACGCTGTTGGGAACTATTTTTAGCCAACAGAGCCTCGCAATTGTATATAGGTAACAATCTGAAATTAGAAATGGAAAAGGAAAATTCCGAAATTCCAATGAATTATCACTATTATTAGACCTGGTTTTTCCGACAATACAAGAAAAGGTAAACCGTAAAGCGATACGACAGGCATCGGCCAGGTCTCAAAATCATCCATAGCCGAGACCGAGGTGTCCTACTACTAGGATCAAAGGTGGACGTATGATTAGCAAGAAAGGCACGTCTTATCAACAGCCCTGGTCTTTCTTCGCCTCTTTCGTTTTCTCCTCCCCATCAGACACCAGGTGGAAATTACCACAGTTGATCCTTGTGTTATCAGGCAGGTGGACAACGACCGAGCGATTGCCGAGAAAGGCGACAGTGTCCTCCACATTCGAAAGGAAGAAGTCCCTGTACAAGACTTCGAAGTTGCCATCGGTAGTCCAGACAGGGCCATGTTTTCCGCTTATGTCGCCGACCTGGCATGTCTGAGGTACGGTGGTATTGCAAGGAGGCTGGTCACCTCGCATGTAAGGGTCTAGGTGACCACCGGTGGCATAGCAATTGCCATCTTTCGGCACCGGCTTGTCGTGGATGTGATAGTCTACGTTTGGCACGTGTAAGTTTTATTGTTAGTGAGTCCACAGCCAGTATGTACGAACTTAAAAATGTGTCATTTGGAACACCAGTAAGAACGACACGAAATTGAATCCCAATTCCATCCTCAGCACCATGGGTAGTGAACGTTCCTCGAACAGTGGTGTTGTCTTTGTCCTGAAGAACAGCTTCATACACGGCTTGGGGTTCGTTGTCTTTGACGACAGGGGCCTCATGGGCAACTGCCGATGAAAGGAGAAGGCCTAGGGTTGCGCCTGTGAAGAGGGATTTGGTCAACATTTTGTTCGAAATGTGACAAAGGTGGAGTGCGGCTGTTTCTTCAGAAAAGGGGTAGAGCTGTTTAATATATGATAAGCTGGAGATTGCCAGGAGGCTGTGGGAAGAGGTGAAGGATTATTATTAAGGCAAACGAGTGTAACAAACAATGTGCGGGATACGAGACAGCGCCCCGGCTGATCTGAGTTTTAAGAAAGGACAAGGCTGTGCCTCCTTGAGCGGCGTAACGTAAGAGCGCTCGTGTTGCCATTAAGCAACCAAGGAAGGCTCTTTCCTGAGACAACTCATCCGTACTTCATTCTCAAATATCTTGTCATTCCTTTGCAATTGGTCATGGGAGGAAGGCGTTAGCCCATTCCGCAGTGCATTGTTTTTATTCAGGCCATTCCATTTCGTTACACAAGGACGTCTTTCAAAAACAATTTCATTTCATTTCATTTGCGCTGGTGAACATGAAGGAGTTGAGCATCAGCAGTCACCTGTCAATCACCTACTCGGACAGGTGACTGGCTGACAGGTGACTCTCGTTGTTGGTTCGATTTCCATCCGTTTTGGGTCCTTCGTTGTCAATGGTTCCTTATGCAATCTAACTGCTGTCAGGCTGTCAGCATTATTACCCTCTCACTAACCCAACGGACAACCAACAAAAATAGAGGGACGAACCAGACAATGCCGGGATTGGCATCTCTTTGTGGCTTGCATTAGCACATCAATAACGCTCAATCATTCTTTGCCATGTACTGAGGCCCCCACTCCAGGGGCTGCGACAAGTAGAAACCTTGAAGGCGGTTACAGTCACCTAATCTGGTAGGCAACATACGCACCTAAGAAAACACCAGTCAAAAACTACTGAAAGGGGGAATTCATGCGATTTTCAAACTGCGAATGATTCAGCTTTTCTACCTTCTGCACCACTCTCGGCAAACCTACCATTGGCCCCTCTCGGCCCCCTTTGTTCCGGGGGAAGTTCTTCACACCCCACATCTTATCATCACTACGGACTTCTGCCGACTCTGGTTCTATGATTCTATCGGACTTCGCTCCAGCTATGCAAATCCCCCTCGAAAACAGCGCAGATCGTCCTATCTCGGTCCAGTTTCCCTCCAATCTCGCAGCGATGCTGTATAAAGAGAGCCTTCTGGCCAGGCTTCGGCCAGAATCGCATCGAAGAACACAATTCCATCAGACCCTTATACGACCTTAACCCGAAGAGTCTTTCGTTTACCAGAGCTTAGAGTCTGCGGCTGTGGGGCCGGTTCTAGTTTCACAATGTCTCTTGCTCAGAATCATTACGTTATCAAGCTCCCTGTGACGCCTTCGAGGACTAGATCCCTAGAACCTCGTGCAATTGCCCAACAGTGGATTGCGAGTTTAGATGTTCTCCTTAATCGTGGAGACTTTTCGCAGCTCCCAGAGCTCTTCCACCAAGAGTCCTGGTGGAGAGACATGCTAGCCTTGGATTGGGACCTTCGTACGATTCAAAACTGCAAGAACATTGAAGTCTACCTTCGCCGTAATCAACCAAAGTCTCAGCTTTCGGCTTTCCGTCTGCAGCATGAGGGCAAGTTCCAGCCCACATTTGACAGGCCAGTGGAAGGCCTAAGTTGGATATCTTCCATGTTCTTTTTTGAAACCAGTGTCGGACGCGGAACCGGCGTTCTTCGTCTCACTCAAAATGACACCGGAGCATGGAAAGCATACTCAATCTACACTTCGCTACAGGAGTTTAAAGATTTCGAAGAGCCTCTCGGATCAAAAAGACCAGAAGGGACTATTGAAACTATGCCGGGGGGTCTCAGTCAAGGAAATTGGCTAGAAAGACGTCAGAGACAACTCGAGTTCATGAATGAAGAGCCTACTACCCTTGTTGTTGGTGCTGGTGTGTTTATTCATCTATACCTGGCATTTAGTAGCGATGTAGCTGACATTATGCTATAGGTCAAGCTGGTCTCAATATGGGTGCCCGACTTCAATCCCTGGGTGTGTCCTGCCTGATAGTTGACCGGAATGAGAGGATCGGCGACAACTGGAGGAAGCGCTACAGGGTAAGCCCTAGTTTCGGTACTGCTCCGTGGTCCAAGAACCCTACTAATATCGCCTTACTCCAGACTCTAGTAACCCATGATCCGGCGGAATTCACTCACATGGCGTACCTTCCTTTCCCAAAGAACTGGCCCCAATTTACCCCGAAAGATAAGCTCGGCGACTGGTTCGAAGCATATGCTAGCATCATGGAACTGAACGTTTGGCTCCAGACCAGCATCAAATCTGCGGTATATGATGACGCAAAAGCGCAATGGACAGTGGTTGTAACCCGAGGTGATGGGTCCGAGCGAACCCTCCATCCACGCCATCTCATCTGGTGCACCGGTCATTCTGGCGAACCAAAGGTTCCAAATTTCTCAGGGCAATCCCAGTTCAAGGGGCAAGTGTACCACGGTAGCCAGCACGATGACGCATCCAAGCATGACGTTAGAGGAAAGAAGGTAGTCGTCGTCGGTACCGGGAACAGCGGACACGACATTGCTCAGAACTTCTACGAGAACGGCGCACAGGTAACTATGCTCCAAAGAAGTGGAACGTACGTCATCACAGCAGAAAAGGGTGTTTTCATGATGCACGAAGGTCTCCACGAAGACAACGGGTAAGAATCTCCTCAGAAGCGAGAAAGATCAGCACACTAACATAGCATACCCCAAAAGACCACCTACAGAAGAAGCCGACATCATGTCAGAAAGCTTACCATACCCGGTTCAATTTGCACTTGCCGTCCACTTCACCAAGAGAGCATATGCTGCAGAAAGAGAAATCCTAGAAGGTCTCCAAAAAGCAGGTTTTGAACTCGACTTCGGCGTAGACGGCGCCGGCATCTCTCGCGCATATATGACCCGGGGCGGAGGTTACTACATTGACGTCGGATGCAGTCCACTCATTGCTGACGGCAAGATCAATGTCAAGCGTAGTCCCGAGGGAATCACCGGTTTCACCGAGCACAGTCTGATCCTGAAAGATGGCAGCGCTCTTGAAGCAGACATCGTCGTCCTTGCTACCGGATACGATAACATGCGGACCACCGTCCGCAAGATTCTAGGTGATACAGTCGCAGACCGGTGCAAGGATGTTTGGGACCTTGATGAGGAAGGAGAGATTAATGCGGTACGTTCTATGGTTATCTTACGTCTACGCTTACGCTTTCCCTACCCTAACAGTAATACAGATGTGGCGACCCAGCGGCCATCCAGGCTTCTGGTTCCATGGAGGAAACCTGGCTCTATGCCGTATCTATTCCAAATTCCTGGCTCTGCAGATCAAGGCTATAGAAGTGGGCTTAGTATCCCCGGGACAGGATCAAGCCCAGCCGAAATTGTAGAATGTGTAGTCTACTCATATAGACCTAGACCTTAAACGATATGGTAAAATAATGGGTTATGACTTGTTCTATTGATATATTACCTTAGTAACCCACCCAGGAGATTATAGCTGATACATAACGATAGGAACTCAGGTAGCACACAGATCAGTTCGCAACCTCTATATTTAAGAAGACAAATCTAAATCTAGGTCCTGAAGTACGGATTCAAATCTCCACCTTCGAAGCCATTTCATGCAAGTTCATTCATATACAGGTATAGATAAATACCTAAGCAATCAAACGCCCCTTTTCGCCCACAGAACCAGATACGTCAGACATGTACATAAGAAGATCTTTGAAAAAGTAAGCCACATATATCTTATCTTGAATCGTTAAAGAAGCCAAAGCCAAAATGTAGCCATAAAAATGCATGCACTACTCGCCTTCCTTGGCACCGTCGTCGATGATCATTTCCACATCCTTGACAGGATGGAGAAGCATAGGAGGAAGACACATTCTGCCTTCACCGGCTAGTTCAGCTAGTTCGCCACCGTCGTTGTCGACCTTGTAGCCCAGCCAGCGTCTCCAGAGGTTCGGCGAGAAACCGGCCGAGTAGAACCATGAAGTACCTCTGAAGTTATGCTCGCGGTCTCCAAATACCGATGTTCTGGCACCGCCCGATGCGCCATTGCGACCTGCATTGAACACGGACTCGAGGTATTTGGTCGGCCATCTGCGGTCAATATAGACTGAATGGGGTACGTAGACTGCCTTGAACCCGTGGTGTAAGGCGGTGGTGGCAGGCCACATCTCGGAAAACATACTATGGCGTTGGTGAACCATCTCCTGGTGCATGGTGTGCAGTAGTTTGCGCGAGAGTCTGGATGCGGTGATAATAGCCGCACGACGTGGGGGCATGCAGTTTTCCTTGTTGTATCCTGTCACGTCATCGCGGAGGAGCCAGGTGGTTCCTTCGGGGTCGTAGAGAGGGTTGAAAACGATCAAGTCCGCCTCCTCATCGACCCCCCAATCGTACCGATCCTTGTCCATCGTGGTTGGTGGGATCCCTTCCCCCTCAACTTCAAGGATATCGCGTTCATCGGGCCGCTCCGGACCCCAGACAGCTTTATCCCCCTGCTGGTGGAGGCGAGCTTTATCCCCCGGCGAGTGGTCCTGCCCTGGTCGGGGCGCACTCCACAAGTTGTTAGGGCTGTTGGTGCCAATCTCAGTCTGCACCCGCACCATGTGTTTGAAATCCTCCCAGGTTCCATGGACATCGGGGACATAAAAGCGGGCGTTCCTCTCCCACAACTCCTTCCGTGGCTGCGCCCGCGCCCAGCTGGCAACCTTGTCGAAGAGATGGTACCAGTGACCGGTGTAGCGCGCATCCATCTCCCAGTTCCAATAGTAATCATATTCTGGATGCTGCTGCGCAAAATATTGAGTAGGCATATGGGTGCTGCGGTATACGCCATGAATGGGTAGCCCCCGGGCCCATGTTTCTTCCAGTCCAGGATACAGAAGGGACATCTGTCGCTCCGACCAAAGAATGCCCATGCCACGGAATTCTTCTGGCAGGGCATCCTTTAGCACCCGCTCATACGTCTCATCATCAGACCAGATTTGAAGATTCTCATCCTTGACATGCACTAGGAAGTGAATCGTGTATTCGCCACCGGAGAGTAGAGAGAGTTCGGAGATCAACGAGCGCAGATACAATATATCCTCGGGAGTGTAATGAAAGTCATGCCAGGTGCGTATAATAACCGCAGTTCGAGGCAAACGCCCCGTCCCCGCTTGAGGCTGCTCAGATTCGAGAGGATCAGCCTCAAGAGATTTGTTGCTCAGATCTCGAACACCGATTGGCATGGACAGGAAGCGGTTCGAACGCGGTTGTGGTACATCTTTGAAGCGATGACCATTTGCTACCAGGCATCGATTCTGAGCAGCAGCCCAGTCGACTTTGCGAAAGTCCACCGGTGGGAATTCATCCCAGACATGCTCGGCGCCTTCTCGATGACCCTCCAAGCCAGCACCAATGCCACCCTTCCTGACGCTATATCCCAGCCCATAGGGGCCCAAGCGACCAAAACGATCAAAGCAGACATCATCCTGAATGCCTATCTCTCCGTTTGAACCCATGACGGCTTCTGGGAACCCACGAGGTACACCAGGGTAGTGATGAACCAGAGGAATACGCATTGTTCCTCTTTCGTCCAAGAAGCATTCCCGTTTCTCGCCGTATTTTGCAATGTATGCCGGTGAGGTGTAGTTGGGGTAAGGATCGAAAACTGAACTTAAAACGGGCAGAGACTCATCCCGAGCTTGGAGGTTTGTCGCATTCGCTTCAGCATCACCTCCCAGACCCATCATATCTGGGTTATCGCCCGGGTATTCAGGTACCTGACCTTTACGCGGCACCAGGGACCGCAGCCCACCATGATACCGCTTTAGAAAAGGAAAACTCTCCCACTGGGGCGGCTTGGGCGTGGTCTTGGGGATCTCGAGGGGTACTTGTGTAACGGAAGATCGAATCGTAAAGCGAAAGAGGGTGAGGATGAAGAGTACGAGGGCGACAAGTAGCCCAAGGCAAAGTCGTCTCATTATCCGATTGGGCACACGATAGAACCCCGTCACGGGCCGGGGACGGCGGCGTGCCGGACCGTCCAGCATGGGCTGATAAGAAGCAGCGGAGGAGGTAACCGAGTCGTCACCACTATCTGAGTCGAAAGAGCTGTGGCTATGTCGTCGGTGGTGTTTATGCCGGAAGGGCTGTTTCTCAACATCTATCATCGCGTCTCGGCTGTTGTACGCAGAGGCATGCCTCCTCGTCTTACCCGTCATGATTGATAGGGATCGGTGGACATCGGACGGAATGCTGAATACGTCACCGTGTGGTAGGTAGAATGGTCAGTGTGGGACGGCGTTGACGTCTCACCGGAATGGGAGAGAGTATATTCCCCAGGTCGATCTATTCTTAGAGAATAAGCATTGAGAGAAGCATGAAGAAGGGACAATTAAGGTTCCTGCCACAAGTACATACCTCTGTGATTGAAGCCGACACTGTTTGGCGCATCGATCGGTGGAATTCAATGTTTTTGGACTTACCGCAACGGATGCGGGGAAAGAATGGAAGAGTCCTGGCAGTTTCGACCGTCGGCGGTGACAAAAGTCGATATGGATAGCAATCGATTTGCGCCAAGTTGGTATTCACGACCAAGCGAACAATGACATAGAAAAACAAAACAACGACCTACGTATTGCAATCCAATCGGCGTTGCCCAAGGGATATCCCACGCTTACGCACGCTAATGCGGGCCAGACCGGCTTGGCAGATATGAACCGATTAGAGTACGTAGTAAGGGGAATCGAGTCAGGTACATACAATCATAGAGATAGAGGATGAATGCTGCAAGGATGAGGAAAGGTCTATCTATATAAGAGTTTCCTCCCTGTCGACAGATTGAAAGGGCTTTTTGTTTTAGTATCCCTTGTGGTCGCTGCTGCTTCCGGAAGGCGTTTGCCCCGTTGCCCAAATCCGGACTAGCAAGGGGTCCTAAACAGGAGGAAACTAACCCGTTTCAACAATACCGGATACCTTTCAAAGAGACGGAAGGAATCTTGAGATCCTCTTGTCGATCCCTTTCTGTCACGTCACGTCTCGTCTCTTAAGCAGCTGCTATCATAGGGAGAGAAATGAGATCACATCGGTGGAAGTCTCTTATTCCGTACATCAATCCCTCTACAATTAGACCCTTGACAAGAGACCAGTCCAGGCATCTGTTGAGTATTTTGCTTCAAGAACATCCTATGCCTACCGTTAGACACACGAAGTTATATTCATGAAAAGGCCGACCAAAGACTCGGGCAGAGAAGGAAATGGCCATCCGCCCGGTAGTAACTCCGGGCGAAGAAAATGTGTAACCAAGAACAGTCACGGTATTATTGCTTCCCTGGTCTCTCGGAAGAGTTGCGGTATGGCAAGAATAGTATCATATCACCAACCCTGGCATTCCAGCCAACGAAGTGTTACAACAGAATCTGAGCGGGTATCACGAACATCCACAAGCACATCAGCTCAAGTCGAGTGCCGTTGCTTATCCGGCTTATAGCCAGGACAGACGCCTTCATGATTCCCAACATGACCTGCAAATAAAGTCGGGGGGCATCAACGTCTGAACGTCTACCACCCAATCATTTAAGTAAATATCATTGAAAGCGAGCATTTTTCAGCTGCCGATAGTTCGCCAAGCCACGAGGTCTTGTTCTAAAGGAATTATCATGCTTGATACGGACGCGTATTCACACCCTATGAGCCTCGTCCAAATGTCACACGCGGGGGTCAAAGCTAAGCTTGGCTTGTCGGTTCAGATCGACACCTGAGATTCATGAGGTCTAGTAGGGGGAAACGTGCCGCTGAGTTGCCTCGTATCCAAGATGATAGGGCGCCTAACGATCAATCAGAACCGAAACGTAAATGGTGTCGCAAGGGATTCGCAGCGATAGCGAAAAGATTGAGGCCACCATCTTTTAAACCATAGTATAGTTATCATCATATAGAGCTGCAGAGAAGGGCCATAAGTGGATGGATGATACCCCCGGCCTTTTAAATGGGGAGAAAAGCTGGGAGGTCGCTTACCATTTCCGGCCATGCGCTAGCAGTGGTACTTTTTTACTACTCCCTACTCTATGACGCCGTGTCAAAGAGGGCCCACATCTCGCTCAGTCCCCACAGTAGCTTGAACAAGTCGAGACAATGACTATAGTATTAACTTGGTAGACGCGACGAGTCATGTTCACTCAATTAGCATACCGGTTGTCGGTCATGTGGTTATCACCAATCCTGCTGACATCAGTCTGACGGAATGTCATTGGATACAACTGTAGTTCCTTTCGAAGAGCTCCAACTCGCTCAAGTTTGAACTCTATAGTAGCACGGTATATAAGGGGAGTCCACGTTGGAGGGGGTTTATCCACGTTTCATGCTTGACCGTTATCCTTGGAAATATCATGGCCAGCATGATTGGTCCGGTTGTTGATTTATTTAGAAACAAAAGTCGTGGCACGTGTGACCTGAACAACGAACACATACGCAGGAGGGAACCAGCTGTCGAGTCCAGGGTCAGTTGTTTTACTTGACTGCTACACCGCATCGTCGATCCCCTAGTACCACTACTATTCACCCAACCACCAGGATAGACAGCCAAAGCAAACATGGTATGTACCCATTCCCTGCGAGATATATCCCCCAGTATATATGGCCTCTCCTAGTGAATACCAAAACCGCAAAACTAAGATCTCCAGGCAAATGGTTTCTCCCCCCTAGCAATTCCAACCCCAGTGGAAACCACAGCCAAATTCGCCCTCCCTCTAGACATTCTCCTCCCACTCCTCCTCTTCCCAACCATTTTTCTAGTCCACCACATCCGAAAAGACTACCATGCCTACCTAGCCCTAGGCCCTGGCGGAGTACCCTCAACTCCAGCAGGGTACCTCCAAATCTGCATCCTGCGGCCCTTTGCCGTCCGAAACCCCCTCGCACCTCCCTCCCTCCCATGTACTCTCCTCCCCCAAGAAGGCTATCTCAAGAGCCGCAACCTCCCAGACCGCTCCGGGCCACGTCCCCAAGTAGTCGGTATCGTACCGCACCGACAAACGACCCAGAAGGCGAGTGCAGAAATGTACGCAGCGCTGACGAAGGAAATTCACGGCCTCGTCAATGCCCACCCTTCCGTACTGTACACAGGAACGTCGTGTTTCGAGAAACATAGTACAGGGATCTTCTGTAGGCTTGGCCCGGCTGCGTTGTCACGTCAAGAGCAGGAGCAGCAACGGAAGCGGCTCACTTGTAACGGGGAGGTCTGTCATGCGCATCCGATTGACGGAAGCTTGCATCTCACACTACACCCGGCGGATGTGCGGCTTGTCTTGGAGAAAGGTTGGGGGCAGAGGCACCCGATTGCTCGAGAAGATTGGTGGTGGTGGAGGCGCTCCGTGCCGTCCGGGTTTGTCATGATCTATGCGCCGAGGAATGAAGAAGAACGGAGATGTGTAGTGGAGATCATTCGCGCTGCGGCATGGTGGGTGCGAGGGGAAGCATTGCCTGAATATTCGCCGGAGTAACGTATACTTATCCCGGGGGGGGCGTGTGGACATCTATAAGAATGATGGTGAAAACGGCCAAGATGGCTTTCACGTGCAAGCGTTTGCGATATTTGTTTGACGAGCATTGGCGGTGTAGGTAAACAGAGACCAGATCCTAGTAGATAGATGCAGTTGGAGGATAGCAAGAGCCTACAGGCCACAAAATCTACATTTTTCAGCTAAACAGATAAAATGCGTCGACATACATATGACGTCTGGAGCGTAAACCCGTTCTCCGTGATCATGAATATCAAATCTTGGCTGTAAGAGAACACATGGAGACCAAAAAAAGAAATGAAAGATATGAGGTTTCAGGGCACAAAAGGAGTATTTCGTTAGGATCGACGCCGGGATGAAAGAGAACAATAAAAGCTAAATAGCATAGAAGAATGAAGAGCCGTTAGAGAACATACAAGCACCACCAAGTAGCATATCCCATCCCTACGCGAGGTGTCTTTTCCGATTCGGCCCCCATCCATCATCCCCAACTCCCAGTCACACATCCAGGTATTCTTCCACTCATCGCATTATAACAATTTAATCACGGTTCGTCTTCCGCAAAGCATCGGCGAGCCACTCGAGACCCTCGTACAGACCGTCACCGGTGGTAGCGCAGGTAGATTGGATGAACTACACGGATAAATATTAGATGCTGATTCAACATTTGGAAATTCCGGAGCAGAGGCGGACTTACCCAAGCACGGCGAGTGAGACTTTGCAGACCAAGCTGCTGGGTAATTTCGGCGGGGCTCATGGCATTCTAGAGAAAAGGAGCGTTAATATCCGCGCCCAACCCATATCCAGTGGGACCGAAGTAATGTCATGTCATACCGGCAAATCTTGCTTGTTAGCGAAAACAAGGAGAAGAGCATCACGGAGTTCATCCTCGTTCAACATGCGCTGCAACTCTTCCCGGGCCTCGACAATACGATCGCGATCGTTGCTATCGACGACGAAGATAATACCCTGAGTGTTCTGGAAGTAATGTCTCCAGAGAGGACGGATCTTGTCCTGACCACCGACATCCCACACGGTAAACTGAATGTTCTTGTATTCGACAGTCTCGACGTTGAAACCTTCACGACGGGCGGCAGCATGTCAGTAATCCCATCTTAATACGTACCCTGCGCGGTGACCAGGCACCGAGCTAACTGGTCGAGAGCGGCACCGGAGGATAAGGGAAGGATGACTGACCGATTGTGGGGATGGTGGTGACGATTTCACCCAACTTCAGCTTATACAGAATGGTGGTCTTTCCGGCTGCGTCAAGACCGACCATCAGAATTCGCATCTCCTTTCTGCCCCATAGGCGGTCGAACAACTTCGAGAAGGTGAGACCCATGATGGCGGTGGCGAAAAGGGATTCTCAAATGTCTAAGAATAATGCGATGTTAGATGGAATGAAACCAGTTACGCTGCAAAAGAGATGTCGCTCGGTCGTCTGAGAATTGAACCAGAGGAAACCGGTAGAAATAGGGTTGAAAACTTGGAATCAGAAGACGGCGAATGGGGAGATGTGGTTGAACGAGGGGCGTGATCACGTCTCGGAATGCACAGTGGCCAGACGGGCAAATAATCAGGGGGGGTAAGAGACCACACAGGAACGCCCAAGGCACAAGGGGAAACACAGAGAGGTACGCGGGGAATCAAAAAGGAGAAGATAAAAAAAAATTTCAAGAAAGGGAGAGGAGAATAGGAATGGCTTACCAAGGGTATGAAGGTGAGTAAATGGTGAGAATCACAGATCGAGATATGGCGGGAAGGGAGAATCAAGTCAAACGGGTAGAGACGACGAAGACAAGTCTCAACTCTGTTCGTTAGTATGGAGCACTCGGCGGACCACTGTTTTTGTCCAAGTTGGAAATTTTGGGTGCCAAAGTGCCAGGTCGAGAAATTCAGCCGCCGGCGTAGCTTCCGTCACTAACGAAAACCCGACTAGAACCACAACAATCCTATTCTGTTAAGATTTATTACAAGTAGGACTGGAATATCAAATGAGAGTAATAGGGAAAGGGTAGTTTAAAAAAAAAAAAAAGAGACTATAAGGGAATATCGATATCAAAATGTTAATATATATATAATCAAAAAATATTCATAAATTAAGATCCTCTTTCTATTATTCTATGGAGATTTCAATCATCAGCTCTCATCTTATATAAATTACATGAATCTGATTGCCTAGACACTTTAGAATACCTCAACTACGAAGAGGACACGGTGTTTCCCACTACTTGTAATTCAACTCCGTACCGTACCTTTGGTTTAGTCCCATTCACCAACTATAATCTACTACCACTTCCACTTTCCCCCCTTTGCCCCAAAGAAGAAGAGGTCCAGACACCACCCCGATTCCACTTGATTTCCGGCATTCTGATAGGTTCCCGATGAGTTTTGAGGTTTCCCCGTCCCAGTGGATCTCTCGTGCTCTCTTGACGAAGAATTGCGTATCTATCGCTGATGATAATCCAGACCCTTCCCGCATACGGCAGGCGGTTTATCAAACCCACAAGGGACCACTGCGAAATACTACGCGTCATGTTTCTCGTTCCAGAGAGAGAAAGGGCACGGGAGGATAAGGGTCGGTATTCTTTATATATAACTGCATTGTTTTATTTTCTATAACGACTAGTAGTCTTTTCAGATGCGGCCGCTTTGGTATCTTTGACATGTGACCGCTCATAGTTCATGCTGGCACAGGATGTACCGAGTACATACTACATACAACATACCAGTCGTGCCTACAGTCCAACGTCCAACAGCGGTCAGGATTCGGACCGGGAAAACTTTCATCAGTGACCGGTTCCAACGAAAATGGCTTATTAATCACCGCCCACTCGTGATGTTAAAGATAAGCTTATCCCGAACGAAGTAGATATATGCTTTCTGATATATCACCTGGATATGCAATGCGTCTGAAATTCAACTTCAATCGTAGTCGGCTTAAGTCCTTCGAAGTTTTTGATGTTAGATTCCTTTCCCCTCAACATCAAGATGTTGCCTTGCAGGAATAGATTCTGCAGTCCTCTCACTGCTACTACTGAATCCTGCTATATATCTTCGCCTTGGAGAAGAGCAACCACCCTGAACACCACCTTGCTCTGACGGTACCCTTAAACCCAAACAGAAGGAAGAAAGTTAAGAAAAGAAAGAAAAAAAAAAAAGTCGTCGTTATTAACATAAGTCAAAAGGACTATTGAATATGTAACTTGATGGCCTCAGATATAGTGACCCTATCGGATGTTCAGCTCGAGTTATAATAATTGGCGCCAAAGGGCCGGCTCTAAGTCGACATTCCTTCTCTCTGCCTCTTACTAGATTTTTATTTAGTTTTCCATTTGTCTATGCACTTCGCAGGAAATACTATTCAACACCAAGTTAAACATTCTGAAAAGTGAAAGGAGGCCTGCTCCTATAGGAGCACTTTGTATCCATAGCAAAGCGATTAACTCATCATGGTTAAATTATAGCTTAAATCGAAGCCCAGATAAACATCATTTTCGGGACGCTAATTTATGCGAGTTACTGACAGGCCCCACTCGGGTGTGGGGTTCAGGATGATTCTATGAAGTTGATACAGCGAAGATGGCAGATAAATAGTCTAGAGCTTGTATGGACGTGCTCCAATCTTTTAGGAAAACGTAATTGTTGAGGTCATTTCCTGGTCACCTCCGAGATTCGAAATGCAGTTGGCTTAATGTAAGCTGAACTCATCTGGCTCCCCGCTGACGAAGTATACCCTTCATCATATCGTTTTGTGCCATGTCCAACGGAGTACTTCCTGTGTCCGAGGTTGCGTTGATATCGGCCCCATAATCAAGCAACAGCTGAACAATGTTCGCATGGCCATTACCGACAGCCCAGTGAAGCGCCGTCCACTGAAACAGGGTTCTCATGGACGGGTTTGCTCCCTGCTCTAACAATCGCTTCACCTCATCGTAGTACCCACCAGCGGCGGCATTGTAAAGCGGGAACTCGCCTCTAGCGTCCAGAATATTCAGGCTTGACGCCTGCCCATTTGAACGATGCGACTGGTGTGGAGGCTTTTGTGTAAACGAGTGCGTCGGAGTCCTACCCTGGCAATGTTCATGACCAACCTTGGCTACACTCGACTGCTGTGTTTCTAAGGACCGAAGCTTGTTATTTGAATGCTGCTTTCTGGACTCAAATTGCTTCCGAAATTGCCTCAGCTCCTCCACGCAACTCTTTTGGCTTCGACTGAGGTCCTCTTTAAGCTGGTTGACGTCTTTTAGCGCAGCTTGAAGCTGCTGGTAGAGGCTCGCCTTCTCATCCGCTGCCTTCTGCTGCATATCCTGCAGCTGTCGAGCGCAAGTCTCCTTCGTAGCCTGAAGCTCTGTCTCCAGGCGTGCCATGCGCTTATCCTTCTCGTTGATTATGCTAAGCAATTCTTCAACGGTCGGCGTCGGCATCGCATCATCATCAACAGAGTCCTCAACAAGACCTGCATCCGCAAACCCACTAACAACATCCCAAATGATATCGCGATAACTCTGCCCATCACTCGAGTCCAAAACCCGACATATAGAAGCAACAGAACCATACACCGCATTCAGCTTAGCCTCCGTACGAACACCCTCGTCATGCGTCCGCAAAAGATCCCAAAACGTCGTCACAAAGACAATAGGATCCGGAGAAGCAGACCGAAGCAGCCCCTGAAAGACAGACAGATTCTCACTTGCATTCTGCGTCACGTTCATGTCCGTTATATCATGGAGATACACGATCCCATCTACGGCATAATCCGGCCGTCCGGACTTCCGCGCTACGGCGCTGTTAATGCCCTCCACCAGCTCGGCGACGGGGAACTCTAGCGACGGGGTATCAAGCAACCATAGGTCTCTGTCATTGACCTGACCCTTGAAAATACGGGTCGATAACAGGTCACCTTTCTTTCTGGGGTTGCGGGAGTCCGGGATAACGCCTGTTACTTGTTCGATGAAGACGTCTCGTTCTGGTCCTCCCAGGCCTAGCAAGGCTATAATTGTGGGCTTTGGTTGCTTTGTTGGTTTAAAACGTGGCCTGATATTTTCTGTTAGATTTTGTGGTTTCTTTTTTTAGTGCGGGGAACTTCAACATTTTCTTTTGGGTTGGTGATAGATTTATGCCTAATGTAGCACCCGAAAATGGATACAACAACGGAGGAGATGTTGGAAAGAGAAAACAACAGGCACTAGATTAATCGTCTGGTGAGTTCTGTAATAAATTCATTTGATTATGAAGGTCGCACCACGCATTCATCGTCATGATTCCTGTGCTAGCTCATCTCTAGGCTGCTGATGTGGCAAGAGCTACACCAATCTTTATATAACTGGCCCACTATGGTTCTTTTCTGTGTAGGCAGTGATTTCAACGTATTACGTTGTTTAAATAGCCGAAAAATCGAGATATCTGTCTCGATCAGGAACTTAGTAGTCCCTCTCCTTGATTTTTCAATCTCATTTTCCTCTCGCATTGTCGGCCCTTTGCGGATTTACGCTCTAGATCTAGATGGGGAAAATTGAAGTAAAATGAAAAAATCTCAATAGTTCAATGTCAACAAGCCGGCACCATCTTCTCATTCGCGTCTCTGCATCAATTTTGTTATAGCACATGCTTAAATTTACATGAATTACACCCACTGTAATAATCGGACAAAAGAAAATAACAAGGGAGAAAGAGGTAATAATAATCCTAATAATAACAATGCCTTCGTTCATCCAAGCACAAAAACATAGCTACACGTCTTAGGCCAGGCAAAGATCTGAGCATGCTCGCTGTGCCCCCGCGAAGTTTTAGCTTTCCAGCCCCTATCCAAAATGGAAAAGTGAAATTGATCTTATTTCGCCATTTTGTAGCCAACCGATGATGATTTAGATATGGAGTCCTATTCTTCTTTCCGATTTGAGATTTTGTGCTTTGAGGATCGGACAAAGGTACGAGATAGTGACTGATAGATAGTCTTACCCTCTACGGTGTCACTAAGGTAGCCGAACAGTGTAAGGAGCACGATGGACAAAAACATAATGACGCCGAAGCTGACCCAGTATTGGTTGATTGTATACACCCCCTTGACGTTCTGAAGTTCGGTCGAAAAGTACCCGGTCATCAAGCTGACGGGCAAAAACAGGATTGTCACTTTGGCCAGCAGAATTGTGATCCTTGTGAGTTTTTCAACAGCCTGTGAGTCTTTGAGCGCAATAAGATTGAAGTTCTGTAAGGTTTTAGCACTTGTCTTAAGAGAATCAAGAAGCAGCATGTCCATACAAGGAATGTGAGAGATTCTTTCTCCGTCAAGCAGGTATCAATTTCAGATAAACAGTAGAGCTTAATACGATCGAGCAACCTTTCGAAACGGGCCACGGCAGGTGAACTCAGCTGTACACCAACCGAGGTGTCTACATTGCTTGAAAACCCCAAACTGCTCTGCAGAGTCGGCTGTCGAAGGTCCATCACCTCGCTTTCTCCGAACATAGGTCCGATGGGTAGTGGAGGCCGGTTCGATTTCGCCTCGTCGCGAAGATGGCGCTGTCTTTGAAGAATCCGCATCATGATGAGTTCGTAACTCTGATAAAGCCGCTTCAAGACAGCTAATCTCCTGCCTAACCAGTGTAGCTCATTGACTAACTCAACCACAGGCTTGCCCAGCATCTCTTCTCTCTACCAAAATGTCAGCGTTTCTGAATAGCATCCAATTGGGGATGATTCTGAGTGTCTTACCAGTCGATCAAGGAGAACCCCGTATTGATGCTCTCGTTTCGCAACGAGTGCATAACTGGAGACCCAATCGTCGAATATATAGTAGAAAAGTAAACTAGGGCCATCCTCTTGTTTTATACTAGCCTGATCTGGGCCATCACCGTGAGCAGGTCGTACGCGAATGGTCACTAATGAATCGCTCTCCGACTGAGCAGAGTGCCGCTTAGACACGCCGGAAAAGATAAGTTGTACATTTCTGCGAACTATGCCGAGTACCGACTTCAGCTCCCTCTCTGACGGCCTAGAATAGCCAGGGTACGGATTCTCTTGCATGGAAATAACAGTGCCTTCTGCGATTAACATCGTATCGAAAGGCGACCAGGGACAACAATCATACCGTCGTCGCATAGAACCAACCAAGACCATAGTCGACTCCCATCAGGTAGACCCCGTCCGTTGGGGGATTCAACGTTCGGGACTACGTACAAAGAGTTGTAACCAATGCATGTATCTAAGCAGCATGTCAGCAAATGCAATGTCTTCAAGTTCCGTAAGGGATGTATACATCTTGGACCGTAGTCTACGGAGCAGAAATGCCAGATTTGATTGGTCACATGTGCAAAGGTGAGACCTCTAAATGACGCAGCCGCTTGTATCTCAGCAGGGTCTGACAAATCCTTCAGTTCTTGAGCTTCTTCGAGGTCATTCTTGCGGGAAACACGAGGCAATCGATCCTCGTTCTTCTCGCGAAAACCATTTGCCGAAGAAGCCGTGGACTGGGACGGGCGAACTACTGGGTCAGTACACATCATTCCCTGTAAACGTTCGGAGATGCCGTAGTGGCTCGTGATTGTCTGGGATATGTTAGTCTAATGTGAGCTCAGCGAAACAAAGCTCGACGAACTTTGATCAAATCTTTCTGCTCCTCTGGCGACCAAATATTGCTGAAACCATGGTTAGTACAGTACATTCTAGAGCTTTGCCGAGCTTGGTGTATATCTCACATCCATCTAGTCCCAAAGAACCTTGGCTTCTGGAGTACGGTTAGTATAAGCTCATTTACAATTAACGCCATCGTATCTAATCACGTACGGCGCTGCGCAATAGTGTCGCAATATCTTCTGCTTCCAGATCCACTGCACACCACGCATCATCGTTGCCAAAATCTAGCATAAAGTTCCGGGTCTGTGCATCCTGTAGATAGCCCAGATAGGCACGAAATTGGGCCTCATCGTCAATATTATGGAATTTTTCTTGGAGATTCGAGTTGCTCTTGAAGCTAGAGTAGTATTCCTTGGGAGTCTGGAGGCTGTGCGATGAAGGAAACCCAGACATGTCTCCTTAGCCTTAGCGAATATGAGCTGGTGATGACTAGTTGTTTGGTTGACAAGATGGTATGCGACGGGAAGATTAATGATATAGGCAAGAGCTAAGAAATGAGTAAACAAAACGGGAAGGAAGGGGGAAGTGAAGCATAAACGCCTCTAAGTAGTAGGTTGACGCGCAGGTAGTCCATGCTGCAGATACTCAGCCTCGTGCTGGGGTCGGGCGAATGACCGCGGTCATTCGTAGGCTGCCGTCCCTTAGCACTAGTAGTATTTAAGCGCCGATCTTGTCACAAACACAGCTGACACGACCACGCACTCCGATGAGGTTATTTCTTTTCCTCTCAGTCCATGACAAGCTTCTAAACGTTGTAAAGTGAGAGCTTTGTTGTATTTATACTTCCACGGGGACTCTTGACCCTCTCCGTCTTGACCTTGAGCATAAATTCGAACAAATCCATAGACCCATGCCAATTCTTACCATACCGGGTTAGTTCGGGCCCCTCTTTATCACGGGGGGGCAGAATGTGGATCTCTTGTTTTAAGGCACCACATCCACATCACTCAGCTGAGAATGAATGCATGATCCAAATCAGATAAGGTTGTAATATCGTCGATATCTAATAACCTTCTACTTCATAGGGTCGTGATTCTATCTACCTGGTTGATTCAATCCAATAAGAGTCTTCTATAGAAGAACTTGACTACTGTCTTCCATGACGCTCTACAGGAATATCTTTGATCGGTTGGAGGGGATCAAACATGGCCAGCGCAACGAAACATGGGAAGACTATTCGCTCGATTACATCATGTACTGAATGCCGGCGACGGAAGCAAAAGGCAAGAAACCTACCATCTACTGCCTGGCATATCATGTGCATTGACTCTGACTGCTAAAAAGTGCAGCCGTGAATGGCCTTGCGACCAATGCCAAGCAAGGAGGTTATCCCATCTTTGTAAATTTGCATCAAGAGGAAAATCAAAGACAACGAGGCGGCTATCAATTGACTCAAGGTCTGAGTGAGGTATATCCAATATTAGACATCTCTCGACTGATGTCATTCTAGAGTGTCAGACACCGTCGAAATGAACAATGTAGATGTGAAACAAGTCCCTAAGAGTGACACCATCATTTCTGTGACAAAGAGTCAGGATCTCCGGGCCTTAGGGTACCTTTCAGATAGCTTGAGTGCCCTAAAAGAAAGCACCAGTAATGCTGTAAGCCACTGCCTGATGAACTAAAACCTTACCACAACCCAATCTGACAGGACAGGATTCCCATGTCATCTCGCAGACACCACATGGAATTACATCCGCCGAGATGGAGGATGCCCTACGGCTTATCCCTCCGAAACCTTACACAGGTACGGCCATAAAAGTCGGACGATATGCGTTCACTAACGCCCACCTAGATATACTTGTGCAGCATTTTCTGAATGAGACGAACTACCAGTACTACAGTATATACCCCCCAACATTCTCCCATGATTACTCTACATGGTGGCTGGGCAAGGTAAAGGGGCAGCCACTGACTGTTGAGTTTACATGTCTTCTGTTGCGTGTCTGTGCATGTTCTGCTCTTGTCCTCTTTCCAGAGGAGCGACAGAAACTAGAATCCGAACTAGGAGAACATATCGAAAGCCTTTCGGAGCGTTACCACCATGCTGCTAGGCGACTAAGCAGTACTATCTCTCCAGGAAGAGGGGGCCTGATACAGGTGCAGCAACTATTCCTTACGGCCTGTTGGTTCAAGACCGAGGCACTGTTCGTCGAGTCGTGGCATGCTCTTAGCTCTGCCATCCACGAAGGTCAGGAATTAGGTAATAGAGACTTCTTTGCTTGAACATATCCTTTGTAATCATTAGCTGACTTTCTACATTTTTTACTAGGCTTGCACAGAAATTCTGCAAAAGTAGCTATCACTGAGTTCGAGCACGAGATGAGGAGGCGCATGTGGTGCATATTGTGCGCCTGGGACTGGTAAGTTGTAATTATATGTCTTCCTTGCAGAAGAAAATTTGGCTCATTCGGAAAGGCAAATGTCGCACCTGTTGTCTCGTCCCGTCATTATCAATAACAATAACCCTGTTGAGCCTCCCAATCTCCGGCTGGAAAGCCCCGACTCCCAAATCGAACTGCCGTCCCCGATGACACATATGGCCTTACAGTGCCAGTTGGGCCAAATGATATCAACAATACCCGGCATGATGGATGAAAGCCTGTCACCCATGCAATCTGTGCCTGTTCAAGAAGTAGTTGAGGAGTGGTTTGCTTCGTTACCGTCTGCCTTCCGGCTCATGGACCCTGACGCTCGCTGGGATAACACCCACAAATTCGTGCCTATGCAACGTCATCAGCTGCATGCTATAGGCTATATGGTAAAGCTGAAGCCATTAAAGCAATGCCTAGTACAGAATCTTGGCCAAGACACGCCCAGTGTCCAGAAAGGTCTCCAGTCATCTGCCATTGATTACGCGCTCAAGCTGATGGATGCATCTTATCGATTGCTGGCTTGTATGCTGCCAATGAACGCCAAATTTCATTTCGCACCTTTTTTGATTTTTGATACAGCCTCCTTGCTATGCTCTGCTATAATTCACGATCATAGTCACTGTCTTCCTCAGCGAGAAACGATTATTCAAGCACTTGACGTATCTGTCAACATGCTAGACCTTGTGCGTACCACAAAAACGGGCGCTATATGCTACTCGATCCTCACCAAGCTTATTGACGGGCTTCCTATATCTTATGTGGAAAGGATGTCCATTAATTACAAACACTCTGAAGAGCTTGACGGAGAGCCTTGTACGACCTCGGAGAGTCAATATGGCTCGGCATTGTTACGTGATGATGGCCTGTCTCTTACAAATGGCACACACCTAAACATAGCTGGTACGAGGAGTAGTGCGGTTCTGCCACTGCAGCTTGCATCCTCCGAGGCAACGAACAGTGGAATTGCTGATGTAGCTAACATAGACCTGGGAACCTTCAACCAGATCTGGGATTGGGGGAGCCTTGACCTTGACCTTTTTGACCCACAGCAGTCCTAAGGTTCTAGTCTTCCGAGACTCTTTAAATGTACTTTATCTATACACCTATGAGAACCGGGGCTGCTACAGTTATGTATACAACTGATAAAGACTTGTAAAATTACGCATTGAGGAATACCCGATGAAGCCTTTGGAAACGCTGCCAGCTTAATAAGGCTACGGTTCTTAGGGCAAGGCTAGTCCCGAAGTGGTTAGTATCATCCACACCCACAAGCGGAGACGCGATTTTCTTTGCGGCGGGCGGCGGCGCCTTTTTTACCTTCGTTCTTTGCACGATATTCAGCGCAGAGCCACACCATAAGGATTTGATTCTTTTGGAAGACTGTCGCCATCATGTCTAAGATCACAGTCGGTATGTATATCAATTCCACTATAATCTAGATCTTAGGCTTCTCAGTAACTAATGCATTCTTTTTCCTGTTACAGCCGGAGTGCGCCAGAATATCCAGCAGCTGCTGGACTACTCTCAGAATGAGAAGAAGAGAAACTTCCTCGAGACCGTCGAGCTTCAGATCGGTCTGAAGAACTACGACCCCCAGCGTGACAAGCGTTTCTCTGGCACCATCAAGCTGCCTTCCGTTCCTCGTCCCAACATGACCATCTGGTACGTGCCGTCCCGGTCGCATCGCCGTTTTGATGAAAACCTGGAAGGAAACGGTGATGGATGGAGTAGAATGAGCGAAATGAGCTGACGAGCGATGGATTATAGTATTCTTGGTGACCAGCACGATCTCGACCGTGCTAAGCACCACGGTATTGATGCCATGTCTACTGAGGATCTTAAGAAGCTTAACAAGAACAAGAAGCTCATCAAGAAGCTTGCTCGCAAGTACGATGCCTTCCTTGCTTCCGACAGTCTCATCAAGCAGATCCCCCGTCTCTTGGGTCCCGGTCTTTCCAAGGGTATGTTCACTATCTAGCGTTGCGCCCGGTGAGATGTACAATATGCTGACAGTTTCCACAGCTGGTAAATTCCCTACCCCCCTCTCTCACGCTGAGGACATGGCCAACAAGGTCACCGATGTCAAGTCCACCATCAAGTTCCAGCTTAAGAAGGTTCTCTGTCTCGGTGTTGCCGTTGGCAACGTTGGCATGACTGAGGATGAGCTGATTGCTAACGTCATGTTGGCCATCAACTACCTCGTCTCCCTCCTCAAGAAGGGCTGGCAGAACGTTGGCAGCCTTGTTCTCAAGGCTTCCATGTCTCCTCCCAAGCGTCTCTACTAAGTTATTGACGCTCTCAGGTCACGCTGGGGGTTTTTTTTAGGGGCTTAGAAGTGGGATTGTATATGCCATAGTTTCGGAAATGTGACTCACGACTTTGTTCCTAATTCGTTCTTTATGTCTCCACTGTAGGAGTAGTTCTGGCATCGACTATGGACCGTAGTATATAAGTCTTTCATATTTGCATTAGCCATGCTAAACGGCAAATCTATCTATAAATACAAAGTGGAATGAGATCGAACAATTTTACGCCCGTGGGATGCTCATTGCATACCAGGCATCAGGTCCGTCTTGTCTAGAATCATTCCCCTCATACCAATAAACTCCCGTAAGTTTTCCCACTCCTCTCCCTCTTCCTCGCCACGCATGTAGATATCCTTAAAACCCCATTGAAGTGCAACTCTGTCCAAAGCAGCTCGTTCCTCTTCCCGGAGCCAGCGATGCCGCAATGGGACACCAGGCAACCATGTTACCCGCTCCATCTGATCATTGGCCGTGGTGATAGCCAGGATACCCACCGATGATACACCTCCCACGTATGCAAGACTTGCAGCGAACGCAATGCCCGTAGCTGTGCTGGGATCCATGGTATTCTGAAGTGTCGCAGCCCAGGATGCAATCGCATAACAAGCAGCCGGTGCAGCAGCCAGCCCACCTAGAGGCACGGCTGCTTTCTTAAAGACCTTTGCGCGGGAGAACGCGGGAGCGCAAAATGTATTATCAATGATTGCAAGAACGAGAGACAGGTTCCGCTGCTCGATAGCGACCTCTAGAGCCATGTTGGCTAGTTCGGTGGGGATAGCACTGTTGATGTCTTTAGGATTCGCCTTGTGAAATTTAACAGGGGAGCTATTCTCCTCCGGGACCGGCTTGTGCGCATATAAATGAAAGATCTCCGGGAAGTGCTCGGCACGCTTGAGTAAACTCTGAACCTTGGTGTAGCAGGCCAGTGCCTCGGGGGAAATAAACACCTTCTCATCCGTCAGAAGCTCGTAAGTGATCTCGGAGAGAGCATTGGCTAGTCGCGGGTCCGCAATTTTAGGTGATTTGGTTCGTTTCTTCGTAGCGCTCTTTTCTTCTAGGTCAAGCAGGTTGGAGATCTCATTATCCCCTTTCTTTGTTGTGTCCTGCTCTTGATGTACAAGGGCTTCTGCGATTTCTTCACATCTCTGAAGGAGTTCCACAATCGCTTCGTTGGAGGGCACAGAATCCAATTGTCGGAGCTCAGCTGAATCGTGTGTGATCTGTCGCAAGGCATCTTCTAGATCTCGGGGAGGAGTTGTCTCGGGCGTGTTTGACACAAATCGAGAAGGTATCATCTGTGTAGTAGCCCAGTGGTTTTTTAAGTTTTTCCTGGCCTTCCATAATCCGACATCTCTGTTGGAGATGAATGGTCCTGTTGATGCAAAAGATCGCGTGAAGTGGGTTCGTGGCCGGGGTGCCGGGGATGCGGAGGAACGGCAGAATTGACATATTAGGGATTGAGACCTTGAGGCCCTTTGGCCCCTTAAAGCAATGCCTTTCATGGTGAGTAGTGAAAGTACTTTTGGCGTTGTTTTCCAAGCCGGTGAGTACGGATACGAGGATAGGACAATATGCCATTTGCGACGCAAGGCGGAGTCTTACTGCCGCCGCTACACCGCCACTAACTCCGGACGGACTCTCCACTATTGGGCAACTTAACTGATCCCATTCGCTTTGCTCCATCAGGCTACATTGACACCACTCCTTCTTCTCCCCATTCCAACGGACGTCATCTTTCTCCCTGAAAGAAACGTCAAATGGTCCCCTCGATCCCGGCGGATTGATCCCTCGCGATCGCTTTTTCCCGTGATCAATAACCACCCCTCTTTCTCTTTCAACGTTCAATTTTAATACTCTATCTTTTCTATCCATAAAATGCCTCCTCCACCACCACCGCCGCCTCCGCCGCCCGGTGGTATGGGAGGACCCCCTCCCCCTCCCCCTCCAGGAGCTCTCCCGAGTAGGCCATCAGGTGCAGAAGCGAAGGGCCGGGTAAGTCTATATGTTCGAAACAATGCCTGACAGACGACTGATCTATTTGGTAGGGTGCCCTTCTCTCGGATATCCATAAAGGCGCACGACTTAAGAAGACTGTAACCAATGACAGATCAGCGCCCCAGATTGCTGGGGGAGGAGCGAAGTCGTCTGGCCCTCCGATTGCAGGCGCGCCGCCCGTTCCAGCCATGCCAAAGCTCCCGGGTTCGGCACCACCGGTACCCGGGCAAGCAGCGAACAGACTACGAAGTGATAGCGGAGCTGGTTCAGGGGGGGATAATAGCGCGGCTTTACCGGCAGCTCCACAGCTGGGAGGTCTCTTTGCCGGAGGAATGCCCAAGCTACGCAGTCGAGGAGGAGTTGATACTGGAGCCAATCGAGATTCGCCATATCGATCAGAATCACAAGGCTCGTCGGCACCGAAACCTCCCGTGTCGCCTGCTCCGAAGCCTCCAGGAGCTCGTCCTCCTCCGCTACCTTCTTCAGAGTCTCCTCCTGCCCCTCCTGTTAACCCATTGGTTGCTGGCCTGAAGAAGCCCCCCCCAAGGCCCGCCTCGCGGCCATCCTCTACTATCTCAAATGCATCGGCTAGGTCGGCGCCAGATGCTCCACCCCCTCGTGCACCACCACCGTTGCCAGGCTCAGCAAAGCCGCCTCCACCACCTCCCGTGTCCTCTAGGAAACCATCAGCCCCGGCTCCTCCTCCTCCTGCACCCCCTTCTACAAGTCCAGCTGCGCCACCTCCACCTCCACCTACAGCCCGACCACCTCCCCCAGCGCCTGCGCGATCTACCCCTCCTCCTCCACCTCCTCCACCACCGCAGCCGCCTAACGGAACCGCTGCTGCATCAATAGCTGTTCAAGCTGCGAGGAACGCTTTTGGGCACAGTCAGCAGACACCGTCAGCCCCGCCCCCGCCCCCACCCGCTTCATCCGCCCCTTCAGCACCCCCTCCACCTCCTCCGAGTGCTCCCCCAAGCGCCCCTCCGAGTGCTCCTCCGAGCCAGCCACCATCACGCCCGTTATCTCACGAGCCTCCAGCTAGTCAACTCCCGGATCGATCTACACTAGATCCGAGCGCTTACACCCTGAGCAACGGCGGGCCGTCCTCAGGGTCGAGCCCTCTAAGTTCAGCAGCGCACGGGTTGAATCGTGTAGAAGATGTTCGGTTCAAGTTCCAGAGCGAAGGTTTATTCCCCAAGCCTCGGCCTTTTGTAGGAGGCCCCAGACGATACCGTGCTGGACGAGGCAGCAGCGTGCCATTGGATTTGAGCGCATTGAATGGCTAGGATACTGTTCTAGATAACAAACAGACTGGGGGCTTATCAATTTGCTTTGCAACTTCAAGTTGCATCTTGTTATCGGGATAGCCAATAGGCAATGCAACGAAAGCTTCTTTCTACTTGCGCTCTTTTTTCATGTACAACTAGACACGTTCATTTCAGTAGATGGACGTTTTATTATTTTCTTTTTTTTATGCTCTTCTATTCATTGTCTTCCAGGTAATAAAACATATATGTAGATAGGAGGGGCAACACATTTCGACGTCATCCGAGCTATTGGATGTTTCCAGTAAAGATAGAGGGTCATAGTTTGTCACGTGACAGACTAATCGTATCGAAGTGTCTCGACGGAGGAGAAAGAACAAACTCATTGTTGCGACCACTGCTGTGCTGGTTCACCATAATTTTGCCATATCGCCTCGGATAGCATGCCATCTTGATCTTACTTTAAATGGGCTTCTAACAGCAAAATTCAACGAGGACGGAGAGCAGCAGCCCAAATACCCTACACGCGTCCACCACTGGTTCTGCAGAGCAACGTCGGCGATAGAGTGCCACAATTCGATAGACTTCAACCTTCCAGAAAGGAATTGGAATCACTATTATTTTTTTCTTTGACTCCTGACTACGTTCCGTCGGCGTCCCTTTTCTGGCGGTCTCGGGTCGTTAACGATAGCTCCCGCAAGCTCTCATCGCCTTTCTAGAGCTCCAACCCGGTTCGGACCTATTCGCGCACGAGTACGCACGCCGTTCCCACCTGTTTACCTCAGGGAATCCTATAGCGCTTCATCATGTCTCTCCACTCATATATTAATAGTACGTTATCCAGTGATCGGTAGATCCCAACATTATACAAGACCGAGCTAACGCCTAGTTCCGTAATAGAAAAAGTCCTGGTTCTGACTGTTGACGGGCGGACTCTTCTGGGAACGCTACTTTCCACGGATCAGTTGACTAACCTGGTTCTCCTGGATACCATCGAACGAATCATTCGCACCCCTGATGACCCCGAGCCAAGCTCTCAGATCGAGCACGGTCTGTACCTGATCCGAGGCGATAACGTGGTAGTATGCGGCGAAGTGGACGAGAAGATCGATGGCGAGATTGACTGGGCCAAGGTTAAAGGCGAGGTGGTCAAGGGTACCAAGAACGCATGAGCCCTGATTTTGTACCGATTACGATGCGAACTTTCTTGCTCAAGGATGAACCACCTTCCTTTTGCATCAGAGTGACGCTGGATGATCGAAACGTGGCATGGTGGCTAGGTTGGACTAGACCGTTTGTGATAGATCTTATTTTTTTTTTTTTAATATTTTTTTCGTGGCTGAGAGTGCAACAGTCCATCAGAGCCTCACGTACAGTGCGCTTCTTGTGCACCGTGTCACGCGGAGGGGTACCACTATGGTCCTTATCCGTGGCGGTGATACAGATTTGGATTGATATCGTGGCGTATTCTGCGACCATGGTGGGGCTCGGACTAGACGGCAGCTTTTTTTTTTATTAAAAAGAAAAAAAAAAATGCGATCTTAGGTCAAACATACTGGCGCTACGGCTCCTGGGGTTTTACTTGGTGGCATCAGGAGAAAAAAGGGGGAGGAGATGGAAAGGAAGAGGGAGAACAGTGGATGGGATAGAAACAAGGGAGACGGCAATCACGGCAGTACATTTTTTCAGGACGATCCATCCTCGACGGAGTACGAACGCAAGAATTCAGGGAGGGGATGATAATGATGATGATGAATCATGGATCTCAACAATGTATCTATATGTATGTGAACTGCAATTCGGGCACGTTGATTGGGGCGAGTGGAGCCCCAATCTGATATCCTATGCGGAGAATGCAACCTATCGACTACTACTACTACGGAGTACTACTACTACTACTACTACCTGATTAGAGAAGCAGGACAAGGAATGACATGCATTGCGTTTGGATTTGACTGATTGAGAGCGTCGAGTGGTTGTCGTGTTTTAGGGCTTGGCGAGAATTTCGGAAGTCGTGCAGTGTCTCGTTCCGGGCGTTGTCGTAGTAGTTAGTAGTGGTAGTCGTAGTACGAAGTAGTCGTATAGGCAGCCAAATACTTGAGCTAACGATGGACGGCGTCGAACTAGATTGGACCATCCCGTTTCACCAAGAATTTCAACCGTCAATCGGTTGTGGACACATTGACCGGTATGCAATTGGCTTCGCTGCCCAATTGTTTATTTTTATTATTTTTAATATTTGACTTCCGAGTACGTCTGAGAGTGAGGGGTTTGGAAATCTTATACTCGTTCTCTCTCTGTTCCTATTCAGCCACGGTCCCATTCCCATTCCCATTCCCCCCGGTCCGAGTGGAGTGGATGACTTATATAAGAACAAACTGAAAATAACTTACAACAACAGAGATACTACTACTACTACTACTCGAACTAATGATCCTCCACGAGAGATCGTCTACATAGACATCTCTACTCCCTGACAATAAATCTGGTAGCGCCGTTTCTGCTCTGCCGCGCGCCCCGCCCCTGCCAAGTGCAAATCGCCCAACCATCTCTCGCCCGTTCTTTCGTTCCCCTGACCTCCTACTCCTCCTCCTTTTCCTTTCTCTCTCTCTCTCTTTCTCTCTTTCTCTCTTTTTCTCTCTTCCTTTCACTATCGCTCTTCTTCATTGTCTGGTCTGTTGTTATTGCTGTTTTATTTGTCTTCGTCTTTTGTCCCATTTTCCTCCAATTATTTTCGGTGGTCGCTGTCCCACGAATTCTTTTCTCCGACGTTGTAGGTCGCTGGGCGATCTCCGTTTTTAACTGCCTTCCCGTCCCGCCCGCTATCGTACTATACGCCCTTCATGTTGCTGTCGGCGACACGACAAATATCGAGACCTATTTACCGGTGCCCTGGGGCCTATCTGTTCTCGTGAGTGCCATACGTTTTTGGCCCGTGTCGCTATCGGTTGACCTGCGAAACCCTTCTTCACCGCTCCCCAACCTCCCTCCAACCTCCCCAGCCCAACCATGTGGCTGTGGCGAGGCGCTCAATCGGCGGTCTTCTACTATGCCACCTGTACACCATGTGCCGAGAAAGTCGATCGTCGAAAACGCATGAAAGAAGCCGAAGCCGCTCGATCCCGTCGCGAAAAGGAGAAGAATGAAGAGATCATCGCCGACCAACCTCGGCCGTTCCCCCAACCCACCGCCTTCAGTACCAACCCCGGATGGGCGGAGGAAATTGCGTTAGGTCCTGGACCCCCCGCAAGAAGAGGTGGCAACCGGTCTGCGCATCGTCGGACGGATAGTTGGAATACGGATGGACTCTCGGCGAACTCCGGTCAGGATGTACGTGCGTCGCAAAAGAAGGACAAAAGCAGCTTGATGCAACCGATTGAGGAACGGTGGAACCGCATGCGATATCAGCGCGAAGACGAGCCGTTATGGGGTGAAGAAGTGGAGGTGAAGGGCTCTTCGGTTGGATTATCAGGTAGCGGGAAATCGAATGGCCCCGAACCCAGCAAATACTATATTGCACGGGTTCCTCCAGTCAACGATCTTCATCCGCCTATCGTCAGTGGACCCAAGTCTAGGGCTGAGACGCGATGGATGCTGCAACCTGTACCTAGCGCTAGGGTAATGGCCGGAAAAGATCGCTTCCCTACCCAGAAGAGCAGTGCCAGCGACCCCTCTTTGACCCGCGAAAAAAGTACCAACAAAACCTCCGATCGAACCCCACTACCTCCCTTATCTACTCAACATGTTGAAAAGAAACCCGCCAGAGTCCGTCCTCCTTTCGCCCACCTTGATGATGATGACGACGATGACGACGATGATCCTCGATCTCTGAAGACGCCGGAACCCAAGGATAGCCGCGAATACAGACCACCCTCTTCCCTTACGTACGGGCGTGATGAGTCTAATTTTGTCATAGCTTCGTCTCTACGGTCACGATCAGATTCGTCTTCGTTAGCTTCGATTGACTCCGATGACATAGAATCCCCAAGAGTTTCGATACAATCCCCGCAGACACCGATATCCCGACCGATGTCCAAGGAAGCCGATGACGGTAGCAAACTATTCCGGCCGCATGTGTCGAAGACATTATCGAACCTGCATCGGGAGGACAAGAAAGTTCAATTATTACATTTAGAGATTTCCGATCCCCACGAGGAAGTCGGATTAGGTGATCTTGAGCAAATACGACCGTGGCGCTGGAGCATGGACATCTAGCTGCAGTATTCGATTCCTTGAGTAACTTTCTAGCCTCGATTCTGTTTCTTCCTCGAATTCTGATTCGAGACATTCCGATACACCTTGATACCTGGTTTTTTCTCGGCGTTGGCAGCAGACAAAAGCGATCGTTCCGTTCCTTATCATCCCATCGATTCTCTATGCATTGGAGCAACCAGTTACCCCACGGAAGTCCGTTGTTATGTGCATGGCAGGACCACCAGAAACGAACGAGATTATTGAAGACTTTCTGTGACTGTTCTCACCCGTTGTCTCCATAACATACAGTACCTATACATACATACCATCCCTGCAGAATTTCATCCATCCTTTCATTACCAGCGCAGATTACACTCCCTAATTTGCATTTTCTTTTTACCGTTGTCTGATTTGTTCTTTGACCTTTGTTCTCAAATATGCATTGCCCTGAAGTCCCATTCTCATGTCCATGTACAATACCTTTTAATATCAATTACTGCATGTTTCTTTCATTGCGCGCGTTGTCCATGATTGAAGTTTTTTTTTCCTGGTGTTTATTGGTCATTATATACGATATGCCGATAAATAATACATCTTGCAATACTGAACTGTATCTTGATAATACGTAAACATGGATGGTCCGTACAAAGTACCCCGAAATCTCCACTAGGCATCCCTTTCATAAGGATAATATTAAAAGAGACATGTTTGCGTCATATGTGGTTTGGAAAGAACAAGAAAAAAGAGTAGGATTTGAGGTATATTGTTAGTGTGCAAACGATGGGATTTAGCCAATATATCGCGAGCGTATCGCCAGTACACAATGATATTGAGCTCCATGTGGGAAAACGGATTCCGGAACAATGCTGACAAGACGAACAAAAACGAAGAGGATCATATGATGATAGAGATGATTTCGGTAAGCCCATAAGAAACATGTCATGAGTACGTAGCACACATGCGCATTAACTCAGTGGCCCATCTGGAATTTATTTTTATTTTTTGTCTTTCCGCCTTTCATTCTCGCTCCCCCTTTTCCGCGTTCGATTGGGTCCTGTTTAGTAGACCTTCTTCTTCTCATCCATACTCAATTGGCCAGGGCCCATGTTGACCAGAAGCAAGAGACCGCCGCTATTGAATATAATTAGTGACTGAGATCCACAATAATGCGAGACAGGGCTAAGTGTAACTTACACAATAGACAAGATCTGGAAGAAATCGTACTTGGCGAAATCCTTGTGGGGGTGGTGGGGGTGGAGCTAGGGGGCCGTTAGTTACTAGATACCCAAACGTTGTTCAAGGTATACATACGGTCCAGAAGTTGTTGACCAGAATGTTGAAGACGCTCAGCAACACCACAAGGATGATTGCGCTCCACTTGGCCTTGAATCCCACAATGACCATAACGCATGCCACGAGGCCAAACAAGCTGACCAGAATGCGCCAGAAGCTCCACTGGCCGGAGAAGACGAATCCGATGAAGAGGAAGATGAGCAGGACACGGCCAGCGAACTGAACGTACATCTTGCGGTCCTTCTCATCAAGCTGGGGCAGACCAGCTGGGACGAACTTCTTGCGGACCCATGAGTCGGAGAGAACCATGAGGAGACCGCCAATAACACTCAGGTTGCGAAGGAAGAAGTTAAGATCGAAGATGAGCCCATATCCGAGGCCCTGGGTGACGACGACACCCAGCAGGCCGGCGACGGCGATTTCAGTGTGTTTGCGAGCAATGACCAGGAAAGAGCATATCGACATAGCAAGCACATTGAGGATGAGGAAGGTGTGTGTGATACCCCAAGGAACTGAAGATGGTTAAACCGGATGCACGAGGGCTCACTGTGCAGCAATGATCACCATTGCTGCGGGTGGCAGGAGTAAGCTTACTTTTGCGGTAATCCCGCAGGTAGAGGAGCTGGTCGCTCCATTGTGTAATGATTCGCAGACTGTCCTCGATGAAAGTGACGACGATCAGGAAACGGCCAATGGCTGGTAGATACCTATAGACGGAAGAAGACACAGTGTTAGCGGTATGTGTCTAACACTACCATTCCGACAGCTGTTTACGTCTCCTTGCACCGCGCAGAGAGAACAGCGGAATGAATTGAAAACAAAAGGTTCGGAGACCACGTACGGTTTAACGGGATCTGCCAACGTGTCCAACCAATCTTCAATCTTGCTGGTCTGTTCCCGAATGGCATCCAAGGGGCTAGGGTCGCTTGTAGCATCTGCGCGACCAGGACCCCCGAAGGGATTTTGGTGACCAAGATTGTATCCCGCGGTGCCGCGGATTTGCGCCATTGCGGAAGTTGTTGTTTAATAGAACGAGGAAATTTGAGCAAGCAGGAGTATGAGAGATGTACCGAGAATAGGAACCTCGGGAGCTAGCCACGAGGGGTCGGTAAACAAGAAATAAAGAAAGGATTGGTAGAGGATGAAATAAGTGACAATCAGAATAGACGAAATTCCCGAGCGAGGAGAAGAAGAAGAAGGAGAGAAGAAGGGAGGGGAAGGAAGAGTAAATACTAGCAGAGAAGACCCGAAAGAACGAATGATGCGAAAGAGAAGAGGACAAAACAACAAGTTGCATCCGTTGGTTCGTTGCCCACCCGTGACTTTACGTCGGCGGCCCTGCAGTTCAGGCCACGATGACCGGAACTCGCTGCTAGTCCCCATGGGGGATGGTTGCCAAGCCATCTCAAGGGGTTCTCTGACGACATTTGCAGAACGAGAAGATCCCACACTCCCTCCTGCAATTATATTCTTCCTTCCAAAAGATACCATTCTATTTTTAAAAGCACGTCGCAACTTTGGGTTAAATTTGGAACCATCCTTCTGTTTCGTCGCAGACTAACCAACCCCAATGGTGGTTCGTTCGTTCTACACCCTACTACTATCCGACTACAAAGTACGAACATACATGAGATACCACACGGATCCCCACTGTACATCAGGGACTATATTGATCGTCATTCCCAAATTGGCCCATTCCTTCCCGAATTAAGAACCATAATGGATCCAAAACAAATATATCCAGCAAAAAAAGCGGAGAACGCATTAAAACCCAGAACCAGGGTACAATAAACACGGCACTCAAGGTAAATAAATAATTATTAAACGCAACGAACCCAGATCATCCCGGCACAAAGAAAAGGCCAGGTGGCTTTTGCGGAGACGAACCATTGCAGATCTTGATCCATGCTCGCCCGTCAAGGGCCTCCACTATGGTAATCTATGCAAAATACCGGGTCCTCAACGCAGGGGCATTGGACCAAGCAAAGGAATGAAGGCCTAGTCCGCAAACAAATCAATCAGGAAAAGGATATAATAAGTAATAAAGCATGGTATTGTGGCGAAAACCCGGAATCTGGTCATAGATCAAACGTCTTTTCATCCATAATTATCGATCAGATAACAAAATGTGTTATAAAACAAGACAAGAAGAATTTGAAAATCCGAGCAGTACACAATTGAGAAAAGGAAAAGGAACAAGAAAATATTACACGGCTCTATTTTTTTAAGGGGGTTTTTCTTGGATTTGGGTGGTTGAGGCTGATGTTCCCTGTGCTGACGTCGCAGAAGGAATCAAACGCCTCGCCGGCTGCGTGGTGCATTTTTAGTGTGGTAAAAGACCCCGAACGCCGAAGCCATGAATAATACATACAGTGAAATCGAAAAGATTTCCATGAGAAAAAAAGTCTGATACACCTCAACCATGTACCTTTTCAGTTCTTTAAGAAACTCAAAGGCCGCTCAAGCAGCCCAATCGGAGTCAAGGGGATGCCCCTTCTTTCCGGAGCGGAGGACATCAGGAAGGTAGGTAGGAGTGATCTTCACCTTGGGCTCAACAGGTGCAGGTGCAGGTGCGACCAGAGTGGGCTGGTCTTCAACAGCGCTGACTTCGCTGTCGTCGGTTTTGCCGCCCTTCTTCTTGATCTTCTTGCTAGACACAGTAGTCCACTGATCCTCGCCGTTCTCTGCGCCGAGAATGCGCATCTGCTCCTCCTCGGATGGGAGGCCCTGGTCCCACACCTTGGAGGATGCGGCAGCGGACGAGTTTTCAGGCTCAAATGTGTCCAGTAGTTCAACCTTAGGGGCCGGAGCGGACTTGTGGGTGCCGTTGGGAACATTACCGTTGGTAACCTTGTTCACGCTCTGAGTCTGCCAGGCATTAGGTTGAGCAGCCGGCTTTGACTTGGCGGTTTCACGGCGCTCAGATTCACGAGCGGTGTGAAGCTGCTTCTCGAGCAATTTACGTCTCTCCTCCTCGGCTTCCTGGACCTGCTGCTTCCGAGCTTCGTTCTTCAGGCGCTGTTGGCGTTGCTTCTTAGTTTCGACTTGCTTGAAAGATTGGGGCTTCTGCTTCTTCTTCTGGGAGTCCGATTCCAAAGAGCCCGTCACACGGAGAACTGACGCTGCTGGGGCAGGAGCCTCGAGCATGTCAGAAACATATCCAGCAGCAGAGGCACTGGCATTAACCTTAGGGGATCCAGCTGGAGACAGGTCATCATCAGCATCGGCTCCGGTGGTGGATGAGGTACGAGTAGAGACACGGGAGGCAGATCGCTCGTTGTTGCTGGCGGTGAGCTGGCTGGAAGTTCCCTTCTTGTTCTTCTTCTTTTGAGCCTTGCTGCCACTGTTGCCGTCCTTGTTGCTTTCCTTAAGGGGAACACCGTTCTTCACAGCGGCAAAGCGCTTGGCCATCTCTTTCTTGTCGATCTCCTCATCCGCCACATCAGCCTCCTCAATCTTGGGGGTCTGCACTGGCTTTTCCTCGAGCTTAGCGGGGGCAGGAGAGGGTTCCGGAGACTTCTTAGTCTTCTTGGGTTTCTTCGCGCTCACCGCGCTCTCGGCCTTTTCCACGATGGGTTTTATGGGGGCTTTAGTTTTGGGGACAGGGCCATTATAGTACCAACCCAGGCCACCTGCTACCACGAGCAGGATAGCCCAACTGAGGTAAGGATTCATCATCGTCAAAACTATAACCACTTTGCGTTAGTCAACGACAAAACAATGATAAATCGATGACTCTTGCCCGGGGGGGGAAGGGGGGGGTTAGCATACGTTTAATGTGTATTCTTGAGATAACGTAGCAAAATCGTGATCAAATGAGTCAAATAAGATACGTTTCAAATGATAATCAAGGTTCGTCTTCGCGACAGAAGTCCACGCGCGTAATGGAACTTGGCGCAAAAAGTGATTGCAAGAATCCGCTGAGGATAGCTGCAAAAGGGGTGGGGAAAGAACAAATAGTGGAAAAGTGGAAAACAGGTAGCAAGCGATCTCTCGCAGGTCGTTAATTCAGCTTCAAATCATTAGGCTGAGGAGGTGACGACACAATAGGTGGTTGGAAGACAAGGGGAAAGCCAAATCTCAGCTTCTCCGAAAGGCCAGATTGCGTCGCAGCGCGGATACCGGTCGATTGAATTGCTGTAGCTCTTGTCTACAGCAACTCTGGCACTTCTTTGGGAGAGTATTTGAGTGATCTCAAAGTGCTTCAGCTCTTTGTGGGTAATCAGACCGAGGCTGGGGTTGAGCTACGGTGTCGAGTGCGCTTCGAGGGCGTTGGGAGGCGAAAAGAGCGGGAATCAACCAAGGAACATCGAACCGCCTAGCAACCTCAACCAATCCGTGGAGGAGGAATTGACAATGGGCGGGACGAATTGCAGTCGGACGAAAATGGAGGGGGGAGGAAGTAGATATAGGGGAGGGTGAAGGGGGAAAGGAGGAGGTGAAGGAGGAGGTGGAAAAGGCCGCACGAGTGGTAGAAGAGGACACGCTTTAGATGAAGGGGTGACCTTTCTTACTAGTGGTCATCCGGCAGTGAATTTAATTACCTACTGGCGAATATTAGTTCAATGGTCTGCGCGCCAACACCCGCACCTCCATCTGTTTTTCTCCACTTCCACCAAGTCTGATAGCACTCTCAAGTGCTGGTTCACTTGGTCTTTTGTACATATTGTTCATGATGGTGGCGTTTTGACAAGGATGCTGTCTGGGTTTTCTACCCCTACTTGTCTTTTTTCTTCCTCTGTTTTCCCCTTTTATTGGTAGTAAGACTCAACCGTCTGTACCGACACTAATGGCCCAATTGGAGTTAACAAAGGATTCTTATCCAGTTAGCGAACGGAGCTAAGAGGTTCCAGAAACAATTGGTCATAAAACCGGAGAATGGAGATAGTATCAGTATCAATGACTACCACCGTCACCAGGGGCAAATTACTCTGCGCGGGGAGAGATCTTCACCCAACCCCCGTTCAACCCCTGTCGATGGACGTCTAGACAAAAGTTTGATGGCGGATTCCTATGTGCACGAATAATGTTCAGCGATTCATGTCCATTGTTGCTTCACTGCCTCCATGCATGCATGTAATTGGTGGTATTCACATTACGCTACAGATGACACCCACTGAAAGAAAGCGGAGAAACATTACCGTACCGGCCGGTATTGGCGATTTCTAGTATCAGTACGGAGTGCCACAATAGGCAGAGTCTCAAACGAATAGTACCTGAGTAGGTATTGTATGTATGGTACAGTACCATGCTGACTCGGAAACAGGCCACATCGCCTCAATTCCGGTGTTTACCCGTTTCTCAATATGATTCTTACGTTCGAGATTCAAGACGAAGGAAAGGAATTCAATCCAGCGCTCCAACAAATAAACCCCTTGCAGGGTACCGACCATTCATGTCACGCGATAAGCGGTATCTCAACTCCTGTATGTACAAGGTGCCACGAGGCTTCCTCGAGTCCACAGCATCTTTCTTATTCTAAGGCTGAGTAGACCTTGGCTGCCTGCTTCAAAGTCACGTAAATGTAACGTCGTCCAACTCACTTCGGGAGGACCATGGGGAACTTGACAAATAACACGTTGAGGAACCGCTAATAGTCCCAATGGCTGTCGCTAACAGGCTTTGAGGCTTGGGGACCGTGGAAGCTGTGTATCTGAACTCCCCCTTATAGACAAAAGTTCCTTGGCCATCACAGAATATTTATCGGCTGGTCAGCCCTCTGTATTCGGTGTTATTAAAGCATCACAAGCTTCTAGAAGTTGGTCTAACCAAATCTGGTTTGGTTTACTGCTGTCCTTTCACGGTATCGTTCCGAGTCGTCAGGTGGAGGGAAGTATAGATAAAATAAATATAATACTAGTAGTAGTAGTAGTAGTAGTAGTAGTAGGATAATTGCAGGGCATGTCAATGCTTCTTTTAACTCCGGGGATTTAAAAAGTTCGTTCGATACAGTAAATTCTGACGCATCAATATTGTCCGATACTGTCCTACTACTACTTACTGCTAGGTTACTGTACCTGAGTGTCTGGCAAGAACACCTTGGTCAATGACTAAGGCAACCCCCAATCATGGTGGAGAACCAGTGATAACGACCTAAAGCCAAGACCATCCCACTTTGGCTCCAAATCATCCTTCTCCATAAAGCCTGTATTAAGAGATTTTGTTCGCAATATTCTATATTTTTCGTTCGCAGCTACGGTTAGTCTTAAAGGTATACGCTTAGATTATGGCACCCAAGAAGATCATCATTGATACTGACCCGGTAAGTGAGATATGTATATGTTTCTCGCTGCTGCCCGTACCCCGCTGAGCAAGGTACTGATTTGTAGTTCCAAAGGGGATCGATGATATTCTCGGTCTTCTACTCGCTCTGTCCGCAACACCAGAGGAAGTTGAAGTCCTGCTGATCTCCTTGACCTTCGGTAATATTGAGGTGAGAAGGTAAGTGCTGTCGCCCAAGTATCCTAGAGGCCAGCACTGATATGAGTAGCTGTCTTCGCAATGTCGTCTCGATGTTCCATATCCTCGAACGAGAGATGCAATGGCGTCGGGAGCAAGGTCGTCCTGAAGGGTTTGGTGCCCTGCGCGCCGCCTCACCAGTCGTTGCGGTTGGTGCTGAGGATCCCTTAGAAGACCAGAAGATGCTGGCGGACTATTTCCGTACGTTTCTTGGTCCTCTCAATTTTCTCGGTGATTTACACAAGGCTGACTTATTGTAGATGGTACCGACGGTTTAGGAGGAATCCATACCAGCGTATGTTAGCGTGCTACTTCTATACCTTGCCATAGCCTTACTGATTGATGCCGCCAGCACCCCCACCTGACTCCTAAGGAGACTTGGGAGCATCTCTTTGATCCTTCCGCTGATCCAGTTGAAGTCGAACCCATTCCGACGGGCAACCCTTCACGCCCGTCCTTCATCCCTTCTAAGCGTCGGGCACACGAGGAGATACTTCGTGTTTTGCGTGAAAATGACCCAGACACCGTCACTTTGGTGGCAGTCGGGCCTCTAACCAACCTCGCATTGGCCTCTGCAGCTGATCCAGAGACATTCCTGCGCATCAAGGAAGTGGTGGTGATGGGTGGAGCTGTCAATGAACCCGGTAATGTAAGGACATTTTCCCCTTGGGACGAAGGTAGTCACAAAAGGTTAACACCGCACACAGGTAACCCCGGCCGCTGAATTTAACACCTACGCCGACGCATTCGCAGCCGCACGGGTCTATGCTTTGACATCACCTTCACCCAAGTCCACTATCCCAACGAACTCAAGCCTACCAGACTACCCCGCCAATCTCAGCAAGCAGCTCACACTGCGCATCTTCCCGTTGGACATCACGCTCCGCCACGGAGTCTCACGCGGCCAGTTCCGCGAGGCAGTCACCCCACACCTGGAGAAAGGCTCGCCATTGGCCGAGTGGGTGTCAGCCTTCATGGCTCACACTTTCCACACGGTCGAGAAGCTGCATACGGGCCGGGCGGGCGATGATGTCGAGCTCAGTCTGCATGACCCCGTCTGTGTGTGGTATGCTATTACCGCAGATGATGACAAGTGGAGGCCCTCCGCGACCTCGCCAGAGGATATCCGAATCGAGACCACTGGACAGTGGACCCGGGGTTTGTGTGTCGTTGACCGACGGAACAGACACCGCATCGATGGTGATGAGGAGCACTCCAGTGACCATGGTCTCTGGTTGAGCTCGAGAGCCGGAAACCGTGTCTGGCGAATGGACGCTTCGCCGGTCGAGGATAATTTCGGGGCTGTTCTCCTTGAACGGTTGTTCGCTTGAACTGACGGTACTGTTTGAGATAGGCTAGAATGTATATACGATTACATAAATGCCGTGGGTTGATAGGATAGAAGTATATTTTTGTCACCTCTGAAATGTCACGGCTACGGGATAGGCTTGTTTGTAGTAATTCCACGCAGGCCATAGCTATGTGAAGTCAAAAGAACGCATAATAACAGCAATGATGAAAAAAAAAAACATACAACAGGAGGGATTCGCTGGTGGTCACCCACCCAACTACTAACCTCCCGGCGTGTGGCTTAAGTACGGCTGAGCGGACGGGAAGCCCTGTTCTCCACACCCTATGGTCGTATGTACTAAATATCTATAGACTAGAGCTTTATATAGTGTAATTTACACTATCTTCAGTTGAACAGTAAAACAGGAACAAGTTCAGTCACCGTTTTTGTTGTTGACCGGATTGGAATGCTATAGAAGGCACCCCGGAAGGTGTAGCAATCAAGCTCTGGTGACAGATTTGCAGCCGCCACAAATTCCTGCCAGAAAATTACATCGTCCATGACAACAAACCAAGATGGCGATGTGGTTTTCTGTAGTATACTCGGTGGAGGCTAGCCTCGAAGCTTCGGTGTCCAGATGGAATGCAAGTAATGAAGTCTAGACTATCTAGAGTGATTCTCAATCTAACCCTTTGAGAGGCTAAAATAATCTGCCTCCCTCCCTCTCTCCCTCCCTCTCTCCCTCTCTTCCTTTGGGGCGAGTCTGCGATCTTAGAATGGTGTCAGTCAATAATCTTGATGCGCTAGCCCATGTAGTGACATATGGCATAGATAATTCGTGAAACATCAGGTACCATTTTATTACTCAATGTTAGCAATGCTTTGAGCTGGTGTGTGTCAGTCGACGGCTGTCATTAACATTCCACGCATCAATTAGATGCACTGAGTGGAATTTTGGGCCTGTAGGGAGTTGGTATGGAAGCCGTCATCTCGAACTCAAGTTTATCCCTAATGGTCAGATGATACGCAGTACACTTTTAAATTGTGTGCTCAGCTTGGAAGACAAAGCGCCAAGAATGATATCAATGCCATATCTGGTCACCTACCTCGATGCGAGAATTTGGCAAAGGGCATAGGAATGCAGAGGGGCCTGTAGGAGGCTAGATGAGGGATACGTTTGTTTGTAGAAAGCTTGTCTTCGTAGAAAGGGGAGGTCTATATAAGGAGAGTTGCTGAGAGATATTGTACTTGTTGTACCTACCTGAAAGTTGTTTTGAAAAACGAAGAAAAGCCAATTAGACAGTTGCTTTCGAACTCCCCAAATACTCAATATCTACAATGGACAAGCAAAGTCTCCTTAACGCACTCGTTGGCGTCCTGAATTCGACTTCCGTTTTTAACTCAGGGGTTCAAGAGCCCAATATTACTAGTAACAGCACGAGTCTCCTTGCGACGCCGACAAATGTGACACTAAGTACCGCTGGGATGTCAAACTGTACTCAGGCCTGCGCGCTAGGCGGCCTGGTTTGTGCAGTGACCCTTCCTAATGAAGCGAACTTTTGGTACGTGGCTTTGGTTCGCTTGTTAAAAGCGCACTATATTCCGCGCAATGTGAGACGATCGCTAACCCTGGCGTAGCTGGGACTCATTCTCCGGGTGTAATAAGCGTTGCTAGCCAGTGGCAAAAGGATGGGGGGTGGATTTGCAATACCGCAAGCGCAGTGACTCGCTGTAAAGTTCTCCGGAGGGATTGGAGAAGATCCACTGGTTGAATTGAGGGTGCGCACGTGCTTCGATGCCCGTCTGGATGGGCGATTCAACATCGGGCTACCTAAGTAGGTACTTGGGGTATCATGGTGGATTAAGGGGTACATGGGGTTGTGCAATGCAGGAGAGGGAACCGATCTGGTTTCTATAATGTGTACGGAGTAATGTAATAGATTTGGATAGAGTGGAGAGTCCTTTGTTGAATTGATCTCATTACTTCAATTGCTGATGTCGTACCGGAAGTGGAAAGGAGAAAGAGGACACATGCCATGCAGATGTACATCAGGGTGTCTGCGGTGCAACTAGTGGTAACCGTCGGAACTGGAGATGATTAACTTCGAGGGACGTTTAAAGTGGTAGTACCAATCAGCATGCCCGTTCCACCCTCATGGCTCCGTTCCCAAGATTTGCAGAGGGAGGGGTTGTTGCAAATGGAAGGATCACTGTACTGAAACCAGGGAGTAAGAAGAGTGAAGCTGAGCACGAGCCCCAAAGCGATAGGAGAGTTGGCTCTGGCCAGCCCAAGTCTCGTGCCCCCCTTCCCGTGATCCCTACTACGCTGACCCAATCAGAAGGGGAAATGGTACCGCGTGGGCTTTCCAAGCACGCGACACCAGTCCCGGAGGTCAACCTAAAGCAACAGCTTCCTTCAATCCCAATTCCCAGTCCCGTCGATCATCCAGCTGCTTGTAATTCTATCGTCGCACTCCCACTCCCTCCAAACGCTTTCTTCCCTTTTCTACACTCAAATATCCTTTCCGGCTCTTTCCCGTTGCTCTCCACCATGCCGGTGCCTTTCCTTGGATCCATTCATCCAATTTATTCTTGTTCTGATCCTTCGGGGTAATCTCTCCCCATGTACCTTTGAACAAGATAAACCCTCCCCTCTCGCTCGTATCTACCCCTTTGCCTGCTGATTCCTTGTCTTACCTACCTGTTCGCTCTTCACTGACTGTATTGTCCACTCTACATCTTTTTTATCACCCATACGAGACGTTACAACCCCCAGTCTTGTCCTACATAGCCCTACTATAGTACTACTATACTGGTCTAGTCCTCATTTCTGTCTCAGTTCCTCCTTTCTCTTGCAAAACCAAGCGTCACCAGACCTTCCCAGAGACGTTCACGCTTCCTCTGAACAGAAGAGATGTCACGTTCTCGTCTTCCACCCACCCCGGCAATGTCGGGAGAGTTGATAGTCAAGGACCAAGTGTCCGTGGATGCTGTCGACTCATTTGCATTGCCGCCAGCTGCTATGAGTCCGGCCAAGATGGAAAATGCCAGTCGCAGGTCATCCAAGTCGGACCAGTCGGCTTATTTTCCTGCTTCCCCAACTTCCCCAGATCTCAATATGGGACGCAGTGCGAACCCCCCCCGTCAAACGGGTATTAAACGACCACTAGAAGACTTTGATCTCCCACCCCCTCCCACTCGCACCCGCAAAATCATCCAAATGAAGCCCAAGACGCAGACTCAAAGTCAAGCCAAGCCAGCACCCACAACTAATAAGCCTTCCAAGGAAAGTGGCAAAAGCACCTCAAACAATAACAACACGTCTCCTGCCACTTCCAAGAAGAAACAGCCTAGTGCTACGAGCGCTGCCGGTAGAAAGATTGCTCGCAAGACAGCACATAGCTTGATTGAACGGCGAAGGAGGTCCAAGATGAATGAAGAATTTGCAACCCTGAAAGATATGATCCCAGCTTGTAGGGGTCAGGACATGCACAAGCTTGCCATTTTGCAGGTTGGTAATCACCCGCAATGCATATCCTGTTTTGGTTAACTAACGTGTCTTGGGCTCTAGGCAAGCATCGACTACGTCAATTACCTAGAGCAATGTATACATGATCTTAAAACTGCGGGTGACAGTCAAACGGCTGCTCCCCAACGCATGCCACCTGCTCCCCCCTCGCCGTCGTCACCTGAGGTTCTAGGGGAAATGGCCGGCAGTACATACTCGGCTTCCGTGTCCCCCGATATACTTCCCAGTGGATGTCCTACCAACGTAACCTCACCGGCATTTTCGCCTCGCAGCCGTATCCCCTCAACGAGCACAGCTATAGATTTCTCTTCGATCCTGCCGAGTCCAGCGTTAGGCCCGACCCACCCTTGCGACAGTGCTCTACGGTCGTCCCGTGAATCCTGGGCAGCAACATCAACCAACCCCTCGCCGGTGCTCCAGCCACAGGTTCGTCATGCATCTTCAGCAGAGATGGACCATGAAGCATCGGCTGCACTGCTCATGTTGAATCGGGATTGTCGTGGCAGTGTAGGCTCGGTACCTGAAGAGCATGTTAAGCCTATCCCGGGGAATCGTCAGTACTCCTTACAAGACACTCAAAGGAAGATCGGGATGAGTGTCAAAGACTTATTAATTTCGTAGAGATTCATTTGCAGTCGGCAGCTCAGACCTGATATGTATTAAAAGGAATCTGTATCTGGCAAGAAAAGCTCCCTTTCCCTTTTGCTCATCAACTCATGGAAGTCTACGGCTTACTGCTTTGCATTGGGACGACTAAAAATGATAAATGCCGTATAATGTGTCTCATCAAGTGACGAGTGCAGTGGTTTGATTGTGTGCTTATGACCTGCGACTACTCCAGCGGACGCTTCGCATCGGGGCAAGATCCATTGTTAGGGGGCTTTGACCGCAGTATAAAGAATAAAACTCCCCATGAATGGAGTCCAGTGACAAACATGGGAGAGAGAAACAGGCTGTCTACAAGCTACTAGACTGAGTAGTAGTAGTAGTAGTAGTATACTCCGTAGTGCACCGCAACCTAAACATACTACATACTACGACGGAACCCAAATCCTATCCTGAAGCCAATCGACCGGGAACTTCCAATGAAGAGACGGAGATTGTGCACGCATGTTTGCCTTCCCAAACGAGTTACACACTTCCCAATGGAGGATTGGATTTGACTAGTCTTCTGACTCCCACCATCCAATCAGAAGACTTGCCGCCTTCCCGGCGCACCCCTCCCTCGGAGATGTTAATTAATCGTAGGTCATTCTACTAGACATCCATGGATGGTCGTTCGTTACATACCCCGCACTCGGAATTCTTTTCTTCTTTCTAGACATGTTCCAGGCCGTTCTAAGCATGGCCACTTGGGGATCGAAGTGGTCTGCAAATTCAAGAGGGAAGGATTACCGAAATGAAAGAGCATCATGACCAGATATGTTAACCGTGGACAAAAAAGTTTAATGCGTGAATGATAAGAGTTCGACTCCACTTGGGGTTAGTATGACGTTTGTGACAAGGAGATTCCTACGATACGTCCTTCACCTGATACCCAGACTACCACTTCTAATAAACGGTTGCGTGTGTACTGTGCGACACAAATTGTACGAAGGAGTGTAGTGGGTGAGAGGCATGTCGTACTATAATTAGCCACCATTGTGTGAACCTCATGACGGTGATCATTTCCACGCCAAGGCGAATCCCTCATGCACCGTGTATCCTTGTCCGAATTCCGGTCAGATCCTTCGTAATGACGGGGCCTTACCCAAGTTACCATACGCAGTGCTTAACTGGGAGAGCAAGCCAACCTTACTTAATCCCACGCCACCCGAATCGGCTGGCTGAGTAGCAGGAACATGCAGGCGGAAAATAAGGCACCATAAGTTGTGCGAGACAGCTGTGATGATTCATGTACTGATTCGACTGGGGCTTTGCTATGCCACGTGATAGTGTATGTCCGTCGTTGGTCTTGTCCTTCAGCCAAATCACCTCCAAAGTCTTGGTTCGAGTCCATTCCTGATGATCGACATGGTGATGGGTGGACTAGTAATTAGCGGATATGTCGAAGTCATCCAATGACGTTATGGCTCTCTAATCACCATACGGTCATCATCGCAGCGACAATAATACTCCAGTAACCCCTTATGATGGGACTGCCAAACTTTTAGTGAATTATCTCCTAGTCAAGATCGTCTGGGAAACCGACACAGTGAAGGCAAAGTCAATGTCAACGATCACTAGAACTTTACTTTAAACTGCCAAGTTCGATAGCGAGCGAGTTTGCAAATCCCTGTGTCACTCTCCACATCTTCTCGGCACGCTACGAACTAGTATCTCCTCGGAGCCACTGCATTGGGAAGTCGCCCTCCTCAAGGTTTAGAGCGAAAGAGTCCCCGCACCCCCAATTGCTCTTGCGGCGGGATTCACGTCTCGCCCCAAGTCACTAAGTGAGCCCCCTCAGGTGGGCCCGCTAACGTATATATTACACCCTCGAGTCTTCCTCATCCCCCTTTTCTTGCTTCTTTGCTCGAGCTATGAACATTTCCAACCTCTCCACTCTACGTTTTCCGGTTTCCTCTAATCGTCAGAATGTCCAACAAAATCCGTTCCCAACAGCGCAAGAAGAACGCTCGGTCTATTGCCTCCGAGGACCCCTGGCGCGTTGAGACGCCGTTCGGCCCGCCTCGTATCTCACACTTGCATTTTCCCGAGGGCGGTATCCGGCGAATCCGCAACACTCTACACAAGCTATCTCCTTCAGCACGCGCGGAGAGGGAACTCTTGAGGCAGAAGAACCGATACAAGATACCTTTGACGGAAAGAAATATCGACACGTTTGTCACGGAGCAGCAGTTTACCGAAGCCTGTTATCCCGAGAAGCATAGCAACGAGTTGCATGTCTCCGCCTGGCTTGAGCGCCTGGCGTATTGACAACCTTTTTTTAATGATCGACGACACTTCCGCCTCATCTTTGACCCTGATTAGCTCTTGTTGTCAACATGCGTACTGAACCGACTCACAAGTCGCTATTGATCATCAGTTGCTTACGCGTCGGGGACTGGGAATGTCTTGGGGAATTCCTCTCCAAAGTCTCGGTTGGGAAAGGCATGGTGTTAAGGGGCTATGTTCCGGTGGAGTTCAAATCTATCCTTGGCAACAACGTCATTGTACTGGGCGCGGCTGCCAAGTCATGCACAGTGCTGCAAGCCTCACTGTGCGATCCCTACACCAGGCCTTCCCATAAGGCAACATTTCCAGCACAGTTACAACAAGAAGCCCGGGTGGTCTCTCTAGTGGGTTAGTTCGTCCTACTTTAGAAATTGTCTTCAGTTTTCTTTACTAACTCTTATACAGTGTAATTCTCACTTAGGGATTTAACCCAAGCATACTATCTGCGAAGTCTCGCGGCTCGGGCCGCGTCTTTTGTTCTTTTTTTCTTTTTTTTTTTTGGCCTTCTCTTCCCTACATTTTTTGGTCCCTATCCTCCTATTTTTTATTATTTCTTTTTCTCCTTTACACTTGCCTTGATTTGTTAACTGATACCCGCTGCATGTATGGAGTTCAACTGTAGACAGCTACTAATTTCCTACTAATCAATTGTACTTGTTCAATTTTTGGTTGTTTGGCTATTGGGCAGAAGATCTTTTCCCTACTGCAAATATATATATATATATCTGCTTGTACATTATCTACGCTGCCCTAGCAGACTATGAAGTCAAACCACTATAGCATGTAGAAATTAATATGCAGCAGCGTTCACATTAGCCGTCTTAGGCAAAGCTCAAGGCCGGGGTCAGGTCCCCTCGATCCACTAAAGGAGGGGTAATTAATATTCGGGTCGCAACAATATCCTGACCTCGAGGTTTCCCGATCCCAAGAAACCCACGACAGCGATGTCCCGACCGAAGAAGGTTGCTATAATTGGTTGGTATCATACCAGCATCCTCACTTATGAGAATTGTCTCATTTAACTATGAACAAAATCATCTGCTGACTGCCCTCAGGAGCGGGGCCCTCGGGGTTAGTGGCCGCCAAAACACTCCTTCACAACTACCCCAAAGGAACCTTTTCTCCCACTATCTTCGAGAAAGGCCATGAAATAGGTGGTCTTTGGCCAATTGATTCACGAGACACCACTAAAGAAACAAGAACTCCCCGACGACGCCCGCACAATGGGTTCGTGGACCCGTCAATGCCGACGAATCAGAGTCGATTCACCGTGACCTTCTCTGATCTGGCTTGGGAGTCAGTCATCGATGGCTCGGATATTCCTATGTTCCCGCAGGCCTGGCAAGCGGGCAAATACTTGCAGGTGTATGCTGAACGCTATATACCCAAGGAGACTCTGAGACTGGGGCATAAGGTTGTTGGATCGACGCGAGAGACGAGTGGAGGTTCGAGACCGTTGTGGACCATACAATGGGTTTTAGAAAGGTTTGTCTTGGTCGTAGGTTCTCTGAAGAGCGCTAACTGGAAAGTATAGGAGTAATGAGAAAGGAAAAAGCCCGACGGACCAGGAAACGAAATCAGAAACCTTCGACTACCTCATTGTCGCTTCTGGTTACTTCTCAAAACCATACACTCCAGATATCCCAGGATTATCTAGCTTTGCCGAAAAGGTGTTTCACAGTTCTGCCATTCATACTAAAGAGGATATACACCTTATGCTTGAAAAGTGTGGCGCGACCAAGGATGGTAGTGGTAAATTGGTCGTCATTGGAGGGAGTATATCAGGTGCTGAGGCTGCCTCGGCGCTTGCGCTTTTTCTTTCCAGTATGAGTGCTACTGCCTTTCAATATCGAGGCTACGAAGTCCACCATATCTGTACACGGTCCTTCTGGACCATACCCTATTATTTGCCATATGCTGCTCCGCAAGACGATACCCAGGAAAAACCTGTCCAGTTCCTACCACTGGACCTTGTCCTGCATGATCTAGCCCGACGTCCACCCGGACCAGTTCAGTATAACTTTGGACCTGTTTCTCAGCAGCAAGAGATCAAGGTTAGTGAGTACTTCCTTTCTTTGCTAGGTGACCAACACGCAGGTTATGGAAATATCGGCGGCGGCTCTCGTGATGGCACAAATAACACACAACCTTCATTGATAGCTATAAGCGACGACTACGCGGAGTACGTGCAATCAGGCTCAGTACGTCCTACGATCGGCCGTGTCTGCGCTATAAATCGCACACAGTCCGGTCAGGCAAACGTTGATATCAAGGGTCCTGATGGCAAAATGATCACTCTCCAAAATGTCACAGCTATAGTCGCAGCCACCGGTTTCACACCATTTTCCTCACTCTCATTTCTTCCAGAAGATGTACTCTCCAAACTCGAGTATTCAGCCGAAGACTCCTACTTCCCTCTCATCTTGGATGAGAAAGGCACCTCCAATGCAGAGATCCCCGATATAGGATTTGTGGGACTTTACCGAGGGCCCTACTGGGGAATTATGGAAATGCAAGCGCGGAGAGTTGCGGAAACGTGGTATCGAGCCAATTCCGAGAAAGGAATTCGATTCTCAATGGAGGAACTGAAGAACAAAGCACAAGAAAGACAAAGTATGCGTGACTACAAGAATGCGGATCCAGACTCCCGGGGTCAGTTCCCAATGGGAGATTATGTGGGGTTGATGGAGACCTTTGCTAGGGACATGGGGATCCCTCGGGCCCCACTTCTGGAGGCTGGGGAAAGACTTGGACCGGTTCTTCCTACTCGGTATATGGCCGAAGGACAAACGAAGCCTTCAATGCTGGCCGAGTCGCATATTGCTATAGCTTCTTTAAGGGACACGTTCACCCACGACAGTGATACCTCCAAGACCGGGTTAACTAGGGCTATTTTCAGAGCGTTACACGGAACTTGGAATTTTTCGCGAGTCTCTTCGAGATACGACGGCGAGATAACAGGGACGGCAAGGTTTTCACCTACATACCCGACATATCCGGGGTATGAGAGGGAATATACCTACAACGAGGTTAAGAGAGTTGATAGAACGCTGAGGCCACTAGATCGATCTATCTATCGACTTGGCCAAACTGGGACCCATAGCGGCGAGGTGCAAATATCCATTCTCCATTCGGACTCGGATATAGAGATGGAAGAAGCTCCTCTGCTACCGCACGAATTGAGGCTCGTGGGTCCTCCGCGCCTCGAAGATGAAGGATCAGGACGCGAGCAATACGTTGTCCGAGCTGGACGGTACATGAGCTCAGAAGACAATATCCCGGGAGGCTTTGAACATAGCTACGAATATGTGTTCCGCCTTGAAGGCGTGGCAATCTCCTCCTGGGAATGCAACGTGAAATATAACAAGATAGGGACTGACAATTATGGGGTGTCAGGTGGAGAAGTCAACGAATGGAGGAGGACAGTATACAGGCGATAAAATCCCACAAAGACGAGGAGTTGGCTCTCCCTAGCGCCTTACATCTGGGGCATTTGAGCGGAATGCCGTTCCGCAGTCCCAAGCACATCTCCAACCCCGGATTTCAGAACAGCATCGCCATGGAATTTCCCCGCACTTTTCGACGATCTGCGGACCAATCCTCGACCCTTGGTTATAAAATAGGATTAAGCTCGCCTCCGTCATTTTTCATTTATCATCTCGCCTAGGGTCTTCGTCGAATAAACGTGTGCGCCTTCTTGGCAAATAACATCCCCCCAAGGGCGGAAGACCGGCAAGAAAATGCGGAATTTCAATGCTCACGCACTCTGAGTTTTGCGGGGAGAGCTGAACATACTGGGTTACTTGCAGCTCAACGTGTATAAAAATGACCCGATTACCTTACAAAATGTAACTGTAACCCTACCATCACACCACCTCCCCAGGAGACAAACAACTACATCTGTAAGCCATGTCTACAGACCTCGAAAAAGTAGATGATTGCACAATAGAAGACATCAAATTCCCCTCGGAGACACCAGACAGATCCGACCGTGATGCCGAGAAACGACTTCTCCGCAAGTGTGACCTCCACGTTGTCCCTATCCTCACTCTCCTCTTCATGTTCGCTTTCCTGGACCGTATCAACATCGGTAATGCACGGCTGATGGGTCTGGAAGATGACCTGGGCATGAGCGGGCATCAGTATAATATCGCGCTGTTTGTGTTCTTCATTCCGTATATTCTGTTTGAGGTGCCAAGTAATATGATTCTGAAGAAGGTGAAGCCATCATGGTGGTTGAGTGGGATCATGTTTGCCTGGGGTTCGTTAATTTCATTGACTTTGCATTCCTCCCTAGTCTTAAATGGATTGAGGGCTCTACCTGAACGTTTCAATGCTGATTTTCGGTTTAAAGGTACCATCACTATCTGTCAGGGCGTCACGGCCAGCTTTACTGGCTTAGTAGTCTGTCGGGTCCTGATAGGACTCTTCGAGTCTGGCTTCATGCCTGGTGAGCTACAATTTCCTACTACCGCTCTTTCGCCCCTGTGCCTAATAGTTAGTCTAGGCGCGGTTTACCTAATAAACATGTACTATCGCCGTCACGAACTCCAATGGCGACTCAACCTTTTCTTCAGCGCCAGCATTATCGCCGGTGCGGTCAGTGGTGTATGCCGTTCTACACCCTATACCTTGGACCAATATGTGATGTGAGCTGATGCTAGTATTCTTCCAGCTCCTCGCCTACGCCATCAACAACATGTCCGGAGTAGCCGGGTACGAAGGCTGGCGCTGGATCTTCATCATCGAAGGCCTAGCCACAGTAGTGATAGCAGCGATATCCAAATTCCTCATCGTGGACTGGCCTGAGTCGGCTAAATTCCTGAATGATGATGAGCGAGCCTTACTTCTCGCCCGTCTGAAAGAAGACCAGGGCGAAGCGCGAATGAACCGACTCGATAAGAAGTCGATGCGGCGAACATTCTCGGATCCGAAGATTTACCTTGGGTGAGGAGCATCATCCCTCTGCCTTCTTTAATATCAAACAGACCTCACTAACAATCCCAACAAAATAGTCCGATAATGTACTTTGGCATCGTAAATACAGGCTACGCCGTCTCCTTCTTCACCCCCACAATCCTCCATCAACTCGGCTGGACGGCAGTCCGCGCCCAAGTCATGAGCATCCCAGTGTACGTCGTAGCAACCATCACCACGCTCTCCGCTGCCCTCCTCAGTGACCTCCTCCGCCACCGCTACCTCTTCACTCTCGCCGGCTGCCTGATAGCAACCATGGGCTACGTAATCCTGCTGGCGCAATCCACCGTCCCCGTCGGCGCGCGCTACTTCGCCATCTTCGCCGTCACTAGCGGCGGGTATCTGACGCAGCCGATTCTCATGGGCTGGCTAAGCAACAACATGGCGGGCCATTACAAACAAAGCATCGCGTCGGCCATGCAGATTGGGTTCGGAAATTGCGGCGGGCTGGTCGCCAGTAATATCTTCTTTGAGGAGGAGGCGCCGGGGTATCGCACGGGGTATGGGGTTAGTTTGGGCATGACGTGGATTTGCGGGATTGCTTGTGTACTGTTTCTGGGATATTTGATCAGGGAAAACCGGGTGAGGGGGAGGGGTGGGAGGGATTATCGGTATCAGTTGCCCAGGGAGGAGTTGGAGAATTTGGGGGATGATTATCCTGCGTTTACGTTTACTTATTGAGTTAACATGAGAATAGTGAGTCGTAGTTTCTATAGAATATAGAAACTTGTTGTATGTCGGCTCTTGGGTGACTCTTTTCTTTTCTGCCCGCCTCCTCCCAGAACAAAACTCAGGCAACACATCTTCCGAGTGCCATCTATAAATAACATAACATGCATATACGGTTCTAGTTAATTTGAAAATCTGACTACTAACCCCGTACACCATTGGAATGGCATCTGACAACTGTCACTCTCAGTGTGACATGTTCTGAGGAACCTATCTCAGTGGAATGATCGTTGACAATCGAGCCTGCCCCAATCCTGGAGTTCATCTGCCCCGAGCTCTTAAAGGTAACCCCTGGACATCGGATGGAAGGATCCTGAGGAGACTCCCGTGAACACAAATCCAAGAATGAACATTGAGTATCCCAAGCATTCACCAGCCCTTGAAGTGATTTCATCAGCCTCTTTCGCAACAACACTGGGAAATTGCCAGCCAACCTGGTAAATGGCTGTTTATCTGTATTACATTCTGGACAGTGTCTTTCCGACGGGTCCGGTGAACGGTACCTATTTGGACGACTGGAGACTCCAAGGTGAGCTTGAATACATGATGGCACCCTGCGTCAAACTAAAAAAAGAATCTACTCGCCTGGGATGTATTGACAGTATATGACCTGGGACCTCGTATTGACCTGCCAACTCGGATGCCACGATCAGGCATGAATGCGGCACACGAGCAATGAGAACCAGGCCCAAAAATGAGGGGGACGAGGGATTGGGGCTTGGTCTCATCGGATTTGATGTCGTGCGCCTGAGAGTTTCTCCGATGGCTGGAGTTGTGTCTCTTTCGCTATCCCAATATGGAGATGATTGTAGCACAAGTGATGGATCACGAAGGCGTGATGTGTATTGCCTTTGCTTATGATGGTCTCTGTGGGAGAAGAAAAAAGGGGAGTGCAAATTTAAGATGAGTTATGCCAGTTATGCATGTGACCATGCTGACATTATAGTATAAAGGGCCCCCAAGGGTATACTATACAAACCCTCATAGAGCCCCTACCATCACCACCAGCAACCCTGCAATCCAAGCACAACCCCCAAATCCAAGATGGACAGCTTCGACCTCGCCAACGCACCCCCCGAAATCCAAGCCTACACCATCCCAATCATCTGCCTGAACCTTTACACCAATGGCAGCTGGCTCTACGTCTATTTCGGCATGATCTACCGCTCCATAAAAGACAAGTCCTACGCCATGCCCCTCTACTCCCAATGTCTTAATATCGCCTGGGAAATAACCTACGGTCTTATATACGTCGACGACTGGATGATCTTCGCCACGTTCCTTGTCACCTTCCCCACGAACTGCCTCGTCATCTGGGCGGCCATGAACCACGGCGCAAGAGAGTGGGACCGCTCGCCCCTGGTACAGCGCTATCACCTCTGGTACTATGTGGTCGGGACGATGGTCTCTGTTGCGCTGCACATGTGCGCTGCGTCGGAGCTGGGAATTGAAAAGGCATTCTTTGTCGGTGCGATCGGGTGTCAAGCGGTGTTAAGTGTGGGGTATCTTGGGAATTTGATTCATAGGGGTAGTACGAGGGGCTTTTCGATGCATTTGTGGTGAGCTTATAACCTTTCCATCCTCAAAATCACCATCCTCCTCATTATGGCTTTCCTACACAATCAAGCCCAAAAGCAAGAACACACCATACTTGATAGCCTACTGAAATAATGAAATAGGTATTTCCGCTTCACAGGCTCCCTAACCCTCGTCCCCGAGTTCTACCTGCGGGTAAAGTACTGGCCCGAGAGATTCGGCTTCCTAGGCCAACCCATCATGCTCTGGTGCTGTGCTGTCTTCCTAGGCTTTGACTTGGTCTACGGGATCTGTTTTTGGTATATTCGGCGACAGGAACGCGAGACGGGAATGCTGCTTGCTGATGGACGGAAGAGGAAGTGATTGTCTCTAGAATAGTTAGGCTGAGAGATGTGTTGGACGATTGGTTGGATGGATTTGCCGGCTTAGGATGAAGATTACTGATTGCTTAGAACATCTTATCTGGATCAGGGGGGATCGGCTTGGCCATGTGGTATGTTGATCTGTGGGGATTCATGGGTTGGTTAACTTGGTTTCGCCGATGTATGTGCGAGGTTGAGTCTAATGTAATTTTTGGGAGGGATGATCTCTTCTTCTTCTTCTTCTTCTTCTTCTTCTTCTTCTTCTTCTTCTTCTTCTTCTTCTTCTTCTCTCTCCCCCGCGTGGCTTTTGGGGAAGACACGGAGTAGAATAGAAGAATATATTGAATACTAATATTCTCAGCCTAGTGTCTCATCTTCACAGAAATATAGTAGATAGAACCTCATGCACTTCAGTAGGCCAACCCAGAAGATATACAAACCACAATCGATACATAAGAAATCCATCCAGTATATCGTTCTCCAAAAACAAACCATCTCCATAAATCAAATCAACAACTTCGATCGACAACACTCCCAAACCCAAACCGCCACGGAAAAAGCACGCACAGCAAATAAACCCATCCACGGATGCAACGAAAAGCTAAGGCGAAAATGTCCATGCCAAGAATAACCGGCCCCAGTTTTTAAACATCGGGTTGTAAGACATTTTCGCGGTTCAACCATGGTTGAGATTGTAGTTCGGTGGTCTATGCTTCCAAGATTTTGCTGTCGATGGTTATTTCAGAGTTAGGTGGATTGAGTACTTTTTTTTTTTTTTTTTTTTACTTCGCAAAGGATCGATTAGATTGGATGATAAGTGGAGTTTTCCAAGAACAGTGGTATGTACAATTATTCGGGTCTATCATTATACTAATCATATGTGTCTATGATGTACGTATGCGACGGTCTATTTACGAGAAACTTTTGTCGACGAAAACAGAACGGTAGCGTAGAACGGGTATCCATTCTACACATACACGTAGCAGAAAGGACCAGCAGTGGTGCTCATGAGATCGCGCATCGCGATGGGACCGCCATTGGCATGACCGATATCAATAACGGTGTCCAAGGTGGTGTTAGGCGAGGCAGGGTTGTTCATGAAGGTACCAGTACCGGAGATGGCGTTCTGGCGCTTCTGGAGGTCCAAGTTCTGCCAGATCCACCACACGCGGTCGATCATGCCGTGGTGATGCCAGAAGGCAACGTCGCCGGGGCTCACGTAGACGTCGCGGCCGGGGTCACCGCCCATGGAGTAATGGCCGCCACCGTGAACGCCGATGGAGCCGCTGCCGGGAACGCCCTGCATGGTCATCTGGAAGTCCCAGATGTCATCATTGCCGAGGATGAGTTCGACGATCTTGGGGAAGGTGTTGTATCGCTGCAGGATCTCGGTGGTGAGGGAGCGCTTCAGGCAGCGGGGGTTGTAGGTGAGGGGATTGGCTGCTGCGGTCATATTTCCGCCGGGCAGGGACAGGGCGGCCGGACCCAGGTTCAGCTTGTAGTCCTTGAATGGACCGCTGGTGACGCAGCCGCCGCCGCTACCGGGGGGCATATCGATGGCTGGATAGTTGCCTAGGTACAGCTTAATATCCTCCTGGTTGGGGATGTACTCGCCGTTGCCGGACATCGAGGTCTCGCTGCCATCGAAGACCTGAGACTTCTCCATGTTGTTGGCGTCGGCACCCCAGTTCCAGTAACTGGGTTTGAGAAGGAGGGTTAGTTTTGTGCGTTGAGACCCTAGAAGGAGGAGGTTTGGGCTTGACTTACGGGTAATCACCGGTGTAGCTGCACTCATCACGTAGCGCCTGCTCGAACTCATAGATGAAGTAACGATGCCAAGCCAAGAAGGTACCCTATGTCATGGTCAATCTCCATGTCATCTTATAGAAGACCGCTTCTTTGGTGACATACCGTGTAGTGAATGATCTGGGTTTGGTTGATGTGGGTGGCCACGAAGTCATCGTAACGAGTTCTGGCACCCGGGGCCAGGTGCGCCGGAGTGCGCGAAGGCAGCTTCTGAAGGCACAGGACGGAGTTGATGTAGTCCTTCTTCTGGGTCTTCGAGAAGGTCCTCCAGTCGCGGCGGATGCGGAGATTCTGCAAGGTACAGCCCCCACGTTTACTCTCAGAGCCGCCGGCGACGTTGTCAGTGGTGACGTTGTACGCAAAGTCGGCCAGCTGGTCGAGTTGGGACGAGGCGACCGCAGTTGAGCTAGACGCCGTGGTGGGCAGGGTAGCCGTAGCGGCCTGCTGAGAGGCAGCAGGGAAGGCCAAGGCCTGCGAAGCCAGCAAGCCCAGACTGAGAGCCTGAAGAGCGACCATATTGAGACTCTTGAGGGTGAAGATGGGTTGAGAAGGAGGACTGGCAGAAACGGAACGGATTCGGGAAAGATAGTCAATATAAAGGTTTTGGTCACTGCCGCGTTGGGGGCGCTATCGACAATGCCGCGAGAGTTCTAGAGACGCACAGATGCACGAATTAACATGCAAAGGGTTGAAATTTCCGAGCTAAGCATGCATCCAGCTATCGTACCACTTCTTGATATTGATCTCGTTCACCCTGAGTGGTGGTTCAGCTCCGAAGAAGGCCCATTGCTGCAGCTAGCTTTCGGATGACCGGCAAAAAAAGGATAAAAGCCCTGATTTCCTGTCGGGGCGAAGCGACTGGTTCAGAAAAAGATTAGTCAGGACCATTAGTTAGCCGACCTGCAACCACAGCCTGGTGGGAAAAGGTATTGATAGTCCATGAAAGTTAAAATAATAAAACCATCGATGGCGATGTTGGCTGGACTTTGGGCTTGACTCCACTTCCGGCGAGTGGATCCATTCCAGAATACGACTGCAAGAGCAATCTCTATTCGCTGCAACGGTCAACGCAAGGGTGCATTGTACTAATTTAGAGAAGACGGCCAAGTGGAGCCCTGGCAAGACTCAGAAATATGGGTGAGAGTTGGACCTCGGCATTGATAGTACGGAGTAGTTAGTACTCAGTATGGATGTCCTGATAGGGTTAGACGTCTTCTCTTTCTAACAATAGTTCCTTTTCCTAACAGATGGATGTAGTCGCATGATGCGCCGTATGGAGAGCGAAGGAGAAACGATCTTTACACCGTAATGCAATGCATTAATGGCATGGAGTAAGTATTTATGCATATAACAATTTGAGGTACGTAAGTGAAAATATCCTCGGAGGGTCCAAGTTCAAAAACTTCGGAGGGACAATTAGGGTTCGGGACTCCGTGACCCGGTGGATCTTCCAAATCTCCCAAATCTCCCAAATCTCCCTAACTTCCCAATAATCTTCCGTCTTTCAGAAATCACGGTTGAGTCTTGACCCAACCAATCCCCCCCCCCATCCATTGGGTCAGCTTGTGATCCAAGTTTGAATCCCGTTGCTGCTCTCCGCCGATCGTACCCTGAAGATCGCTCAACGAACAAAACATGATCGAATGTCTTCACGATTGGAAGGGATCAGCATAACCGTTATATCGATTGTGTTGCAGCTGTTTCACTCAGTGCATGGACAGCATTGATTCTGCCCTATTTTTGGGCGGGGACTTGATTCTTTGGCCATGCAGTCCCCCAGTCAGAACTTTAATCAACTCGTGGAAGATGTCGGTAACTTGCACACTGGCCCTAACTGGAGTGGTCGTCCACAAGTTAGGAGCCGAGATACGCTCCACTGCCGGAGATTACGGTAGTCTGCAATATGAGAGTAACTCCTAGAGATAGCAGGCATCACCACTACGTATACGAGAATGCCCCCTCGTGGCGCTGGTCGACAGCGCTGAGGAATCCCAAATTCCCAATAGTCTGGGCTACCCACTTGGACTGTGGCCTGGCGTGCGGATGGCACCATCATTCGATGACCCACCCACCTGGCGGCCATTCCGGAATTGACCCATTTGCCCTAGTCCTTACTTAGTATCACTAAGTACGAGTTTACTATCGTCAGTGCCTATCTCATTGGCCAGGTTTCGACCAGAGTATATCGACTGTGCAGGGGTCTGAAACCGTGAATCAGTCGGGCCCTTCTCTCGACCCGATACAGCGATGCTAATATTCAAGATTTAGCCGAGATGACAAACGGAAACCAGGAACGAAGACGGTTTGAGACAGATGAACCGGACTTGGCTAGGAATAGGCTGTTCCTGTTGGTAAACTAATGGTTAACCATGAACTGGGTGGACTCCAGACTTTGTCATGGAAGCTTCGGAGATACTCTCGAATCGAGCACAGGCCGAGCCACGTTTTTTGACTTCTCATTTTATGCATCGCTCAACTTTGAGTTCCCAATTCGACATGCAAACGTCTGTGAGTTCGTGCGACAGTCTCTGGCGATCTTCATCTTCGTGGAGACAAGTTTATGCTATAAGCTCGATCGATGTCCGTCTTCGCCGACCTTGTGTCCAGTCTTCAGGACCGCTTTTTCGATGATCCCTCGGTGATAGGAGTGCCCGCGCGATACGCTGTCATGTCCGACAGCGCCCATCCTGGAGGCGCTGGCTTGCCGGATGAGAATCAAGGGCCTCGAATCCTTGCGGCCACGACGATCACGACTGTGTTCGCATTTCTCACGGTGCTGGCGCGAATGTACGTTCGATTGTTTATCATTCGAAATGTTGGCCTCGATGTAAGCGATCTCTCCAGCTCTAGGGCCACTTCATTAAGCTGACCAGCATCCAGGACTATACCATGATATTAACCATGATGCTGGTAAGATGCAAGAACACTTTCGATGCATCATCAATTCTGACGTCTTCACTTTTAGTCTCTCGCTGGATGGGCTATTATCATACCTGAGGTTATCTATGGCGCAGGGCGACATACAGCATATGTCAAGGACACGGCCACTACGGCCATGCATTTGAACTTCGCCACGCAAGGCATCTACATGTGGGCGATAGGTCTCGTAAAGATCTCCATTGGGCTGTTCCTCTTGCGCTTTGCCCCGCGAAAGGGCTACAAGGTCTTCATTTGGGTTGTGATTGGTAGGCTAAGGCTTCTTACTGGTCATGGGTGCTATTCTAACCAGCATAAATGTTTGCAGTGCTCATGCTCCTCTATACAACAATTTGCTTCTTGGTACGTGCCTGGTGCCCCTCGTCGGTGTCGGACAGTGTAAACGTCTAATCCGCATACAGACCCTCGTTTTCCAATGTAAAGATATCCGGAGTATCTGGGACATGTCGGTGAAGTCTAGATGCTTTACCCCCACGCAATTGTTGGAGCTGAGCTATACCAATACTGGTACGAACGTGATCTAATTGGAATTTCATACTTGGTTCAATGTCACATTGCCTAACGATAACAGCGCTGAATATCTTGACGGATCTAATATTCGCCATTCTCCCGGCCTTCATGTTAAGGTGTGTCGTGATGAGTTTCAGTAACCAAATGCCAGACGCTAACTCCAGGATCGATAACAGGCACCTTCAAGTGAATCGCCGGGTCAAAGCCTCGCTGGTCTGTATTCTGGGATTAGGAATCTTGTAAGTCTTTATCCCTCTTGGTCTCCAACTCGAAACCAAATTAACATAGCCTCATCCAGTGCCTGTGCCGCCGCATTTGTCAAACTCTCAGTCCTGCCCAACTACGGCCGCACAGGCGATTTCCTCTGGGACTACTCTACACTTACAATCTGGGTCGTGTACGTAGAACCACCTACCCTGTACCACTCTTCACGCAGCTAACACATACGCCATTCAAGCGTGGAATCCAATATGGGTATAATCGCCGGCAGTCTCCCAACCCTAAAACCCCTCTTCAAGCAAGTCCTCGGCAGCTACGGCTCCCACTCAAAGACCCGCCCCTACAACACCTACGGCAGCAAACAATACCGCCTCCGCTCCCTCTCCCGCTCTCGCCAAGGCCAATCCCAAACCCTCCACAGCGCACCTCGTAGTCGCATCGAAGTCGAGGCAGACCAAAAGCTCCCACCGTCCCGACACTTTGCGACCACCACCACAACCACAACCACCACCTACCCCGGAAACGACAGCAGCAACTCCAGCGAGGAGTATATCCTGTCACCCACCGGCCCGGAGGGTATCATGTGCACCACGGAGGTAATGGTATCGCATACCTCGGAGGCGCGAAATTCCGCACGCGGGAAGAAGTCGGCGCATTTTGGGCGCGATGATATGGTTTAGGGATTTAGGTTATTTGTCATCGGGGTTGGGTTTCCATCTGACGAAGTTCATGACTTGAGTTTAATTATATTATTCTATATTAGATTAGGGGCTTGGAGTCTTTTGGTTCGGTATGGGAGGCTATTTGTTAAGTCTTTTTTATATGAAGGATATTAGTAATGTTAGAACTAAATCTAAAAGAAAGATGACCATATGCATGCATTTACGGATTTAGCATCAATATATATTGGATGAATATGGTGCAAATGACTGCACCAGGGTCGAGAGACAATATGGATTTTTATTTTATTTTTTATTTTTTTTTTAAAAAAAAAAGATTCCATTGGCAGTGAATCCTCTCATCCTTGGTTTGAAGTATCCTACTACATTATGCCAAGCTGGTATTAGGTAACATAACATGGATCTACCCACTTAGTGAAGCATGAAAATATGCCATCAAGCAGATCCAAAGATAAACTTCGCCAAGAGGGAAACTGTAAGCTTAGCATGCTTAAATGTCCGGTATACATACATGTGGAGATACTTCAAAGTTACGCTGATGCGCACGAGATCGATCAAAGAGTTTATAAAACACTGAACTATAGTAGGCTGAGAATGAAACTAACAAGGAAGACTTGTGAGTTCATTCTCGTATAGAGAGGCGAAAAAGACGAAAAAGACGAAAAAGAGAAGAGAAAAAAAGGAACAGTCCCTAAGGCTTCCCCATGTTTCCCCACATGTGCATTTGAGGATGGAATTGAATATAGGGCCGTTCCACAAGATTGTTTACTACGAGTACATCGTTTTAAATACATAAACTTTGATGCTAACCTCCTTCTGGATCTAGCACACTATAGTATTCTAAGGAAAAGTAGCCAGACTAACCCCTCCCAATATTGACTGCTCAAAGAGACATCAAGATTCATGCAAGCACAGAATGGAAGATTCATAAGCTTACTTACATACTGTAGCAAGACATCAGTGCTGCCGTGGGGGGGCATTCTCAATCGTGACTGCTTCAGCCTTTTCATTACCCGTGTTCGACTGCATCACCTGCAATTGCTTCTCACCCGCCACAAGCGCTTCGCCGTGTGTGACGTGATTGGCGCCACCGAAAAGAGCGTCGATCTCTTCCAAAGGAACCTGCTTGGTCTCGGGGATAAAGAAGAACACAAACACCGACAAGAGGAAGTTAATACCGGCGAACATGTAAAAGGCGTAGAAGCCGCAATTGTTGAGGAAAGTTGGGAAGAACTGTTGGACGATGGCATTGGCTACGTTCTGTGTCTGTGATGCCATTCCGACTGCTTGGGCTCTGACATTCATAGAGAAAATCTCAGAAGTCCAAATCCACACGGTAGCTCCCCAAGAAGGTTTGTCTAAAACAATGTTAGCGGTTGGGATGATCATCTGGGTTTCACGGGGACATACAAAAGAAGATGAATAGGAAGAGTAAGAATACGATTGATATGCCGACGGGCGTGCTCTTGACGTCTGAGCCGGGATCACCTATTGATGGGGTTTCGGTCTCGACAGCTGCAACGATGATCATGCAGATTCCCATACCGATGCCACCAACAATTAGAAGAAATTTGCGCCCAAATCGATCAATAATCCAAACAGCGTTGAGTGTGAAAATAATTCCAAAGGTCGCATTGAGAGCATTGATGAGAGCAATCTGACCAGCACTGGGAAACACCTTTTGGTAGATCTTGGTAGAGTATGTGTTCAGCGTGCCTTGTCCAGTGACCTGCTGGCCGGCATTAACGACCAGAGCGAGAGCCATACGCTTGCGGAGAGACCTGTCTTTCCACAGCGCTGAGTAGCTTCCAGAGATGGCCTCTTTTTCGTACTCAATAGCTTCGCGGATTTTTAGGAGTTCTTCCTCGACCTCATGTGGTTCGCGAACTTTTTGGAGAGCCTTACGGGCTTTCTCAACGTCATTGCTCCGTTGGATGTACCTGATAAATGGTTAGTAGACAGACAATTCTATCGGCTTCATGACACTTGCCATCGTGGAGAGCCTGGGATGGTTGGCATAAGTGCTAGAATTAAGCAAGGAACTAAGAGTTGGAAGATAACAACCATCTTCCAGTCCCATTCACCTAGATTCTCCTTGTGTTCTGTGCACCCGTAGTTCACCCAGAAACAGATAAAGGAACCAACCGAGTAGAACATTTGCCAGAAGGTCATGATCTTTCCACGAATTTCTGCAGGGGCGAGCTCGCCAATGTAGATTGGACCCGCAGCTGTACGGTCGAGAAGTAAGTCTTCGAAATTTGGTTAAGCCATAGGTAGAGCAAGGCGACTTACTCAGAGCAATGCCTTGACCGACACCAATTATGCACCGCCCAGCAAGGAAGCATGCAATGTTACCACGGGGGGCGAAAGTCTGCATGAACGTGGAAGCGATCACCATGACACAACCAATTGCCATTCCAAATTTACGGCCAAGAAAGTCTGCTGTAGGCCCTCCTAAGAAGAAACCACCAAAGATGGCACCCACAGTATAAGCCGTATTGATAGCTCCGATCATGTTGTCATCCGGGTCATTGAAATAGACGACCCAGTTGTTCGAACCTTGTACGGAGTTGTATACCGATGCGTCATATCCATAAAGAACCATGCATGCTGCTGCGACGCAAGAAATATACCTAAGGTCTCCCAAGTAAGTATCAAATCTGAAAATTGCGACTGATATGCACGAACCAGTTATAGGCTCTTGTAGAGCCCAAGAATTTGAACGCCATGATTGCTGCGTTGCAGCTTCAGTTATATTATCAGACTATGACAGGCGCAAGAGTCACTTGTTCCCAGTAGCCAACTGATGTCTATGGGGAGATAGTAGGAAAACTCATATGAGAGAAAAGGGGTCAACTGGGAATTCATCCACTGCCACACTCAGGTATATATAGTGGTACGAGTCATCAGGCGGTTGATAGAAAGAATGACAAGGCAAAACAGCCACAAGAAGAACGATATTCGTATAAGAACCACGGGACACAACCGTGATAGCTGCAGTCCTCTGGCCACGTTAAGAGCCAAGCGAGCTCGACCAATCCTTCCCGGCGGCACTAGCATCCTGACCCAGTATTGATAAGGAACACTCAGACATCTAAGTGGTGGGGTATCCGGGGAAAAGTCGAATGAAGCGAGGTGTTGGGGTATCACTAGAATGAGACGGGGGAGTCTGGGGAAATCCGGGGTTGAGATTCGAGGAAATTCTCGGCCATCGAAAGACATCCGTCAAACCGATTCCACGAATCAGCGGCAACGAGGCCGGGCTAGGAGTGAAGTTGAAGGAATCCACCAATTGAAGCTGGGGGTGGGGCCCATGATGATTAAATAAAACCGGGATACTAGTAAAAGGGAAAGGAATGAATGGTAAAGAGAAGACAGTGAAAAGTATGAAATACTGAGAAGGTGGATCTGGATTCACATGGCCGAAGAAGGGAAGTCACAAGGGGGTCACATGAATCAGGCCACTATAATTTCTTCCATTCAGCCTAATATCCATGCTTGATGACAATGCTTAGTACTAATTTAACGCACTGATCCTACCGACTTTTTGATCTCGCCATCCACACTGCCTGACTAAGTTAAGCAAGTAAGGTAAGTACATAAACTGAAAATACTCCTCCAAGTGCCTTGAAGGTTTAGTGGCATTGTCCATACCCTATCCACTGTGAGTCTTATTATCTTCATCACTAAGTCCTCTGGGTGTTTGATTCATATTCCTGGTCGCAAAATGTCTTCGAAGACTTGCATTTGAGGCCCGAGGTAATACAGGAACCCTCTCCTTCAGTATCCCGCTCCCCTCATGGATGCACCCATGCGACTCCAGATCAAAAACATCCCGTACTCCCTTACGGGCCTCCCTTTTAAAGAGACCAAGACGTCTGAGCCTTCTCTCTGTCATGGAGAGATTTGCTCCGGAGTTCTGTTTGTCACCCATAGCAGGGTTATGTTCTGTCCATAGATCTAGCCCATTATACGAGGGTGTAGATACCGATGTCGTTTTCGCCATAGGCAACAGATCCGAAGACAGAAATGTCTCAGCTGCTAAGTTCCTAGATGTTCGGCTTCTGCGCGAGCGCCTGTAGGAACCCACCATGTATAGAAGAGCAGCTACCATTGCAAAAAGCCCCAGCAGCATGCAAGCCCGATAAAGGACTTGGTACAATTCAGCTCTGTGTACATTGCATCGATCTTTTATAAGCCTCAGGTTCTTTCGGGGGTAACACGAAGCGCAAGCATCCTTTTCTGCTGTAGACATGCTGCTTGAGGTACAAAGCTTCTCCAAGTCGTACCCTCGGCAAATTCTGTCCTGACAGTTCAACCTCAAATTATGCAATCTTTGTCGAATGGACCTTTTTCGGACTTCCCTCTTTGTATAAGGATCGTCCAAGGTGGTGTTGACCGTAAATATGTGTATGATCTGGTCTCGAATGTATATCAAGCAACTCTCAAGACTTCCGACATAGACTTGAGTGGTACTGTCTGGTCTAGCGGCCGGATATGGCTCACTAACCCGGGTCCGACTCGCATGTATCTGTTGCAAACCACCTTGCATTGATAGAGACTTGTGGGTGTTATCTTCCCGTACCAGCCCAGGTGATGAATGGTAACTTTGCTGTACGTGACTGTGATTTGGCTTTTCTGAGACCATGGAAATGGGCTTTCCCAAGCTATTAACACATCCTTGTGAACTTGCTAATCTCAATTGAAGGATTGGTGGCACGAGTGCCACACTCAGAGGTGAGTTAACTTGAAGTTTTGGATAAGGCATGCCACTCAAGTTCACCAAAAGGACCGGTGCCGATTCCAACGCCAACGTACAATTGAGAGACATTGCACAGCTCAACCCGTCCAGTTGGTATACGTCGATAGATGTGGTATTAGTCAACGTAGTGGGAATGCACTCGATGCAGAATGGCATATTCTCTCGACTACCCATGTCCAAGTAAGGAACTGACCTGGACCTAATGGATGTCAGATCCAATAATGCATATAGAAATGCAAAGAAGCATTGTTGGCAATACATGACAGCAGGATGCAGTTTTAATGAGTAACAGTATTACTAAAATAGAGCGAGTACTTCTATGGACCTTTGTTTGAAGCCTTATGACTGAGGTCATGATAGGGAACAGAGGAAGCTGTGGTTTCAGTTCGCAACGAGGAATCAGGAAGCTACGCTTCAGAGTAGCTCTCATAATCTAGATGTAGAAAGTGCAGCCTGGCCTTCAGGTATGATATCAGGTACTACCTTGTATTACGATGGTTTTGAAGCCACAAGCCTCAGTTTATATGTGTATTCTGGAAAGCACATTCATAGAGTATATTTGCTCAGTCACCAAGATGTGGTGCAGAAAGTGACTATTAACTTAAGAGCTCTCCGTGACGCTATGTACAGCCCCAAAAGGAAAACAAAGGGGTGGAATTGTACCCAGTTGATAAATGGTAATACTGAAAACACAGTGTGTCTCCTCAGTCATAAGTGAAGCGAATAAGTATGGATGGGTTAGGTTGTATCGAAAGTCAACCACCAACGTGATACAAGCAAGTGCGATGCCCCTCATTAATCATCTCACATTCTCTCCAAAATTTCAGATTTCCCCACTAATTCTCTAATAAAAAAAAGCCTCAAGTGAGATGAATCTGAGCCTCTATCACAACCACCCATTTTGGGCAATATTAGATCACGTGCTCTCGTGACAAAGCGACGCGGTCTATTCGCGCTTGAAAGATCACCAGACTACTCGATCGAATGTCTTCATTCATTCGCCTCTAACTCCTCCTTTTCAAGATCCGCTCGACTACACCCTTATATTTATCCTGATACCTTGATTACATACAGACCCTAAGCAGATCCGGTGTTATTCACCTGTTGCGTCATCACTGATGCCCCGCACTTATGGTAAAAGAGCAAAGCAGACGCGACTTTCTTTTGCTCCGATAGCCCTGTCGCAAGATTCTGCCGAGGATGCTAACGAGAAGAGTGACCGCAAAGCTACTTTGCGCTATGGGCATCCGTCAATGCCTACTATCCGTAGTACTCGGTCTCAACCAAGTGGGTCATCAAGCAAGAGCATGTCACCAGTTCCGTTCGTGAAGAAGTCCTTAGCGGACCAGCAAGGCTTCATATCGAAGGCAGAAACTTTTAAAAAGTCTACCCCTACGAAAAAGAAGAAGAAGAAGGACAAGAAGGAAGAGAAAGAGAAGAACAAGAAAAAGAGCGAAGGTAAGTAACTAGAGTTTTAAACTGTGGTGGTATCTTACCCTGACTCCATGGGGAATCCTCAGATGAACTACCACAGCCTTCTACTTCGGAGACCAAGATGCCTGTCCATGGAGAGAGTGAAAGCGATGACGAAGAAGAAGCTCCTACCAGTGCTCGAAAAGTAAGGGAGGCACGAGTTCTGAAGCGGAAGAGACCCCAGACCCCGTCCGACACCGCGCATTCCCCATCCCAAACTCCTTCGCCTTCCGCGAAGTCCAACGATAGTGATGCTGACGATATAATCTCTCGTCCTCGGCGGAAACTACGACGAGGCCCCGCACAGCAGCCTACGATTGTGCTGGATGGTGATGATTCTGATGAAGGGCCTGTTTCAACCCCGGCAAGAAAACGAAGGAGGGCCATCTATGCTCAGTCACCGAAGACACCAGAACAAAGCTTGGATCAAGATGAGCTAGATCTCAGGGAGGACCTTCAAGATCTTCAAGACTCAGGTAGGTCTACATATCCTGGACCCGGCATCTTGTTTCTTATTGACCCTCTCACTAGTGGTGAAGGAAACACGAACCAGAGGAAGGCTGGCCAATTCTGCGCGAGCTCAAAGACAACAACACCTAGAAGCGTTACGCAGGAAGAGAGCTGGTGAGAAGGAAACCGATGACGAGAGATCAGGGACTCCACAAAGCGCATCAGAGAGTGAGGGTGGGAGCGACGACGACGACAATGGAAATGAAACTGAGGGCGAAAGCACTATCCCGCCGCCTCGTTTCCGTCAACAAAAAGAGGATAGTGACGTTGAATCCTCTGTAGCAAGCGATGAAGATCTTGATCGTTATGAAGATGATTTCGTTCTAGAAGATGGGACTCTCGGTGCGCCGAGCAGTCTACCAGATATGCCATTCGAATTCTCCCGTCATGCATACAAGCAACTGAAAGATTACTTCCAAGACGCAGTGGAATGGATGGTATTCAATCAGCTTAATCCAGCCTTTGAACGCTCTAGCCCAGTCTACCAGGTCGCATTTTCAAAATTAGAAGATGAAGTAAAAGGCCGGACTGGATCGCAGTTAATTTCCTCGGTATGGAACGCCAGCTTCCGCAGCGCCCTCATGGCAAGGCCTCGCATGGAAGTTACCGGATATCCAACGCTAGAGAATCACCCTTGCGATGCCTGTAATCGATCCGGCCATCCGGCGTCCTCTGACATGAAGCTGCATGGAAAAGCATACTCATTGGAGACGTTTGAACCGTTGTCAGACGAGTCGAGTGACGCTGAAGAAGATGGACAAGAACGGGATCGAGATGGACATGTTCTCCCCGATGAGAACACCCGATTTTTGCTAGGAAGGTACGTCTGATACTATTGACTCTCTAACATCCCCTCCAACAGGGCTCACACATAACCTCCTAGACATTGCAAAAACAGAGCTACCATGGCCCATACCCTCATCCATTGGCGCTTTCACCTTAATGAATGGGTAGTAGACCACCTTGAACGAATGGGCTACATGACCGACAAGGAAGTGTTGAGGCGGAGCCACTGGAGCCAGAAGAAAAAGGCTAAAAAGGCCGCCGAAGCCGTCGGCTTGATGGTTTACGAAGGCGAGATAAAGAAGCTCTGGCGAGATTTCCATATCAACCTCAGAACGGCTCGAGAATCCGTGGTATGTTCATTCTATCGAAATCTTACCTTCACCCTCTCCATAGGACATATGCTGATATCTATATAGACGCTTGGCTAGTGCCTCATCCAGATCTCTTCAATATTCTTCGAATATATCCTGTCAATATCTTTGCTCGAGGTACTATCTACTATGGGCCTTTCTGAACTCATTTTTGGTTGTTATTATCATTTTACCCTCAAGATTACACTATGTACATACACCTGGATCCATGATTTACCCATGTCATCCTTTATCTTTCTCGTCTTGTTTACCTTGATGGAATTTCTTTGGTACGCTCGGTTGATACCCCAGGTCTGGCATGGCCTTTCATACGAATTTCTTTCGAACGTCTTTCCCATGATTCTGCTTCTTATTGTGCTTTTTAGCTGTTTTCTCGCTTGGTGCAACCCTCAGCTCTCGCACTTCTTGGATGCCAATTCAGTATTATTTACGATCACACCTCTAGAATCATTCACGTTCCATTATCTAGAAACATATTTCGACCAAAGTAAGTAACAAACGACATCAGCGAAATGAAAAAGAAAAGGAATCAGTATGAGTTATACAAATACATGCATTGCCCGCTCCAGAACTTCCAGAAGCAGAGGCATGAGGAGAGGAAAAAAAGGTACATAGAAAGATCAAAGACTCCGAAATGACAGATGGTTGAAAGCCATTACCATAACCATTTAAGTCCGTGCTTTTTTATTGCCGCGCCGGCCCAAAACCGTGAATTATATTTTTGGAGATCGCAGGCGATTATTCAATCAGATGCTTTGTATACCCTTTTCAAAACGCATGCAGATTGTGTTGTCATGCATTGCCGTTTTTAATAATTTTACTGTATTTTGAAATCCATTCAACGCGTAGTTCGATTCGTGTATATCGGGAACACCAGACAGAGTCATTGTTGACACACTGATCTGCCCCAGGCAGACCGATGGCGTACAATACTGCAGGCTCTACAGCAACAGGCGATTCGAGCATAGACTATAGGTTAAGGCTGTTGATGGCTGATCATTGACACCTGTTGCGGTCTTCGCCTTCGCTAGCGACGTCCATTTACAGGGTAGGTTGAGCCTGCTTCTGCTCCTCGGAAACCGCACCGGGGGTGAGCATCTGCAGAAAAGACTTGATCAGCATTCGTGCACGGTTTAAGTTGTCAAAAACATAACGTCAAGGAAGAAGAACAATAACGATATTTCCAAAAATGGATGTGTCGCCTTGTTGGACTGATCGTCAATGGGTAAAAGAGTTTTCACCGCATCTCGGCTCTCGGGCGCAACCGGAAGATAAGGTGAATAATAGAGGCCATGGCGATAACAAGGCATTGAAAATGCATAATAGCAAAAAATGGCTGATATATGACCTACCTCGTTGGCACCCTTGATCATGCCCTGCTCACGCTCCATCTGCACGTACTGCTCCTCCTCTGCATAGGCGAGCGCGAATGGGATACCGACAAGGAAAGCACTGGTGCTGATAACCCAGAGTGCGCGACCGCTGAACATGAGACTGGACTTTGTGAATGAGGTGATGGAAGAAACTGTGCTGGTGACCTGGCGGCGGGCGGAGGGAGGGATGATATCTTTCAGAGCGGACAGACGCTCGTAGAAGGTCTCGCCATCGAGCTCGACATCGGAGTCCTCGGAGATCTCAGACTCTATATTCATTAAACATGTTAGAACATTGGTTAAACAATGTGGTCTTGAAGCCGGAATCAAGATGGCTACGCGGTGTGTTTGGGCCAGCAACGTGGTCGGCGCAGAAAGTGCCACCGGAAACACGGGCTGAGAGCAAGCATGATTCATCTCGCGCACACAGGAATATAGCATCGATAACGCTGAATTCAAGGGAATGCACTAGAGTACTAACCGGTGTCAGTGTAGTCGTCATCCTCGTCATCCGAGGCAAGCAGGACGTTGTTCTTGGTGGCCTGGGGCTTCTCCTGGGCGTAGTGCTCGTCCTCGACTTCTTGGAGCTGGACCATTTTGACTAGGGTTTATTAATCGAGGGTAAAATTATGAAGAATAGGAATGGACGAGGTGAATTGACGGCGTTGTGGTGTTGGATGGAGTTGAAGTTGAGAGGTGACGGAGATTGATGGGTAAATGGAGAGGATTGCGGATTCGACGTCGTCCGTACCAACTTTTTTCCCGAGCCAAACGGAGCTAAAAGCGGCAATGAGTTTCGGCCCCAATAGAGTAGAAGAAGAATCTCTACCTTATCTATTCATACAATTGCCAGTAGATGAGAGATATAGTAAAACTCAATGTTGGAGAACACATGTTTTGATGTCATTCGTTTTAATTACATAGAGGGAAGAAAAATGCCGGGCGTCACGCCCTTCTCTTAACTATACTATACAATAAACAGCAGCTTCTATCTATTCCGTAAATTATTTCTTCTCTGGATTTCATTCCATTCACCTTCTTCCCAGTTTCCATCTGGCGATCCGTTCTTGGATCTCCTCCCATGGGAAAGAGCGAAGTTTGTATCCTTCCAGTTCGCCTTCCTGCAGAACCACAGTTGGCTTACCGGTGCCTTGTCCCTTGTTCTGGACGTTACCGCCGAAAACCTGTCGGGCAACGCGGCGCAGGTCCTCCACGGTCAATGCATCGATGTGATCGCACATCTCTTTGACACCGACCTTCCGACCATGTACCTGAACCTGGCGTCCGAGGTCCTCCAATTCGACCATCCGTGACTCCAGGTTCATGAGAAGAGAGGAGCGGAGTTGATTCTTCGCACGGTTGACTTCCTGGGCTTGCAAGGCAGAGTAACCGTTGTCAAGTGTCAGTGCCTGCAGTTCGCGGCACATGACCTCAAGCATCTCGGGTGTCCGTGTCGGACTGCACGAGGCAGAGATTCCGAAGATTCCGCTGTCGGTGTAACTATGGTTGAAAGCGATACAGCTCTCAACCCATCCATGCTGGTTCAGCACGTTGGTGTAAAGGCGTGAGTACATACCCTTGCCAGGACCGCCCGCGGAGAATGATCCACCACCACCGAGCAGTGTCTGGAGGGTCGCGAGAGCATAGATGTCGGGGTTGGAGATGGGAAGAGCCTCAAATGCGAGATGGATATGGCTCAAGCGAGGAAGCATGGGGTTCGCCGGAGGGGGAATTGGAGGGAGAGAGAGGAAACCGCCAGTATAATGCGAAGGACGTGTCAAGTTGAACGTTGACGGTTCTACCAAGGAAGGATCCAATGGTGACACGGAGCCATTCTGCGATCCGGAAAGGTTTTTGAGAAATGGAAGTTTGGAAAGGAGACTGGACTCGGACTTTGGGGATGCAGGAGTGGTCGATGTGGTGGACGACGGCGTGAATTGGGGAATTGTAGGCACTTGCCCTTCTTCGACGGCCGACTTGGAGTTCGACAAAGTAGTTTCGATGCCGGTTCCCGATAGAACAGGACCCTTGTTCGACTTTTGCCCCTGCATGTCACCGAAGTACTGCTCCGTGAGCTTGACAGCTACATCGTGCGGCACACCGGCGAAGGCAACGACCATCCTGTCAGGTTTGAAGAATACTTCGCGATATTTATCCACAACCGCCTTGTTAATCTCTCCTAGTCGTTCCTCCGGGCATAACAGAGGGTTCCCCAACGTGTTGTCCTTGTAGGCAGCCATATGTACTAACTCTGGCAGAATAAGCTCCGGCTTGGCCCAGATCTCGCCAATCTCATACTCAGCCGTACCCAGCTGCTGAAGCACCTCCTCTTCTGTGATGAGTGGATCACGAATTGTCTCAGCCAAAAGCCCCAGAGTCGTTGGGACAGCCGAGTTGAAACTGGCGGACTGGTACATCAGCGACTCTCGCGAAGAGGCACACTGAATGTTTCCTCCAAGGCCCTCAAGAACTTCAAGCATCTCGTCGCTAGACCGTTTCTTAGTCGACTTGAATGCTAGTCGATCCATTATGTGGCTAACTCCTCGTAGGCTCTCATCCTCGTATCGGGAACCGGCATCGACGTAAACTCCAACACCAGAGAAGGGCCCCGGCAAAGATTCAGTAGCGACACGAATTCCATTCGGCAAGGTGGTGATCTGGTCGAGCTCAACAGGATCCTATAGCATTGCGTAAAGACATGAGTTAGTCGAGAAGATCAGACCAAACGAACACCCAACATTTCGGCATTACCTTAGAATTGGACTCGTTGACAGTAGCGAAGCTCCTTGAAACGGAACGAGGGGCGCGGCCGAGCGGCTTCGCGGACTCAACTGCCCGCAATACTGAGCGACGCATCTTGTCAATCTTGAATTCAATAAGTTCGGAGGATACTGAATTCAGGTGCTCCTTGTGTTGTCGGAGAGAGCTGTTTTCCGGAGACCACCGCAAGGATTTGGATGAAAGCCGAGATCCCATGGCTTATCTAATCCGGTCTGTTTTCATCCTTCCAAACCAACGAAAATGACGTCGACTGGAAATAATTCCCTCCCCTTTTATTTCAAATACTGTTCTATTCGGCTTGGTCTAGAATCTCAAACTAGGCGGGGGCCTTTGTTTTCCATCTCTGCTTGCTCGACTACTTCTTCGATGGAATCGTCATTTACGCTGGACGACGGAGTTTGAATCAATGAATTGCTTTTTAGGCCACGCCCACGACTATCACGTAACCATTAGTTCTACCAAATAAGCTATTTTATGGCTGTGCAACTAGTTGTAGATATACTTCAGTTGAGCCTGTTACGAGTTCGCCGTAGCCCATGCTTTATACCAGTCAAGGCAAGAGGCATTTGCGACACTGGCGCCGATCTTGATATTCAGGCCGCACAAAATCTGTTTCACGGCATTCTCGACTTTCTTTCCATTGGACGTGATTGGAATCTCTGGACAAGCGTCCACTATGCCCGGGACATGACGAGGGCTGAGCTCCTTGCGGATAGTAGCTTGAATACGCGCCGCGAGCTCTTGAGGCATGGTCTTTTCCTGCGAGGCCAGTTTCACGAAAAGGACGACAGTCTCATCTGCATCAATTCCGTCTCGCCTCCGTCCGATGCACAAGGAATCCTCCACTTCCTCTGCAAAGTGTTTGAGTAAAATATTGTAGATTTCTGCGCTTCCGAACCTGACTCCGGCCGGCTTCAGGACGCCATCACTCCGACCTAGCATGACCACCCCTCCAGTCTGAGGATCCAAGCGCACAAAGTCTCCATGATGCCAGACTGATGGCCCAAAAACATCAAAATAACTCTTGCGATACTTCTCTGCACCAACAACCCCAGGTGGCCAGAACATAACCGGTTGTGCAGGGAACGGCTTTGTACAGACGAGATCGCCAGGTTCGCCAGAGGCGCTAATATCATTACCAGCGTAGTCGTATACAGAAACGGCCATGGCTAGGCTGCGACATTGAATCTCACCCTTGTAAACTGGCAAGATAGGGCAGCAGGAACAAAACAAGGACAGAATATCGGTTCCACCAGTGATTGAGCCCAGCATAATGTCCGGGTGAATGGATGAGTAGACGTATTCGAATGTGGAGGGCGCCAGCGGAGAGCCAGTGCTAAATATCGCTCTCAGGGTTTGCAGCGTTACCGGCCGGTGGGGGTGCTTTCGCGGATTCAGGAAAGCCTGCTCCAAGATAGACAGGTACTTGGCTGAAGTCCCAAAGTGGGTTATCCTCAATTCATCAATTAGACGTGGCATGGCCATCTCTCCGTTTCCGCCTTCAAAGTCAAATGGTCGAAAGGGGGAACCATCGTACAAAACAATGGTGGCACCACTAGCAAGCCCAGAGACCAGCCAATGCCACATCATCCAGGTGACAGTAGTAAAGTAGAACAAGCGGTCTCCGGGGCGAACATCGCAATGAAGCATGTGTTCCTTCTTATGCTGCAGCAAGGTTCCAAGCGATCCATGAACAATAGGCTTAGGTGCCCCTGTCGTACCGGAAGAGTATAATATATAGACAGGGTGATCAGGCTCTAGGCTTGCAAATTCGAGAGGAGCCGAAGGGTTGCTGGTGGCAGAGAGGAAAGACTCATACGTAGATACCTTTCCCTGAACTGGTGAAAGCTCCTCCAGATTGATCTGATGTGACTTGATTGTCTCGAATACAACAAGGAGCTCCAGATTTGGCAGTTCTGGGACAATTTGACGGATCTTGGCCTCTGCCCCATGCACTTTACCATTATATAATGAGGCATTGTCAGCGAATAGAATCTTCGGTTCTATCTGCTTCAGACGCTCTAACACTGCGTGCACACCCGTGTCCGGAGAGACGCCGGTCCAGAATGCTCCTATGGAAGTTGTCGCCAGCATAGCGATAACGGTATTGGCATGGTTGCCTAAAAACCCTGCCACACGATCCCCTGACCGTAAACCTGCTTCCTTCAGTGAGTTGGCACATTGCCGGACGCGTTCACGCAGTTCTTTCCACGAGACATACTCTCGTTCCGACTCTGTAGCAGCGATTATCGCCACCTCATTTTCGCCGAGCGCGCTAGCTGGGTAGAGAAGGTTCTCGGCGAAATTCAGTCTACTTCCCTCGAAGAAGTTGGGTCTAGGGAAGAGGTCCTGATCAGCATCTAGGACCTGTCCTACTTGTTAGCAGAAGAAGCTTTGCGGCCAGGTAGCCATGGCTAGAGAGATGTCAAGGGGCTATGACAAGAGGACTGTAAGTACTCACACGGCTATATGGTTCATGAGACTTGATCGCCGCATAGTGCCATATCTGCTCCCAGAACAGTGCAGGCTCCGAGACACTCCAACGCCAAAGGTCATTGTAGCTCTTCAAAGCCAGACCGTGCTCTGCGTTCAACTTCATCATGAAGTCATATATTTGCGTGTCCTGCGGAGAGCTATGCCGCCATAGTTCTTTTGAACCGGAAGAAACCCCATTGGAGGACATATTGAACGAGGTTATGACTGGCATGTTCCTAGTGAATTGTATCCCCTTGGATCAATTTTGTCTAATTGTGGGGGAGAAATCAATCACTGTTTGCCGGGTGAAAGGCACTATTAGTCCCGTACCTCGGGGTTGAGAAATGGTTCGATTTGGAATCTGGACCGTCCAACTTTGGCACGGAGTATGATTGAGTTGATCATTAACTTCGGGACCTAGTTTGCTAAATAGTAATGACTGGTACAGAGTAAAGCAAATCTATATGGTTAAGTCTAGGCAGGCCAAGGGTCTAATCGGGGATCGTGGGGGCGGGAGATTCCGGAGAAGAGACGGACAAGAACCCCCCGCCTTACCCTACCCTAGATAGATTCGATAGAAGGCGACCGACTCCGATTCAAAATGCTTAAGTAGTATTATTACCAGATCAAAATATATCTATAGTTTGGTACTTCCTCGTCACAATTGTCTTCAGTACACCGGAAGCTCAGACCTTGTACGTTAGTGGCAAATATCACAGCATTCTATTAGTCAATTCTATTTCAAGTACGTATGCGCATCAAGATATGGCATATGGCATACGGTTGCTGGCAGTGTAGTATATGTACTGGATGTATGGGTGCTTATAGTCGAAGTAATCAAAAGATAACCATTACCTCAAGAAACGGAGTATGAGATCAAGATACTGCATTTGTATGTCATTTAATATGAGAAACTTGCCTCGGTCGTATTCGCCTTGCGTTGCCCCTTTCTGGGGGGGTTTCTGATTACACACTACGTAGTAGTACTCCGTACTCCGTAGTTTAGAAGAGAATTGAGGGAGGGAAGAAAAAAAAAAAAAAGAACGACGTTGCTTCAGGGGCTGGTATCTTACCGTATCATAACTTCATTTTCCCAGGTGAACCAGCCTTGTAAAATGATGCAAAGGCGACAGGGGTAATGGGGCCATACCGTACGATACTATGGGTCCCCGTTGGATACCACTTGGTCTGGAAGATCCACTCTTGAAAAAGTCCTGTTATTTTTCGTCCCAACACTAGGATCCATCGGGGGAAAATTAATTATGGTTGATGGTCTTTTTCAGCTGCTTACTGACTCTCTCTCTCTCTCTCTTTCTCTCTTCTTCTTCTCGTCACTGTTTCATCGCAATAAGCGTCAACTAATCTAGGCCAGGACAAGAGGCTGAATTTGCGATTGGGCTCCGTGCCCTTCCAGTTCCCACGTGCAAAAGGTCTGTGCCTTACGTTACCACCTGAAATTACAGGACCATCAATCACTCCGGCTTGTTCGGAGTTGCATTTGCATCTCACCCTCATTTTCTCTCCTGTCTTTGTATACCGCCCTCGAGCCTTGATCTTCTTTTCGTCTCCCTCGCATCTGTTGACTGCTTTCACGGTTGTCCGCACACTGGTCTGGATTGTGGCTGACTGCTTTCCTGTGGATACTTCAGACCGTCGTCGCTGTCCTGGTACTTTCTGAGACATTGGAAAGTGAAGGAGGACTGGTCAACAAGCACAATACTCGCGTCAGGAGTCTTATTGCCTCTCCAAGTAATTTCTATTTACACTCTTCATTCCGGGACCGCGGTAGAAGTTTCTCTTCACGCCATATCGGTGTTCCTGCGAAATTGATTGTTTCCGACTGGCGGTTTCCTTGCAATGCCTCGTCGATCCGTCAACTCTTCCGCCAACGACCCCTCCAACGCGCAGTCCACCTCATCCAACTCTGGAAAGGGCGGTATCGCCTTCAAGGCGCCTACAACGAAACCTAGTCTTTTGAGCCAATTATTTTCAACCTCCCCTAAGTCTAAATCCGACTCTCAGTCTGCGAACGCGGCTGCCAGAGGAGCTAGTGGGAACGCTCATCCTACTTCGATCAGCTCGGCTTCACTGTCCTTACCGACCATTTCTCTCTCTACTGCTACCGCGGGCAACCCAAATATGGACGAACCGCCGACCACACTCTTTCAGCCTCCCTCGCCAGAGGAGGCTCGTCGCCAGGCCAAGGCAAACGCGCAATTTGGCACCATCGGCCATCCCAGCCACCGGTATTCCAGTCAACATCCTGGCGGTGTCTTTCCTGAGCCGATAATGGATGAGCCTCCGTATTATTACCTTCTTACCACCTACATTAGTTACCTAATCCTAATCGCATTTGGACATGTCCGTGACTTCTTTGGAAAACGCTTCCGGGAAGAGAATTATAGACACTTGAAACCTCGGAATGGATACGGTGCCCTCAACAGCGACTTTGACAATTTCTACGTCCGTCGTCTCAAGTTGCGCATCAATGATTGTTTTGAGCGCCCGGTGACGGGTGTCCCCGGAAGATACATCACACTGATCGACCGCGCAACTGATGATCACAACAAGCACTTTTACTTCACCGGAACCACAACCGATACGCTGAACCTGAGCTCGTACAACTACCTTGGTTTTGCGCAGTCTGAAGGCCCATGTGCAGACCTCGCCGAGGAATCAATTAGGAAATATGGCATCACGTCTCCTAGTACCCGTGCGGAGGTTGGCACACAAGACCTTCACATGGAAGTTGAGGATCTTGTCGCCAAGTTCGTGGGCAAGGAAGCGTCAATGGTCTTCTCTATGGGATTCGGCACTAATGCAAATATTTTTCCCGCTCTGGTAGGCAAAGGCGATCTTATCATTTCCGATGAGCTGAATCACGCGTCAATCCGCTTCGGTGCACGTCTTTCCGGGGCATCTATTGGTATGTTCAAGCACAACGATATGAAGGACCTGGAGAATAAGCTCCGGGAGGCTATCAGTCAGGGTCAGCCCCGTACTCATCGCCCCTGGAAGAAGATTTTGGTCGTCGTGGAAGGTCTTTATTCTATGGAAGGGTCGATGTGCAACCTCCCAGGCCTAATTTCCTTGAAGCGGCGTTACAAATTCCATCTTTTTGTTGATGAAGCTCACTCAATTGGTGCCATTGGACCTAGAGGCCGAGGTGTTTGTGACTATTTCGGCATTGATACAAACGAAGTGGATATTCTCATGGGAACCCTTACAAAGTCTTTCGGTGCTAATGGAGGGTATATCGCTGCCGACAAGAACATGATCGATCAGCTTCGTGCAGCGAATTCTGGAGTTGTCTACGGAGAATCGCCAGCCCCGGCAATCTTGTCACAAATATCTTCTGCTCTTCGTATCATCAACGGCGAAATCATTCCGGGTCAAGGTGAAGAGCGACTGCAGCGTTTGGCCTTCAACTCCCGATACCTTCGTCTGGGCCTGAAACGTCTTGGCTTTATAGTGTACGGCCACGATGATTCACCAATTATCCCAGTGCTGCTGTTCAACCCTGCTAAGATGCCGGCCTTCTCCCATGAAATGCTGAAGCGAAAGATTTCTGTTGTCGTTGTCGGTTATCCTGCTACACCCTTGGTCTCCTCCCGTGCTCGTTTCTGCGTTTCTGCCGCACATACTAAGGAAGACCTTGATCGGGTATTGACCGCTTGTGACGAGATTGGCAATGTTCTGCAACTGAAATTCTCGACTGGTGTTGCCGGCGGAGCCCTCCCATCGAATGAGGATGTGACCCCTCCTCCAGAGATGGAGAAGGAATGGCACCGGAAGCGAGACCCCGTTGCTCCTCCGCGCTGGCGTATCGAGGACGTTATCAGGCGAGGTGTCCAGGACGTCAAAGGTCCGTTGTATTAGTTCGTCATGACTGCGTTCCGTATCGTTACATGCACGTTTTAAGGGGTTGGCCTACAGACTCGGTTGATGCTGGTCATGCCGCGTTGAAGGCTGATCGGACCCATTACTACTTCATGCTTGCTGTGTATCATTAGGCACTCGCTCTTGGGTTGTCTCTGCATTCTTATCACGTTCCCCCCTCCACATACATGGCGTGGAATGGCCCACAAGCCTCAGAAAGAAAGTCACGAATTCCTTACCAAGCCATGGATACGCTATTTGAAACATTGACTACCGGCCAGCGAACTTTCACGAGCACACCGGCTCGCTACTCTGTGTCTGTGTGACGGAGGGGTTGACTGGGCCTTGTACCCCTTCTGGCATATTTGCCACTTTTTCTTTTCTTCCGGCCCCTTCCTTTCACTGTCTCCCGATAGACATCCGCTGGTTCACTCCCTCCACCAAGTGCTGGAGGATGGGACAAGACCAAGCTTGTTATTGTTGAAAAGCATGGGGCCGCACACTTGTATCCTAATGAGTTTGATGAGCGGTGGGGGCGCAACGGATCGCTTCGTTGGCATATATGGACGTTTATATTTAGATGATTGTTAATACATTTTTATTGGATTCATTTGTACCTTCATATATATAGCTAGGAATTTAATGTGATGAGATCATGTATGTTGCTATCCAAATCAATAAGTCAAATAGTAATCGAGTGCCCTAGTATGTATATGCTATATATGCACCCTGTATGTAGACATCTATCCGTAATCAAACACCTCACAGTGTACCCTGGAGGCTAGAAAATATAATGAATCCGGTACGCCGACTGAATGATGGTTTGATCTTATGCCATCTTGTGTTGCTATAATAACCACCTTGAGGTATCTCCAACCTCAGCCTTAAGCCTAGCCCAGCCTTGAATCCCATAACGTCCAGTGATATATAAAAGAACAAATAAAGCGACGGCGCCAAACGATAGAGAATAAACCTGTTAAAACCCGAGAATATCGAACGACAGCAAGCAGTAAAAAAACCCTCAGGCCAAAGGATCGTCATGAAGTCATAAAGAAATTCGTATCTGCTTAATGCAGTGTCGAGAAAGGCGAGTAAGTGTAAGAAAGAAAACAGGAAGTTCTAGATGATTATACGAGACGAAGTCTTGCTGATCATTTAAACTGTGCCGTATCTATCGCGGTCTTCTTCTAAAAGCGCCCGGCTTTCTGTGGGAGTACGGTGGTGGTGGGCATCGCGGGTAGGTGATACGGATGGGATCCAGCCTCTCATCCAGCCGCGGACTCGCATCCAGCGACTACGTCCGCACTTCGGATCTTCGATCTCAATGATGGACTCGTCGTCTCGCGTGCCGTACATTAGGAATTGCACACCCATGAAGCCGTCGAAGAAAAGGACGCCGAATGCCCCTAGGAAGAATGGGATAGCTCGGCCTAACCATTCGGCGCGGTTATTGCCGTTGGAGTCGGCCCATCCGCCGCCGCCATAAGGCGGGTAGTCGAACCAGGCGTTCGGGTTTGTGAGGAGAGATGTGGAGTAAAAGAAATTTCCGCTAAATGCGGCCATGAAGAGCAGCGGAGATAGACCGGAGGTGCTCTTGCGCTTGTAATTCTTGTATAGTTGGGGTGGGCGCGAGAAAAGATATAGGAATGTTGACATCCACGAGAAAAAGGTGCCGAGGAACCCCAGGCTGAGGAAATCGGAGTGTGGTTCGGTGGCTGGCTCCGTTGGTGCTGCGTTGGCCACAACGGCGCAGAGCATCGATGCTAGTAGAACTGTGCGCGTAGAGGCAATAGGCAAGCTGGGTCCACTGCTTTTTCTGACCATTGAGCGACGGGATGAGCTCAGCTTCTCGTTAGAGTACGATGGAGATTGGCCGTTAGAAGAACTGAAGATAGGCTCTTTGCGACCTTTCATGTCTTTCGCGTCTGAATTGGCTGTTGTTTCTGAAGGTGTATGGTTGACTGAGTTGTTCTCGGAAAAGGATACCCCTTCTAACACACCCCCGGTTCCGCCCTCATGATGTGAGTGAGTGAGGCTACGGTAGCCACCCTGACGTCCTTTGATATGTGTGTACCAGAAAAACTGGAAGACGAGTGTAACATCGACTAGGACATAGTAGCCTGCAATGATGACTTGCCAAGTAGCTTGCCGAGTGAGTAGAGCACCGATCAGGTTGCTAGTGTCTCCCAAGCACCACTCCACAAGAAAGAATATGGACAAGCCCGACGTAGATTGCAACTGCACATTCTTATATATCTGTGGAAGCTGTGCAAACAGCCATGACACAATGCTGAGGGTACCCAACACTGATGATATGAGAGCGAGCGGCGTAGGTATGCACGTGTGCAGATATGCTGAAATGGCAGCGAAAAAGGGCGAAGACGGCTCACAATGTTGCGGCAGCGTTTGAGTCAGGTGCTGTATTAAAGGAGGAGGCATATTCTCGGTTCGTTAAGTTCCACCGACAACTTGGAAGACTCGTCTATATTGCTCGAAACAGAGCACTCGGTATGGACGTGTGCAGGGGAAAGTCACGACACGGCGAGACGTTCAGATGAATGGGCGGGGATCTCACGGGGTAAGAAATACCGGTCTATGCGGTGTGAGACTCGTTCCGCAAGGGCAAAGGGGGATGAAAAAAGGAGTGTATGGGAGAAGGAGGAAACAAGAAGAGGAAAGGAGATAGTAGTAGGAGTAGGAGTAGGGGGCTCAGCCTGATTCAGATATGGCATGCAGAACGAGTCACACTCCGTCCCCCGATTAGGTCACGAGTCAAGGGCTGAGCTGAAGATCGGCGACGATGACTGACTCTGATAAGACTTCCATATCTCCCATCCCTGATTGGCTCCTACTGGATCGGGAAACCCTGCTCCGCTCCGGTTTCCGGCGGCGGATGATCTTCCGTACTGATCACGGGATCCCCGATGGCGGGGAGCCGTGACCGTGGGATTGCCCTGCGTGACGTGGTTCCAATGTCAAGAAGAAGTCTTGAACATTACATACATATATTTGTTCTCTTCTCAAATTTAGAGTTACTTCGACCAAACTTGTGCGGGTGATATATATGCGCCAGAATAATGTGTGGAGTATTACGCCCGTAGAAAGATTTACTTTGTGGGGAAACGTAAAACATTTCGACGATAAGATATGATGTCGTTTGGATAAGCAGGTTTTATACTCCTCATTTACAGGCCCATTATCTATTCTACTTCCATGCAAACAATATAACCTATGGTTGTGGCTTTCCTACTCGAAATGTTACGACCTGATTCAGATTTGCCTAACCATCTACGCCAAAATTCCCTTCTCTATCTTCCTTCATCCGATCGATCGTTCATTTCCCTAGCCAAATTTGGCCGTTACATAAACTGACAAATTGAGAAAGGCCGCATCAAATCTGTCGATTCCTGAAACCCACAATGACATAAGGAGAAAAGTAGCAGTTTGCCACGCGTGATTTCAGAGAAACACCAGAGGGAATTATTGTACAATAATCCGAGTTACTAGCATCTAGATGGAGGCACCATACTCAGCATTGTTGTCATCAAGTCGTTAAGCATTACAAAACATTCCTAATCTTTATCCTTTTCTAACAATTTCCCTATAATAGTGTACGCGCCAAATGAAAGAGCAACAAAACATCACTAAAGCGATCTAAGAAATAACATCTAAGAGAGTTTCCTATCAGTAGCTGCCGCTATGGCTACTGTGCCGAGAATGACTGCGATGATGACGATGATGGCGATGGCCGTGACGATGTTTGTGACGGTGATGATGATGGCCATGATGACCATGGTGGTGGTGATGGCTATGATGCCGATGTTCATCTTCTTCTGGTTTATCCTCCATCTTGTCTCCAACGAAGTTGCCTAATATCGCACCCCCCACAGCCCCTAGAAGGCCATGGTTACTTTGGTGTCCCAGATAATAGCCTCCAGCGCCACCAGCAAGCGCCCCTGCGAGATTGCGCTCGGTTCCCTCATTGTCGGAAGTATTGTCAGCTCCGTGGGGATGAGAGCTTTGAAGATAGTGCTGATCTTGTTCGTTGGTGGACGCGTTGCTGGAACACTTTAGTGTGTATTCATCGGAATGCTATGGGATGATAGCGTACTAATAATCAGCGTTACTTCCTCGACGATCTCTTTCTTGCTCAAAGCCTCCCGCAGAAGCTGGATTGAGGTATTCCTGTTGCGGGCCCGACATTTGGGGGGGATAGGACCTCGGTGTTTGCGCTAAGTCATACTGCGAGCCGTACTGGCCGCTTTGATTCGGAGGAAATTGCTGCGAATAAGGATGCTGGGACTCATAATCGTACGGTGGGTTTTGGTATAGGCTATCTGCGGGCGCATAAAAGTTCGCCTCGGGTCCAGGACCAGGAGGAGCGTAGTGTGGGCGTTGGGCGTAAGGGTCAGACATCCTGGGGTGGGGTGGGAAGGAAAGTAGATGCAGGTAGCACAATGTACACAGGGCTACGAGGGGGAGGTGTCGAACAATAAATATTGGTTACTATTTATTTTGAGGAGTCATGAAGTATGGATCAACTGCCTAATGACCATAATGTGCAGCACTTGGTGCAGCGCAGCTGACCTTCTCGCACGACATTCCGCCAAGACGAGATGAAGTGGCAGCTTACAGCGTTGCATACCATAACTACCCCATTCTGCCAGGCTTCATAGAGCCCTTTTTCAGAACTTCTTGAAAATCAAATAAAACAACTGTGCATGAAGAAAAGGAAAAGGAAAATGACAAAGGAAAGGAGCAGATGTACAGGTCCATGCCTCAGCGTGACCGAACTGCGTGTTCTAATCGCTCACTACTAGTAGGTACTAATGTACTAAGTCCAATAGCTTACTACAGCGGCTTGGAAAGTGGTGGACCTTTTGCCCAGTGAGATATACCATAGATAAATTCACTGCACAACGCCAGGCCCAGAGGCTAGTAGTTTCCCAAACGGCATGAAGTAGCATGTTCTATATCTGCCCTTCATCCCGATGTTAGTAGCACACGGGCACCATTGTTAATACCTCAAATCCTTTGACTCTTTAAGTTTATTCTATTTCTCTTCTTATACAAAGAAATTAATCCGAAGATAAGCAGGTCCAATATATATCAGCACTTGTTGTTACATGCAGGGCGGAGGATTCTCAAGCGAGTTTACAAACACAGTTTTCTATGGCACAGAAGAAACCCTTCTTTAATTAGTAACAGGTCTACCAGTGACTTCGAGTTCCAAGCATATAGCCGCAGCTAGTAGTGCTTATAAAATAGAGCTTTCATGTTTACCCAGACCACATTGATACACACATACACGACCTGCCATTCCAGATGAATGCCTCTCGCGCTGCTGATCTGGTGACTACGAATGAGGAGTGACGAGTGAGGACGCTCTTTTGTGATCAATGGGAAATACTGCAGACGAGTGAGGCTGATTGTATTAGGCAACTAGTAGATCATGGAGCTGCTAGACTGCATGGACTGTGATTACGACTGCATGAGGCTAATCACGCTTAAGTATAGAGGAATATGCTAAGGGTCAAGATTGGAAGTCTACCAGAGGTCACTGGGGAATGAGAAACTACTAAGACCTAAGTTGAAAGGCGAGGGGTATATTTACTCCACATACATGAAGCTACCATTGACGATCTCTATGATGATCATTGTATATGCCTGCCTTCTGCCATACTGATAAACCAACACAGCGCAAGTGCATCTAGACCCAATATTTATTGACATAGATGGCAAATCTCTAATTGATGGATATGAGTAGGATTCTCATAGGCCATATTGAAGACATCTCTGGATAATCACAAGTGACGGGCGAAGGAATGAAGGGTAGATTATAAAATCCAAAGCATATCATTCGTCCCAGGTAATTTGGATAAATATAGTAGTTGTTTGTTGTAATGATCAAAAATTGCTGTGTTGGCACCGAAGGAAGCGACTAGCCGAGTTCGGCTTCGGAGATAAATCACGTTACGACCAGATGCGCATCAGACTGAAAGTCTACCAGATTCATCAGGTTTAATTTGCCTTATCTTCCTTCTACCTGTCCTCTCGCTCATAGAGTATTGTTCTAGGCAGATACGGCTGGTAGTGTGGCATGCATTATCATTGATTACCACCTCTGCAAGCTTGAACATCTGACGGTGAGCGTCATTTAAAAGCAGTTTGCTCAACACCAGCGCCACTACTTCGCCGGACGTGACCAAGCGGCAACACATTTCAAAGACACTGTCAATATGGAGACCCAGATTAGTATGAATACGTTTCGATTGCCATTGTTCTTTATTGTAGTTTCCGACGGCATAAAGAGTTCCTCAACTGACACGCTTATTCAGGATCATCCAGCCTGCGACAGAGCTGCATCTTTTGTCGGGGCCGAAAGATTCGATGTTCTGGCGGGCGTATCTGCAACGCTTGCCGAGACCGTAACATCAACTGCGTATACGGCCCTGAAGCCCGCAAGGGCCGACCAAGACGCAAAGGGACGGAGGACAAGTGCGCCCTTAACCCGGGTGTCAGCAAGCGCGGCAGGAAGCAGTCCATTTCATTGACTAATACCGCAGTAGCCAGCGTTCTGAGCGACGAGTCGGTGGTGCACGCGTCAGTAGCCCTCAAGAAGGTTCACACCCTGGGCAACGACCTAGAGCAGATGTTCGATGATTACTTCATCAGCAAAACTGGATCGGAATCTAATCTTCTTCAGTTGTCTATAAGTTCTTTTCAGAGACGTCAACAGCGGTCGTATACCTCGACACCACCCAACCATCCTAAGCACCATCAGGTAAACTATGATAGGCTACTATCCTCCATTGCCCAAGAGATGGTGGAAATGCTACTGCTGCGTGTTGGCTCTTTGAGATGTGGGCAACCGGAGGAGGGGAACCGAAACTTTTTCGTTGCTAGTCTAGTGGTTGACACCACATCATCTATGTTCGACCCTCCACAGCATCAAAATCCTCTAACAGATCTAGGAAAGCACCGCATCTTGCAGTTGATTGACATGTGGTTCTCGGTGCATCCTCTATCGCCACTAGTATCAAAAACCTTGATTACTAGTGAAGTTAAGGATGGAACGGTGGATGAGGCTCTATTGGCAATAATCTTGTCTGATGCGTGTCATGTCCTAGGTGATGTCAGCGAGCAGCATGGGGCTATAAGTGATGAATCCCAGAAGTTGTTCGAGTTTGCTTCCACCCAAATCAAACAGCGCCAGCTACCCCTTGACGATTCAGAAGGCCTCGCCACAGTACAAACTTTGTTTCTAATAGCATGGAGGGAGCTGTGCTTGGGTCATGCCCGGCGAGCAACCTGCCTTGTGGGCTATACTTGCTATATGGCCTCACGTTTAGCTAAAACAGGGAAGAATGCAGACACGAAGAGCATCAAATTGAATGGTGTTGAGATTGACCTGGTCAAAAAAGAGGTCCTGCAAAATGTTCATTGGTTATGTTTAACCACCACCTCCTGGGCGTTCATGCAATTTGACCAAGCCCTTGCACTCTTCGGCCCCGACGAGATACCTGATTTTCCTTGTCTAGATGAGACCACTTCGGTCCTGATCCGCTTAGACCAAGCGTCGGATAATATATCTACGCTCCCAGCACAGATACAAGCCTTACGATGTCTATGGCCTCTCAGCCATATCGCCAGCACTGTATCTCACATCTACATTCTGTATTTCAATATGCCTGCCAAGGGAGTTCCAAAAGCCTCATGGCAGGAGCAGCATATTCATCAATTATACGATCTCCTTCAGTCTTGTGCTGATTTCCCCACGTTGTCGGTGAAGATCAGAGATATCCTCCTTCAGGCGGTACAAGCTGTGGAGAAGCGAATCACGACCTTGCCTTCACAACTTTACCTGTTGACTGCCTATCATATTATAATCACACACATGTTATTCTCCCAGGATAAAACGGACCAGGAGTCGTTGAGCCTCTCGTCGACTATTATAAATGCCTTCTGCCAGTCTGCATCGGCGCTTCTAGCTCTCTCGTATCGTTCTCTAGATCCATCAAGGGGTCTAATGCCAGCACAGAGGGACGGAGGGATGGAATTTATCAATATGCTCGTCCTGGGGCTCGATACATGTAGTAGAGCCCTTGTTCATATCTATGACCATCTCAGCCGCGGTGCGATTGACAATCAAAAAGAAAAAGCAGTAATCAGAAAACAGCTGGCGGATTATGCTGATAGGTTTCATCAAATCTGTAAAAGTGATGCGGTGTCACGATGTGGATCCGTGATACGGTCTGTTAAGAAACGGCTCAAATGGGCGAAATTGGCATTTCAACACCTTCAAATCCTTGCTGAGCCCCAAGAAGTGCTTTCATCTGTCCAGTACGCGACCCCTGACTTGCCTACAGCTCTGAATCTTGGCTGGCCTCGTAATGAGGGCTTGCTGTTAGATCCCGCCTTTGCCACTGCTCGACCTGGGGACATTTTATCGTCTGACATAGTCCCCGATGCGCTCCAGCAGCCGGTCTCGGGAATTACTAACCCATTCTTCGTTGTGGATGATCCCATAATCGGCACACTTGTAGGGCTTCCGGGTTTTACTGGTGCCCATGAGCAGTCATATCCGGACTATACGAGCTTGCAGCAGAGCAAGCTGAGCATGGGTTCAGAGCAAGACCTTCCTCACATCCAGAATCCAACGTCCTTGTTTCCCGGCTATGGGGAAAGTCTACATTTGGCGTATCGTGGTCCCAGGGGTCCGCCTTTGAGTCTCGCCAGTACCATTGACCGCCTGAACGAGCCTAACTCCACGCCATCTGAAATGACAGAATTTATGAGTAATGACACGGTCAATTTGACGCTGCCAGAAGAGACCTTGGACAATGATTTGTTGTCTCAGTTGCTCAGCAACCCCGATGGATGACTGCAAACGCAGCCCTCGCTATAATATTAGGCGTGTCATAGCTCTAGGTATGCCGAACTGCTTCCGGCAGCCAAGTCATCCTATGCCGGTAGTCATCAAAGCAAACACAGCTAACAGCCGTTTGAGTGAGGCCTACCATCAAGAATACTAGCCTCTGGCAGTCATAGAGCATTGAGTTGAAAAGGGATTGGGCGACCATACAGTGGGTTGAAAGCTTGTTATTTATTGTACAGTACCGGACGGGCCTTGCCCCAGGCGCGGAAACCTCAGATCACCAAGGGACAGATAGAGTGCTGACTGGGTTCCGTCATGGCTGATGTAAGTACTAACTGACCTTATAAAACTTCGCTAACTGGTATTAGATTGTTACTCTAGCTCACAGTTGAAAGACATCAATCTGGCATATGTAGCTTTAAACTTCCAAGAAATCATATAAAAACAACAAGGACACAGAAACAGAGGGTATTCATCTCCAACAGCAAAGAGAGAAAAGACAGGAACAACAATCAAACTTTGACTCTATGCTCACCATAACCTCACTCCCTTCATCCCCCCTCAAGCAGTGATGGTTATCGGCCGTCCCAGATACGGGTTATCCAGCTGCAATGGCCGACGAAGGAAGTTCTCAAAGATCCAAAGGCCAACATCATTGGGACATATAGTATACCCAACCGCCGGGTTCATCTCCGTCCCAGCCCTAATCTTACCCAGGCCAACTCCCTCACCATCCGTGAACCAACTAGGACGAACAAGGGTATAATCCCGAATAGCCCTATCCTCTTCGGGCCTCCTCATTTCATCGAAGATAGTCTCCTCCATGACTTTCTTGTCCGCATGTGGCTCCCTCAGCAGCCAGTAATTCAAGGGCAACAGAGCAATCGGCGAGTCTCGCTTCTTGGTAGTCAACCCTACCGAGCTGATAGCGACGAGCACTGGCTTCACACCAAGTGCTCTGGATGCCGCGAGTATAGTTCTAACGGCGTCTTGGCAGATAGTCGGGTTGTCGAGCTTTGGTCTGAGCGGGTTCGTGAAAATGAGCTTGCCGCCGACGCCGGAGATGATTATATCGACGGGTCGGCCATTGTACATGAGTGTCTGTTGCACTGCGTCAAGGTCCGTGACGCTACCTTTCACAATGTAGAGCTTGTCTGCGGTGACTGATTCGGAAATACCCCGTTGGCGCAGTAGATTCTGGAGCTTGGTCGGATCACGAACCACTAGATATCATTAGCATCACAGTTGAACGCCAAAGTGTACCCTAAACAGAAAAGGGACATAGTAGGTAGATGGAAAGATATAAACCGAATACATACAAGCAGAACAACAAATGCCAGCCTCCAAAGCTTGAACTAAACAGGCCAAATTACATCCGCCAGTGGCACCAAAGAAAGCAACAGTATGAAGATTGCCCGCAGCCATGATGATGATGATGATGATGATGATGATGAATAGGATCACTAAAGATGCGAATGAGAGAGAAAATTGGAATACTTGCAATTGTGATTGTGAGTGTTAAATTGAAACTGACATTCCCGGACCCAAGCCATCTTTTATATTTGTATGTGTTGGAGTCTATGCTGTGTTGGACGGGGAGTAAATCTCCGTCTGGAGACGGAGACTTTTATATACCGGGAGGCTGTGTTGGCTTATACCTCCGTTTCTAGGCGGCCTTTTTCCTGCGCAAGAATACCCATGTGTGCATGATTTTCCATGGGATAGAATGTTTGTTTCTATTTTTATTGCTATTGCTTGTTTTACGGGGGATCTAGCTTGGGGCATCGCGGCGGATTGCAGGCATCTACTATTGACGGGGCCGCTCAGTACTGGCGGGGATTGATACACGGCCTACTTCGTACCAATCTCAAAATTGAACATATCTTCGTAATATTCGCTGGTTATTGTATCAAATGAAAGGGAAAAAAAAATGGTTGTAGTCGACAAAAGATGTGTGTGACTTGGGGTATCCCATCGGCTTTGTTATGTGGGAAACAGGAAATCGCTAGACACAAGAAAGAAAGCATGAAAAACGTACAAAGGGAAGCAAATATGAAGAAAGAGGGAGCCTCGTAGGGCAATATAACAAATAATGGAACAGAGCCAGAAGATAAAAACAGACCTCTGTAGTCTAAAGACAAAAATTCTAGGTCATCCATATGTAGTCCCGCGCTGCCGCGCATTGTGCGCGACAGAGGCCAGACAAATATATTGTGTGAATAACCTGGGAATCAGAGAATGATTGAAACACTATGGCCGAACCAAAGTCATGTGTCCAGCACATTGTTAGCTCCTGGCCAACATAGAACTTTCGTATTGACTAGGCGTTTAGGCGAGAAACGTCTGCAAAAGGCCTAGAGATTATTGGCTTATAGACTTCCGCATCTTTCGGCCAACCCAGTCGGCTAGCATCGAGTCCAACTGGCTGTTCATTTCCTTCAGTCGCTTGCTCTCTTCCTTGAACAGGCTGCCAGTGATTGGGTGATCAGGCCCAGCAGGAGGGACGTTGGAGTTATCATGAACGATGATGAACAGATCGCGGATGTCGCTTTCATCGTCTAGATAAGATCGCAGGCTAGCATCGCTCCATGTAGGTGTATCGGCCGACCCTATGTCGAACGACGTCCTATCTGCATCGAGATTCCTGCTACCGTTGCTCTCGACAGCTGGAGACAAAGGCGGGGATACCGGGGAGACGGGGAAGCCTCCAGGCGATGATGGATCCATCGTCATCCCCGGTGCACCTGGCGAAGATGGGCCTTCCACCGGGGAGATATCCACTGGAGAAACTTCCGCAGGTGAGATTCCACGGAGGCCTTGGTATCCCACATCCTGCCTTGGAGGGAACTTCTGCGGTGGAGAGGCAACAGAGTGTTGTAAATAGTGAGGCTCGGTAGGAGATGCTACCGTACCTCCCGAATTTGGCTGTGCAGTGTTGAGTTTCTTCAGCGGGCTTGAGGTCCGAATGGGAGAGGACAAAGGTTGGTCTTGCTGAAGATTGGTCGAGACAGGGGACTGTGGGATATCGTCCTCAGACGCTACTTGTCGTATCGTTTGTTCGTTCCTCTGGCTCTGCACAACGTTCACATCTTCATTGGCCTCCACTGATCTCTGTGTCACTCGTTCCTGCTCCACGCCATTCCTCGAAGGAGCCTGGGCGACCGGAGACTGCTTCTGCAGCTTGCTGGGCTGTTTCTGCACCAGGAGAGGGTTAGGGGATTTGGACTCGGGAGACGAAATAGACTCTGACGACGTCTTAGGCTGTGGCGAAGATCGAGACAATTCACCCGAAGTCTTTTCTGTTTCATCAGTCTCTTCTTCGGCTGCCTTAGTCTTTTTGTCCTTTCTCTTGAACAAGCCACTGAGCATCCCTGGTTTCTTGTCTTTGCGCTTTTTGTCGTCCTTGTTCTTATCATATGCACTGAGAGCTTTCTCGACAGCCTCCATGCTCCCACGGGTCTTGCAAGTTGATATATTGTCAGCACGTTTCCAATTGAAAGACTTATGGAAGTGTATCCTACCTCTCTTGCGTCATTGGCCACGCTACTACTGCCAACCTCGTCGCGGAGGAGGTTTGGTGTAAGAGAAATTTTCTTCGTCTCAACGGTGTCATCCTTGAAGAATGAATCTGTGTTCCGCACAGTCCCATTTCTTGATCGGCTGACAGCAGTTTCTCCTGTATGAATTTTAGCAATTAATCATACGTCTCGTTCTGTATAACTCGGAGGGCAATTATACCTTCAGATTCCAACAACTCCGCACTAGATCGTTGTATCTCGGGGCTGGCCCGATCAGATTCTTTCGCCTCGTGTACCGTTTCCAAATCCTCGCTTGCCTTGTCTCTTTGCGACTTCGGTCTGAGAGGCTCGACAACAATGTCCTCATGTTCACTCTCTTGCAAGTCGTCAACATCCCCTCGCAATCCATCCGCGTCGGCCAAAGAAGCAACATCGTCCAGTTCGTCATCCGTGGAAAACTCTATGTCAGAAGCTTCTATGTATGTTGGGCTCGTAAACGTTACGGTCTTCGCGTTCCTACGGCGCATTGCTTTCTTCAGTGGATTCTTAGACTTTTCCGAGTTGTCTCCCAGCATGGTCGCGGAAAGCTGCTTTTATTAGAGGACGTCATTTAACACTAGAAAAGAACCACATACATCGACGTTTCTGTGTTTGTTTAATCTTGCCAATCTTTCGGTAGGTGTCTCAATGTGCTCGGCAGGCAAATACCCTATCTCTAATCAGCTCCCGTTCATGGGATCTAAATGCCCAGCTTACCAATGCTGCCGTCTTTGACGATTCGAACAAGCCACCAGTAGCTGTTACTGTCATCCAGAAGGACCATAGTGTCACCCTTTGCCGCGTTGGCTTGTCCATCAACAGTTGCCACGAAGTTATGAAGCGCATAAACAAACTCGAAGTCGATATCCTCTACTCAGTGTCAGATAGAACTTTTTTTGAAAACTTTGGTGAGAAAACCAAAGTATCGGGCTGTCTTCGAATTATGGGTTTTCATTAAGAGATATAACGTACCGTCGTCGATAGATGGGGAGCTCGAGATTTTATCCATTAGATCATCATCCAACAAATCATCGTCACCTTCTCCGTCTGCTAGGTCACCATCTTCTGAGCCTCCAACGTGCTGACTATGCCCTAAGTCGTCATCAAAATCATCATCGTCATCGTATATATCGATACCGTCGCGATATTCATCTAGATGATTTTCTTCGGTCAAGGGCCCATGCATCACTTCTGTTCTTGTGTCTTGATCGGCGTGTCGAATGGACTGCTCCTGGTGGGGACCAAAACCGCTGCCTACGGCTATGTTCTGTTTTGAGTGATCTTTAGCCGAGGGTGCATGCTGGTCTTGAAGATCAAGAGTGTCTGACACCGGGCAGTTAGCCTCGAACGTTGATGGAGTCGGGTATCAATGGCTTGTATCGCTACGTACCAGCGCGAACAATTCGGGGGCGCGCCATATTGTGTGAATTTCCACTATCGACTTAAGGATGAGAGTGAAGTAGCGCGGAGAACTGAACCAACAAGCGACTCATTTAAGTCGTATAGATTGGAGTCAAATGAAACGGGAGGAAATAGCTTGACGCTCTCCGAGGTCCAGATAAAGAATGGAAGGTCGCAAAGGCCTACTGCGTGCGTCAAATGAGGGAATATCGCGGAGATTTAGGCGCGAGGGACATAAAGAGGCGGATATTAAAGATTGGCAGGGCCGCAAACAACGACGGCGGGGGTTTGTTTGACAACTGTACAGCAACTAGGCGCACCGGGGTTGGTCGAAGGTCGGGCAACAAGGCGCAAGAAAAAAAAAAGAGAAAGAAGAAAAGAATATACTCTCAGAGTAATTTGAATTTCACAACAAACACAACAATAAACAAGGCTGCAGAAGGGACACAGAAGGTACAGCAGCCGAAACCGTGCTAATGACAAGAACGAGTTCCCCGGACTTTTCAAGACAACCACAAAAAGGAGGTTCTCCAGTGTTCAATTCCCCCTCCCCCCAAACAAGCGCCCCTTGCGCGCGCTTAATCAAACCATTCCCAAAGCGGCCTCGTGCCTGAACCAACGAACGTGAAATAAGCCAAAATGCCAAGGTCTAGACTGTTTAGCGTCCCGATTGGCTGGGACTTCACCGGTGAACGGCTTAGGGCTTCAATTCGAGGGTTCCCGGTGGATCAGGTGATACATTAAAGGCTAGGGCCGAAAGGAGACTAGGGCCGGTCCACGGGACTCCGCTAGGCGTTCTGTTAATGGTTGGTAAGTGGTCAATGATGATTGCATTTTACATGATCTTCGTTTCCCCGCTGCTGACTTTCCGATCCTGCAATGACATCGCCTTCCGTTATCTCCCGATATGCCCATTCTTGCCCATTTTCGTCCCAGTCTGACGATTTTTCTTTCATCTTCTCACTCACATCAGCCTGGGTGGTTGCTACCTGACGTCGTATACCATTTATATTACTAAGAGAACCACTTGGACTTGCTGTTAAAAACCATTTAACCTTTATTTTATTCCCATTACCCCACCGGAACTGTCTAAACGGCCCGTTTCTTATACATCTTTTCAACGTTGATTGCTCTCGATGTTGCACCACTGCACCTATCAGCTGGGAGGACTGTGAATTTCTTCTTCCTTTTCTTCTTCTTCTCTTTTGACCTTTTGATATCGCCGATTAAGAGGACTTCGTGCTCTCTGTGAGGGCATGGCTCATACAGAGAGGAACAGTGCGTTGGCAGGGTTGAAAATCGACACATCCTTTCCTCTTACACACAGACCTAGATGGCGAAGTGAGGCAGGAGGCAGGAGAGTGACGGATGATGGAACTGGTATCGAGGGCGACCGTACAAACATCTTTCACGAATCTGGCGCACGCCGTTACGGTACTGATGAAGACAACAGTGTTTTGAGCAGTCTGCATTCAGCGACTCCCCCTATCTCGGTACCCCGACATGATGATCACCCTAAGGAAGATGTTAGCTTCCCGGAAAGACCCGAGGATGTACAATCATCTCCGCTTGACAGCTTCCTTCACAGCCGCCGCCGTTCCGTCAGCTTCGACCCGAACATCACCCTCGACTCCGGACAGCCCCAGGCGCTGGGAGAGCCGTTGGCAAAGGGAGTTATAAGGACCCGGCCCCAGAGGTTCCAGGCAAAAGGCTCGAGTCTGAAAAACACGCTACCCCAGGATAATGACGACGATCACTATCCGAGACACGGATACAGGGCTCAGCGGGGCTTCGACTCTCATGAAGGTTTTCTGAGTAGTCCTGATGATGACATGCGCGTGAATTCGGCAATTGATCGTCCCACGTCGTTGACATCGATCTCCACGGCTTCCCCCATCACAGAAGAGCTGCGTACCCCTCCTGAAGGATCCAAAGGCGCCCTGCCGTCCCCTTTCTGCGTAGCATCTCCTGTGCAAGGATTTGCTTCGCTTGATGACCGCAGCTCCTGGTCTAGTAGTGTCATAACCCCTTTCGGAAGCAAAACAAGAGGGTTTCGAGGCTCCACTCGCCAGAGCTCCCGCCGATCAACAGCTTCGAGTGGCAAATCTCCCGCCAGCATGTTCCTTTCCATGTGGAGTAGTGGCGAAGAGCCTGCACCACAGCCTGATGACGAAGGCCAAATGGTCGGGACTGAGTATGTTCTGGGAAAACAGATTGGATTTGGGGGGTTCAGTACGGTAAAGGAGGCGTACAAAGCCGATGAAACTGGTGGAACCAAACGGTTGGCTGTTAAGATTGTGCGGAAGCAAGTCTCAGGGAAGAATGAAAAAGAGAACGATGAGGTTCAAGCAGAATTCGATCATGAAGTTCGAGTCTGGCGATATCTCAGCCATCCAAATGTTCTCACGCTTGACGCTGTCTACGAGACTGACTACGCGACATTCTGCTTTACTAAATTAGCCATCGGCGGTACCCTTTTCGATCTTATCCGGCAAAACCGGCGCGGTCTTGACATGAAGCTTGCAAAGAAATATACGTATCAGTTAGCGTGTGCACTGCGATACCTGCATGAAGATGCCCGAGTAGTGCACCGAGATATTAAATTGGAGAACTGCCTTCTGGACCCGATTGAGCTTCCAGACGGAACGAAAGCATCGAACCTTGTCTTGTGTGACTTCGGAATGGCAGAATGGATGAACATAGATAACGGGGGCGACTCTCCCGACCCATACGACGACGCTGCGGATCGACCGCCACCTAAAACGATCGGCCCTGCTGGGTCAAGTACTAGTGTTGCAGGAAGTCTGGAATATGCATCTCCAGAACTGCTTCTTTCTACCAGTGGTGTCATTGAACCGTCGGTTGACATATGGGCATTTGGCGTGATCGCTTATACTGTGCTCGTTGGGTCTCGCCCCTTCCAAGATCCGTTCACGCCCCGCGTTCAGTCGCATATCCTTAGCGGGAACTGGGACAGGACGGCAGTTCTAGGTGATGAAACAGATCCGCCGGCCCGCAGGGACCGGGAGCACGCCCTTGAGTTGATCGAGGGTTGTTTGAATATGAGCGTTGAAAAACGTTGGACAATCCGTGATGTACTCTCATCCCGTTGGCTGCGGGAACTATCTGAAAAGGGCGAAGATGGTGAAGCCGACACCATCTGGAAGCTGTGAAGCTTTTTTTTTCCCCTTTTTTTCCTTTTTCCTTTTTTTTTTTTTTTTTTTTATCCTTTCCGTATTGCTCTCTAACCCGGCTTTTGGGTGGGGTGACTTGAAATATGGGATATGACGCTTTGCATTTCGACTTACGATATACTGATGATCAAAACTGGCGCTATTATGATATGGACAAGCGCTGGTGTTCGGGATTAGTGATCATCTATGATACCCTCTCTTTCTGTGTTTTTGTTGCTTGCGACTTTATATGTTCACATTTCGGTATACGGAGGAGGCTCCTTTCATACATCATTCTGTTCGCTCTTGGGGGCCTCATGGGTTTGATTGTTCTAGTCGGTTACTACTTTTCATGCAATGGTTGGTCATGGTATCTTCGGAGGATAGGTTCTTCGGTTTCACAAGCATGGCGTTTGGCTGGTCTCATTTACTGCACTGTTATATTCTCCTTTCCTGTAACTATATAGCTGGTAGCTGTGCTGTACTGTGCAGTTAGTGGAATTCTAGTTATAATAACATTCGCCTTCTAGAAGGAGGTTTGAAAAGAAAAAAAAATCTTAAAATTGAGTTGAGAAAAGCTATAACATCGTGCACACCGATAAAGTCAACCTTGAATAGCCATATTCTATAATCGCCCACATCGCAAGACTTGGACTCCCCGTTCTACTGGATGAAATATCCCTCCGACAAGACTTCGACGTCAACAAAAAACGCCCAATCATAACAGAAATACGCAATATAAATCTTTAGGTTCATATAGTGAGTATCAGCTAGCAGATCTAGTATAGTATAAACTCTCACAGCCAGTCATCCATCATCGACCCCGAACGCTATTGTGGAGTAAAGTAGGCTTACAACTCCCAAAACTACAGAAGACCCGCTATCCGACAAAGGTACACACACCCTTACTGCAGGTGAGCTGGTGGACAAGCAAGTACCATTACCAGTAGAGAAAAACGAACGATGATTAATTGTTTGGTGACTTGGAGAGGGGGACTGCTGTTCAACTGCCGACGCCGGATGAAACCAAGTGTTGATGGGTTGTGTTGGGTTAATTCATGCTCTCCGTCCAAGGCAACTTAGGACTCTCCAGGAGATCTTCACGGATCTCGACCTTACCAGTAGAGCCTTCACTGATCACATGTGCGAGCTGACATGTTTGTCTACTAGCTTGTGGCCACAATCCACAGCCACCATCCCTCCATGTAGAATAGTTGTTTCCGCCGCGCAATCTTGGTGGCTCCTTCAAGAGAACCACTAGGCATACGAGTACAGTAAGACAACTTATAGGACAGCACCAACTGGAGCACCACAGTAGGATCAAACGGAAGCAGCGACACCCAGGGTATGCGTCGATGGGAAAGATAGCGAGAAGAAACCTACAGTATCCCGCAACAGGCAGAGACGTCACGTTAGACTTGAGTACTCTGCGATTTGCTATACCAGTGCAAAAGAGGGAAGCAGAGAAATCAAAATAGATCCGACCTATTCACGTATCTAGAGTGCATATTTATACAAGTAGCTGCCAAAACAAAAAGAGAGCATCAATGGGAAAAAATACATCGTGCAGAGATAATGTATCACGCGGCCATCGTCCCCAAGATGATAAGAGGGGCACGCAAATTTCTCCGCCGGACAATGCTTGCTGACCATTCCCCAAGCATATTGTTAGTGAAACTGTTCATAAGCACCAAATTACCAAAGTCTGTTCTCGGGCAAGACCTTCTCCTTCTTAACACCAGCAGCAGTCTTCCTCTCAACCGGCGAGCGGAAGAACAAACTGGGTCCCTCCATAGGCTTCAACAAATGGCTCAAATAACCCCTGTGAGCAGGATCACGGTAGTACTCGATATCTTTTCTCTTCGTCGGATCGGGCAGCCTATACTGGAAGCCCATCTCCTTCATGATGGCAGACTCGGTCAGGTTTTCTGCTCCCTCGGCGTTGTTCAATTCCTCGCTGCCACTCTCCTTTGTCCATGCCGTAGACACAAATGGGTGCATCTCACGGCGCATGATACGTGCGATTGCCGATTTGGTGTAGAATCTGGTAGTAACGGATCCGCCCGCAGCCTCAACAGCAGCAATGGCGGTTGCTGAGGCGCGAGAAACGACGATGTGGATGGGTTGTTTGAGGGTGGATTCAGCGCCTCGACCGAGAAGCTTTACGCCTTCTTTTGTTTGGTGGATGCAGCGCGATTGGGCCAGTTCGCGGATGGTGATGGGCCGAGCAGGGTCGATGCGGCCTTGGTCGATCCACTCTTGGATGCGGTCGAGGTTGACCGGGGCGAGGTCAAGAGAGAAGCTGTGTTGGCCGGAGTCAGTAAGCTTCATGATGCCTTCCACATCTGCAGTCCCAGTAACGGCGGCAGCATGTTAAGCCGGGAGAGCAAGAATACAGGAAATAAGGAAACTTACACATTGTTGAACCCCCTCTCGCCATGAACAATAATTTCCGGCGTTTGACCACCGTTGAACCTAGCTGGAACCTTTCCATGCTGCTTCTGACCCTTATGACCTCTGCCGGAGGTTTTACCCTTCCCTGACGCCGGACCGCGACCTCTCCTGATTCGCTTGTTATAGGCACCCGGGGTATCGGAAAGGGAAGCTAGAATGTGAGCATTGCGGCTTTGTTGCTGAAGCTGAGGGAAAAGAAGGGAAAGAGACGAAATGGCGGAAAGAGGTTTTGAAAGTGGGCGCTGCCACTGGGTAGGCAATATCTGAAGCCTGGGTGGCATGGTGATTTGCAATGTTCAGTCGTTGTTGAAGGGGAATCAACGGGTTTCGGCGTGAGTGAGATACAGGCCAAAGATCTTTCGGAGGCTCGCCTGAGGCCCGTTTCCGGAGATACGTCGGACCGGTGAGGGCGAGGACTTTTTGTATTGTAGGTCCAAAATTCCACTTCCTGTCTTAATTTTCAACATATTATAACTTCTATACTTTACTGAAGATATTTCCTTATGTGATTTTCCAGTGAATTTGTATCAAGAATTCTTGTTCCAGGGGCCTACCTAGTATCCATTAGTATCTATACACGCCAGCCACAAGACTCCTTCATCTGCCATTGGTCAATTGCTCTATACTTACCGCACTCATTATATGGCAGAATTATTTACTTAGAAGGCGGTGGATAAGCTGAACGGAGCTGTTACAATGCTAGATTTATATGGATTGAAATAATTTTCATACATTTATATCCCTTCCAGACCAATATAAGCCTGTTTAGGTACTCCTTTAATAGTGTCACTTGTGAACTCCTAATCATGCCAATGCAAGCAGATGTTCAACATGGGTGTATGAACGGAGACAGCAATCAACAACGCCATTGCCATGCTTCGTCCAAATAACAAAAAAGAAGACAAAAAAGGTCGCCCCTCCCTGATCGTCAGTGATCCCATTGGCTCTTCAATGCAGTAGCCGTCTATAATATTGAACGCCGTAATAATGCAAGGTCGTTAGAATAAGAAAAGAGAAATGTAAGCTGTACAAGATACAGGATTGAACAAGGGAAAAAAGAAAAAGAAAAAAAATAGTAGTATCAAGGCTAAAACACCTCTTTCGTACGGAGTCATGATTCAATCGTAACATGAAGTGAAGATGTCAATGAACTTTAATAGTGCGGAGTTGAATGAAAGGTGGGTTGAAGAAAAGGTGCCTGCGGCCAAGCCTCATGGTGAAGGTAGGGCAGCAGGCCTGTCTTGCGCTCAGCTGCGGTTTTACCGAGGGGCTGATAATGCATATGCTCGAAAGGAACAGCGCGTTGTTGTTGAAGTGAGGACGAGGGTGGAGGAATCAACAAGGTGTTGAAATTGCGAACAGGTCGGTAAGGTGAGTTGCGGTTTGCAAGGAAGAAGGAAGGCGACAAGTTAGTTTGGGGTGTGTGGCTCGAGTATGCAGAGATGGCGGGTGAGATAGTGGCCGAGGTGACGCCAAACGGACTATTATGTTGCCTTGCAGGGTCTGGGAGTGACACCGAAGGGTTGTACAATCCATTCGTAATGGGAGGAACCTGAGTTGGTGGTAGCTGAGGGACCCAACTGGTGGAAGGATTGTAGACCGGATGCATTGCGCGATTAGCAACGGAGGGAAATGGAAGCACAGATGTTGGAATGCCCGGAGCCAGGGCATTAGAAGATGGTGGGAAGTTCGGACGTGGCAATCGTGACATCGATCCAGATAAGCTGTTCGCCGATGGTGCGGATGTCGCTGCCAAGACTGGAGGCAAAGTAGGGACACCTGTCAAAGCAGCCGATGGAAGCGTCGACATCGATGTAGGCAAAGTAGTTGGCATTGCCACTCGTTTTGATGGCTGGTCCTCGACGTAGTCGTCTAGGGTCCGCTTCTTAGAAGGCATCGGCGGGAATTCCTTGGCCAAGTGTGGAGGTGGTGCGTAGGCTGGCGCGTTTGATGGTAAGCTCCAGTTCTGAGCACGAAGAACATCCGAATTGGGAGGAGAGGGCAGTCTTTGCGAGGGCGACACTTGCGAAGCTCCTAGATTTGGTGAGATACGAGGTGCTGGAGTTGATGACTCTAGTTCCTTCGATTCTGGCAACAAAGATGCCTTGTTGAAAAAGTCGGCAAAAAGACTAAGTTTCGAATGCCACTGCGTCCACCCTTCCTCCGAAACGAAGAGGTTGTACCGCACATTGCTGAGAAACTCCACCTCCATAACATGTATTTCCTGTACAGAAATGCCAGAAACCTCGGCCCACGTTTTATTTGTGTAGGTGTTATCATCGAGGACTAGACGCTGGTTAGCACCTTTCGAATATTAGCATTTAAGATGTTCAAACCAACATTTATTTCCCAGCATAAGAGCAATTGTCATCAACCTATACTCGCTACCCTTCTTTCCTCGAACTCGGTGATTGAATTTCTTTAACCGGTATATGAAGAGAAGTGCTAAGAGAATGACATTCTGGCTCACTTGCGTAGTCGAGAGAATGTTTGTCACCCATTTCAGAAAACCAGCGGACGGAGTCGCTTCTGGAACGATGTGCAGAAGAGGATTATTCCTTTCCTCAATATCATTCAACTTGGCCGTAGTTTCAAACCAGAACAAGCATGTCATCTGCCCGGATCAGCATACAAAGCTTATCACAGAGTAAAACGTAATGATCTCTTACCTGAGCAGCAAAGTCGGCCAGATTGCCCTTGCTATTGTTGATAGATGACGGTATCTGCAAATAAGAAGCAACCGATTTGGAACCTCCTTTCCTCTGGCTAGCTGGCTCAGAAGACGGGGCATCTTGAAGAGAGGGTTGGCTCGGTGGCTTCGACTGCGGTACAGAGGCAGTAGGGTGATGGTGGTCCGATGCCATGCGCGTATAGTTCGGTGCTTTGGCGTAGGGGGGAAGTGTAACTCCACCGAATTTACCGCCATAGCCGGAAGGGGGAATGCTGTTGTACGCAACGCCGGCCATATCGTTCGGGGGAGTAGGGAGACCGTCCCTGAACGGTGCGGTCCAGTGGTGATCAGGGTCCTCCAAAACTGTTTCGAGATGTCGTTTTTTTGCACAAGTCGAATCTTCCGTCCGGGAATAGAGAGGTATGGTGGGGGTGAACGGATGTGGGACAGA